TGTCCCTCGACGAGGTGGGAGTACCCAAGAGTATCGCTAGGACCCTGACCTACCCCGAAGTCGTCACGCCCTACAACATCGAGAAACTCCAGAACCTCGTCATGAATGGTCCGAATGAACACCCAGGCGCGCGGTATATTGTCCGGGACAACGGCGAGCGCATTGACTTGCGCCACGCTCGACGGGCTGGTGGCCAGCAGCTGTTGTATGGATGGAAAGTGGAGCGGCATGTCATGGATGGTGATGTGATTTTGTTCAATCGTCAGCCGTCCCTGCACAAGGAATCCATGATGGGTCACCGTGTTCGTGTGATGCCGTACTCGACGTTCCGACTCAACTTGTCGGTCACGACGCCTTACAACGCCGATTTCGATGGTGATGAAATGAACTTGCACGTCCCTCAAAGCGAAGAGTCGCGCGCTGAGCTGAGTGAGCTCGCATTGGTACCCATGAACATCGTTTCCCCTCAGCGAAATGGTCCCCTCATGGGTATCGTGCAGGATACTCTCTGCGGTGTCTACAAGATTTGCCGACGTGATGTGTTCCTCACCAAGGACCAGGTCATGAACCTCATGTTGTGGGTCCCTGATTGGGACGGGGTAATCCCGCCTCCGGCAATCTTGAAACCTCGGCCCAGATGGACCGGCAAGCAGGTGATCAGCATGGCTTTCCCATCCGGTCTCAACCTCTTGCGCGTCGACAAGGATAACTCCACACTGTCGGAGAAGTTCTCCCCGCTGTCCGATGGCGGCGTCCTTATCCATGGTGGTCAGCTGATGTATGGTATGCTGTCGAAGAAGACTGTGGGTGCTACCGGTGGTGGTGTCATCCACACCATCTTCAACGAATACGGTCCCAGGACTGCTGTGGCTTTCTTCAACGGTGCCCAGACCATTGTGAACTATTGGCTGCTCCATAACGGGTTTAGCATTGGTATTGGCGACACCATCCCCGATGCGCTCACGATTCAGAGAATCGAGAACTGTGTGCGCAACAGGAAGAACGAAGTTGAAGAGATCACTGCGAGCGCGACCGAGAACCAGCTTGAGCCGCTGCCGGGTATGAACGTGCGTGAGACGTTTGAAAGCAAGGTTTCCCGCGCTTTGAATAACGCCCGTGACGAAGCCGGTAGCGAGACGGAAAAGAGTCTGAAGGATCTGAACAATGCCATTCAAATGGCCCGCTCAGGATCCAAGGGTTCTACGATCAACATTTCCCAGATGACTGCGGTCGTCGGCCAGCAGTCCGTCGAAGGGAAGCGTATTCCGTTCGGCTTCCAGTACCGTACTCTGCCGCACTTCACCAAGGATGACTACTCGCCCGAGTCTCGAGGATTCGTCGAGAACTCTTATCTACGTGGTTTGACCCCGACCGAGTTCTTCTTCCACGCCATGGCTGGTCGTGAGGGTTTGATTGATACTGCCGTCAAGACTGCCGAAACCGGTTACATCCAGCGTAAGCTCGTGAAGGCTCTGGAGGAGGTCATGGTCAAATATGACGGCACGGTCCGTAACTCGCTGGGCGACATCATCCAGTTCATCTACGGTGAAGACGGTCTGGACGGTGCGCACATCGAAAACCAGCGGGTTGATATCATCCGGTGCTCCGATGACAAGTTCCGGGACAGGTTCCGTGTTGATCTCATGGATCCGGAACGGAGTCTCGGCCCCGAGGTCCTCGAACAGGCCAACGAGATTGCGGGCGACGTCGACGTCCAGAGACACTTGGATGACGAGTGGGAGCAGCTTCTCAAGGACCGCGCTTTCCTCCGCTCAGTTGCCAAGGAGGACGAAGAGATGATGCAGTTGCCCATCAACGTGCAGCGCATTCTTGAAACCGCCCGGACGACATTCCGCATCCGCGAGGGAACTATTAGCGACCTGCATCCAGCCGAAGTCGTCCCACAGGTCCGCTCTCTGCTTGACCGGCTGTTGGTCGTACGTGGCGACGACGATATCTCCCAGGAGGCTCAGACGAACGCGACTTTGCTCTTCAAGGCACAGCTTCGCAGTCGACTTGCTTTCCGCCGGCTCGTGACGGAGTACTCGATGAACAAATTGGCATTCAACCACGTGATTGGTGCTATTGAAATGAGATTCGCCAAGGCCGGCGCGAGCCCTGGTGAGATGGTTGGTGTTCTGGCTGCCCAGTCCATTGGTGAGCCGGCCACGCAGATGACCTTGAATACTTTCCATTTCGCTGGTGTCTCGTCCAAGAACGTGACACTTGGTGTGCCTCGTCTGAAGGAAATTCTGAATGTCGCCACCAACATCAAGACCCCGTCCATGACCGTGTACCAAGAGCCGCACCGTTCCTACGACAAGGAGGGTGCGAAGCAGCTGCGTAGTGCGGTTGAGCACACTAGCTTGCGCTCTGTGACGGAGACAACCGAGATCTATTATGATCCCGATATCCAGAGCACGGTCATTGAGAACGATCGGGACATGGTGGAGTCTTACTTTATCATCCCCGAAGATGTTCAGGATGACTCGTCTCGTCAATCGAAGTGGCTGCTTCGTATCGTCCTTAGCCGACCTAAACTCCTGGATAAGGGCCTTACTGTGCAGGATGTGGCTACCAGGGTCAAACAAGCGTACCCCCGGGATATCGCTGTTATCTTCAGTGATAACAACGCCGACGAACAAGTCATCCGTATCCGTCAAATCCAAGACTCCAAGGAGGAGGAGGAAGACGATGACATCGAATACGACGTTACCCTCAAGAAGCTGGAGCAGCATCTTCTGGACACTTTGACCCTTCGCGGTGTCAGTGGTGTTGAGAGAGCTTTCATCAACGAAAAGAACAAGGTCCGTGTCCTTGAGGACGGCTCATTGCATGTCAGCAAGACCGATCCCCTGTGCAAAGAATGGGTCCTGGAAACCAGTGGGTCCTGCCTTGGCGAGGTCCTGGCAATCCCTGGTGTCGATGCCAGTCGCACGTATTCGAACCAGTTTATCGAAGTGTTCGAGGTATTCGGTATCGAAGCGGCTCGTACTGCTGTGCTCCGTGAATTGACCCAAGTGCTTGCCTTCGATGGTTCGTATGTCAACCATCGTCATCTGGCCCTGCTGGTTGACGTGATGACTGTGCGAGGATACCTGACCCCCGTCACTCGCCACGGTATCAACCGTGCCGACAACGGTGCCCTCATGCGTTGTTCTTTCGAAGAAACGGTGGAAATCCTGCTGGAAGCCGCCGCTTTCGGAGAACTCGATGACTGCCGCGGTGTGTCTGAAAACCTGATCCTCGGCCAGATGGCTCCCGCGGGGACAGGTGAATTCGACATCTACCTGGACCAGAACCTTCTCAACACAGTGGTGTCGAACAATGCCCGTTTCGGCGTCATGGGTGCGATTGGTGCCAAGGATGCAATCATCTCCGACGGTGCTGCCACTCAGTATGACACTGGCTCCCCTATGCAGGAGTCGGCCTACATCGGATCACCGGATCCCGATTCGAACTTCTCTCCGATCCGGCACGCGGGCGCGGAAACTCCAGGAATGGACTACCAGCCTTCCGGTGGCGGCTTTGGTGGTGGCTTCAGCCCTGCGCCGACCAGTCCCGCAGGCTACTCGCCCAGCAGCCCCTTCCATCCGACATCTCCTGGGTATTCCCCGACGTCGAGCTATTCTCCCACGTCTCCCGGAATGGGCATCACCAGTCCTCGTTTCACGACGTCCCCAGGATTCTCCCCCGCCAGTCCGTCCTTTGCGCCGACGTCTCCCGCCTACTCGCCTACGTCTCCGGCGTATGGCCAGGCATCCCCGACCTCGCCGTCGTACTCACCCACCTCCCCTGGCTTCTCGCCGACGTCGCCGAACTACAGTCCTACGTCTCCAAGCTTCAGCCCGGCGTCGCCGGCGTTCAGCCCAACGTCGCCGAGCTATAGCCCGACAAGTCCTGCGATCGGTGGCGCCGGCCGGCACCTCTCTCCCACCTCACCCACTTCCCCCAAGTACACGCCTACTTCTCCTGGATGGTCTCCCACCAGTCCCCAGACGTACTCCCCGACGTCTCCAAATTTTGCCGGCTCGCCGACGTCCCCTGGTGGACCTACGTCTCCTGGTTACAGTCCGACGTCGCCGGCTTTCAGCCCTTCGTAAGTGTTGGCCCACGTCCAGTGCCAGAATTCAAACCATACTAACATGGAATGTAGGTCTCCTCGCCAGTAAGAGTCGAACGTGCATGGCTACGGTGCAGCTTAGGCTGTATCGCTGTATTATCACTTCCTCGCTCGGACACCGTCTCCAGGACGAAAAAGAAAAAATGAAAAACATTTTGCATTATACGTTGCGGAAATGGTTGGCTATTTGCTCCAACAATTGGGCTTTTCCGGCCTTCTTTTTCCATTTTATGTCCTTTTCTTAACTGTATCTTTTTTCTCCCGCCTCAGACCGAGAAGGCCTTACTATTTTTTTTTTTATTATTGACACGTCCGCGAGATTTCCTCATTGAAATTGCGAACGAAACCCCCGGTTCTTGATGCTTGCTTTCTGCTGTTTTTGACCTTTCTTCGTTCAGGCGATTGAAATACCAAGCGTTTTCTTAGAGTTGGACGATAGGCCCTCGGACAGTTCCCCCCGTTTTATAACGGCGAGCGCGACGTTCTTGAAGTGGCCTATCGGTCCGGATCACATGGAGAAAGATGGATGGATGGAGAGACAGACGTTGCTTTGATTGTATTAATGCGCTTTACTATTTCTTTATCTCTTCTTTCCCTGTACACAGCTGTAGCGGCAATGGATAATGGACAAAAAAAAGGATATTAACAAGAGACGAAATAAAAAAAAAGACAAAATTGAAAAGACCTCACATTGTAGTCCATGTCATTACAGTATTTCTAACCAGGAAATAAAGATTGAATACAGTAGTCTATTGTAGAAGACGCATGATATCAATGCCAAGGGGACGTCGGGGAAATGAAGGTCCGCGAAGCCAGGTGGCCCGATCCGCATTGACTTATCTATCATGTTGACGCAACTCCGTTGAGCTGGAGCTGCCGACCATCCAACTCAACAACTCATTTATCCACCCTGTTTCACTACTCGTCCCTCGCGCATTCGACCCCGCTCATGTTCTAATCTAGAAGCGGGTCGCCATGCGCCTCTCGCTGCATACTATCATCGATCTCTCTCAGGAACCATGAAGTACCTGTGGCTATGGCGTTTCCTGCCGTTGGCGTTGCGTGAGTAGCTGGTCTTCCTATCCTATGGCTATGGGCGGTGATCGGCAAGTTGATGGACTATACTAATGACCGATGCGAGTGTCTACAGTGCTCCTGCAGACGCTGGTGGCTGCGTCCGAAGGCCACCCTGATCGTGAATCTACCACCGATGTCACCCGCCAACCACCACCCGGCTCAACTCAGCCCCCAGGCGGGGCGGAAGACCTTGAGCCCCTACCTGGACATGGTAAGACCTACAGCAGATTCCCGACCCGTCGCGTGTCCCCCACTGACCATGTCAAATGTTCCATGGTATAGAACATGTCGAGACCGCTTTGAAAATCCTCCACGACGCCAAACTCCCCGCCACCACTCTCGACAAACCGTCCGGTATCCTGGGATACACCTGGCACTATGCACGACAGGCAATCCGCCTATTATTTCTAAACGGGCCATCATCCGATGGAACCGACTCCAGAAAGGTCCACCGAGACGTCGCCAAAGCCGTCAACGAGCTCGAGTTCGCCGCGGAGGAGGAGCTGAACCCCGACGCCATGTTCCTTCTCGCCGAGATGAACTTCTACGGCAACTTCACCCATCCCCGAGATTTCGGGCGCGCCTTCCACTGGTATCAGACCCTTGCATATCTTGAAGGCAATAGCACCGCGCAGTATATGGTGGGATTCATGTATGCCACTGGGATCGGGGGCGCCGTACAACGCGACCAGGCCAAGGCGCTGGTCTACCACACTTTTGCGGCCGAGGCAGGGAATACAAAGTCGGAGATGACGCTTGCATACCGCCACCACTCTGGCATCGGAACTCCGCGCGACTGCGACCAGGCGACGTATTACTACAAGCAGGTGGCAGATAAGGCCATCGAATACTACCGGTCGGGGCCGCCGGGCGGCCATGGCATGATCAAGGAGTCATACCGTTGGGCCGATGAAGAGGGCGGTGTCTATGGGGAGGGTGCTAGTATGTCGAGCTCGGGTCCCAGCGCCTTGCGGGATGTCCACACCAACACCGAGGCGAGTCTGGAAGATGTCCTGGAGTATTTGGATCTGATGTCACGGAAAGGGGAGCTCAAGGCCACGTTTAGTCTGGGGAAGATGCACTACGATGGCGGTCGGGGAATGGCCCGGAATTTCCGCAAGGCCATGAAGTATTTCAAGCAGGTGACGAAGCGATACTGGAATAAGGATGGATCCATCAACCCCAACCACCCCTCGGGAGTCGAGAAACTCTCGTCCAAAGCGGCGGGTTTTATCGGATTGATGTACCTCCGCGGAGAGGGTGTCGAGCAGAATTTTGCGACTGCACTGACTTGGTTCAAGCGGGGCCTTGCCAACGGGGACGCGATCTGTCAACACCATATTGGACTGATGTATCTCAACGGGTATGGTGTCCCTCAAGACGCCTATCGAGCAGCGTCGTACTTCAAGTCAGCGGCAGACCAAGATATTGCCGCGGCGGAGACGCAACTCGGCGCCTTATTCCTGGACCAGGGCGACATTCCCACTGCCACCCGGTACTTCGAGCTCGCTGCCCGCTGGGGGTGGATGGAGGCCTTTTACTACCTGGCAGAGATGTCGAACAATGGCATCGGCCGGCAACGGAACTGTGGCATGGCCGCGTCGTACTACAAGATGGTCGCCGAACGCGCGGAAGCGATCCACTCGTCTTTCCCCGAGGCGAATGCGGCGTACGAGAGGGGCGATTCGGACACTGCACTGATTGCTACCATGATGGCCGCGGAGCAAGGCTATGAAAGTGCGCAAGCCAACGTGGCATTCCTGCTCGACGAAGAGAAGGCGCTGTTTTCCCTCCACCGGATCTTGCCAGGCGCCAAACCGGAACGACATTCCTTGCTCCGCAACGCTGCGCTGGCCTTGATCTACTGGACACGCTCGGCCAAACAAGCGAACATCGACTCTCTGATCAAGATGGGCGATTATTACCTGGACGGCGTGGGCATCGCGCCGGACGCAGAGAAAGCATCGACCTGCTACCATTCGGCGGCGGAAGCGCACTACAGCGCGCAGGCATTCTGGAACCTCGGCTGGATGCACGAGAACGGAATCTCCGTGGAGCAGGACTTCCACATGGCCAAGCGGTACTACGACCTGGCGTTGGAGACCAGTCCTGAGGCTTACCTCCCGGTCAAGCTCAGCCTGCTGAAGCTGCGGGCGCGGAGCTACTGGAACCAGATCACGAACGGGAAGATCAACTCGATCCAGGAAGACGAAGGTAAGAACGGCTTCGCCACGATGATCCCACCATCACTCCTACCACCTACCTGAGCGAACGCTAACGTTGGGACCCGGCCCCGGACAGAACCCAAGCCGCGACGGACCTTGAAGGAATGGATCACGGCATTCATCGAGAACGACGAGGAAGAGGAAGCGCACTACCGCGCCCAGATGTACCAACAGGACGAGGAGGACGACTATCTGTCCGGCGGGGACCGTCTGGACGACCGCGACGACGGGTACTACGACGACCTGGAGCTAGACATAGACGAGAGCGTCCTGGAAGGACTCATCATCGTGGGGCTGGCTGCGGCGTTGCTGATTCTCGTCTACGTGCGACAGCAGCGGAACCGACCCCGGCAAGACGAGAATGCCAACCCGGCCGACGCCGCCAATGCGAATAACAACCAGGGGCTGTTCCCTCGCCCGGGGGAGCCTGAGTTCGCGCAGTGGGTTGCTGGCGGGGTGGGGCATTGATTGGCTCGTAACTTCTGGCGATGTTGACTGTACATGTAATATGATGATCAATTTTATGATGCGTTTGGATATGAACCCGTAGCTGTCTGCAGGCCCGTTTTATCTACATTTTATCTATAATTTACATTGGTTTCCTTGATCTATCTTCTGGAATAGCAGACCACGTGGCTGATACGCTCTTATCAGCTTATCGATAACCCCCACAGCTTTTCTCCAACATCCTCTTTCTTCTTATCCCTTCACCTGAAGCACGTCCAATCTCTTGAACAATGTAACCACCGTCCCATTGAATTGTCCCCAACCCGTGAGACACAAGAATGACGCCCCTCAAACGCCGCCGTCTCGACGCCACTGCGTCAACCCTTTCCAAACCCTTCAAGTCTCCTCTACGCCGACCACCCGCGACAGCAGCCGAAGCAGCAGCAGCACCCCACACTCCCACCAAGCACGAAGAACAGCCTTCAACAAGCACACCACAGGCCCATTCCACCCCAGACACCATCACCACCACTCCACGCACAGCAATAACAACAACAACGTCAACCCCTACCCCAACCTCAAAGAGAAAGCACACGCCCCTCCTCCCCGCAGACCCCGCCCTCCTCCACCTCCATAAACAGCAACGCGCATTCCAAGCCCGTCTCTCATCTCTGCGTTCCGAGCTCGACACCGCACAGCAGGCTCTCCGACTGGAATGCTCCACCCAAGACGCCGAACTCGAGGTTCTGGTCGCAAAGTGGAGGGTTGTAGCGCAGAGTGCGGCGGAGGAGGTCTTCGAGGGGGCGAGCGAGCGTGTTGCGCGTATGGGGGGCATGAAAGCCTGGAGGGAGAGGATGCGCGAGGGGAGGATGGGAGGGTGGGGTGAGGAGCAGCAGGAACGGGGAGCAGGAGGGGAAGAGGATGATGATGGGGAGGTGTTGGAGAGACATGGCAGGCGTGGGATGGAGGATGAGAAGGGTGAGACGAGAGATGGGGATGATGGTGAAGATGAAGAGGTAAGTTCGGTTTGGTATCTCGGAGGTGTGGTGAGGGTGATGCTTACTGAGATTTACTGTAGGAGTTTACGATGGATGTCATGCTGAAGACGCTCAATGTGGATTTGAGGATGATTAGGTTTGATAAGGGGCAGCAGAGGTTTGTTACGGATTGACCGTGGGATCTATACGGTGGATGGCGCATGGCGTATGTTGTGGGATAGGTCGTGTTTGAGGCTATTCACTGTGCAGCGAATGTTTGCTTTGAAGCGATTGAGTCGACAGAGACCGCGATAAGAGCAGTCTTTCAGTTCAGCTGTTGACTACTCTGAATGGATTTCACTGACAATTCTAATCTCAATAATGAAGGACGCGACTAGACTGGGCCAAGTGGATATAAATCTGATATGGATCTCGACATCGATAAGGATAATAAGGAACTGTGGAGACTCCTTATCTCTCTCTTGGTTTCTCCGCTTTCTCCCTCGGCTTTGAGATCCCCTCATTCCTCATTCCTCTTTCTTACTCCCCAATACTTCCTACGTTGACCCTCCCAATATTCTTAATCCATACCCGGTCAAATGTCAGCCTATGCCCCTTCACTCAAAACACCCCCGTCTCCTAGCCTGCGCGCGATGCTTTCGTTTGAAGAGGAAATGTGACCACACCAAGCCTATGTGCGGAGAATGCCGCCGCAGAGGGACCGAATGTTTACCTATGAAATCCCGCAAGGACGGTCAAGACATCACCATCCCATTGGAGTATCTGAAGCAGCTGGAGTCACGGATTGCCGAGCTGGACCGTCCATCGGCTGCGACGCATGATGTGGGTGTCCAGACGGACTTCTCGACCCAACAGCCCGGTCCCTCTACGGCGGCCTTATCGGGCATGGCCGATAGCGCCCCCGGAGGTCTCCACCAGCAGGTGTTCGGCACACCAGATGACTACTCGCAAAACGATCTGCTGGGACACGTCGCAGCGTCGGATCAGGACCTCCTGCGCGTATCCGACATGCGCTCCCACGCCCCCCGGCTGGAAGGAGCCCTGATCTCGCGATTGGCGTACGAGGTCTACCCAGACCGACCCGGCTGGGACTTCTACGCTGGCACCGATGCCGGATCGCCCCAGGCGGGATATCCTTTCTGGCAGGAGGAAGTATACGCGAACCTGTACTTCTCCATCACTCATTGGGTGTGGCCGTTCCTGGACAGCGGCGCGTGGAAGACATGGCGCCAAGAGTGGAACTCGGATAGTGAGGCAGATCAGTGGAAGGGCTTCCTCGTCAAGATGGTGCTCGCCATTGGGGCCTTGTCCTGCAACGTCTTACAACCGAGCCAGGGCCACTCGGCCCATGCTGCGGATCTCTATACGGCCGCAATGGCGTATTACCCGTATGTGATGGGCCATGAATCTGCCATCCTGCAGATTCAGGCATCCATTCTCATGGTACTGTATGCCCTTCAATGTCCCTCGGCGGAGGAGATATCGACAGCGGTCTCGTCTATCGTACCGTTCTGCACGGCGACGGTGGCGGACATGAGGAAGCATGCTGCCTCTGGGAATGGCGACGACCTAGGCCGTGCAGGGAGTCCGGGGGAGATATTGACCGAGACGTTATTCATCACATGCTTCATGTTGAATGAGATCGTCGTGTCGGGGTGGGACCGGCCGGTTTCCGCGTCTTATCGAGCGATTGACGATGATGTGAGACACCACACTGGGTTTCTTGGAGACTGTCCAATGCTAAACAGTCCAGGTCTACTCCCTAGGAAACGAGGTGCCCTCGTCCTCGAGCACCAGCACGGCGCTGCGACACCTGTTCCGGCTACGCAAAATCCAAGCCGACATTCGACGGCAATGGAGGGAGGTATCAGGACAACAGCGGCCGAATGATACGATGCTCAAATCAGCCTTGGATACGTGGAGGAACGAGATCCCTCGGTATGGGGTGGAAGAGGCACCGAGCACGTACCTCCACCCACTATGGATGGCAAACCTCTACGACTATAGTGTTATAATAATGATGCAGGAGAAACGGGACTCCCTTCAGCCGGGAGACATCGAGGACGTCGTGACCACCAGCGACGAGGTATGTCGCAATTTCCGACGACTACAGGAGGAAGGGCAGGTAATGTGTTATACATGGTCGGCTGTAAGCTCTTCCCATGTCGTGCTTGGCATACCGATGAACCGCTAACTCCGCGTAGCTGGTTTTCCAATTTCGAGCAGGTATCACCCTGCTGTACATATTCTGGGTGACACCGCGAGAGCCAACCCTGGTACAACGAGCCGTGGAGGCGCTGTATATCTGCGCCGATAATGTTTCTCACCATGCAGACCGCTGGTCGGATGCAACACCGTACGCAAAGATCATGGATTTTCTCTTTCAGAGCGCTTCGTGGATTCCCGCAGGATCGCCACGGAGCCATAGGAGTGCATGCTCTCGCGAGGAGCTGCCGCGGCACCTGACTGAATTGAAAAAACAATATCTACACAAGGCGGTACTGCGGATGATTGAAGACATGCTCCACCAGTAGCCAGCCTACTTACGGATGAAACCCGGACTGCGCGTGTACAATAGATCTCTTCCTTCAGAAGTACTCAATCAGACCTTCTACAGCAGCAAAAGTTTCCCAGTCTCCAGGCCCGTACTGGTCCGCGCCACAAGTGTGACAATCGTCTGTGTCAGGGCGGGACTGGTCCAGCGTTTCCACGGGATATCACGCGTCGACGCTGGATACGTGGCTGTCAGAGTGAACTGATTGTCGTCGACCTTCGCCGCAACTTCTTCCCCATTCACATAGCACACCAACCCCGTGAGTGCCGCTCCATGGCCGACCTCAACCGTCCCCTGTACATCCAGATGCACCGCCGACCCTGTGACTTCCTTGTGCTGCTTGCAGACGTCCATCCGCGGCATCTCGCCAGAACCGGGAGCTCGTGCCGCATTAGAAATCAGATCAGACGCCAGCTGCGGAACAAGCGGCGGCACAGCGCGAAACCTCGTGGCGTCTTCAAACGCAAACGCGTACCGCAGCAGATCTATATCTCCATACGCCTTACCCGCGAAAGTCAAATTGACCGGCATGTCGGTGTCCTCCATCAACCCCATAGGAACCGACACCGTCGGCACGCCCAAATGCCTGAACACCCTATTTCCATTGGAGTACTTGACACCGTTACTCCAAGCGTACAGCGACGACTCCGGCGCTGAGTCCGCATCCGCACGCCCAATGTCGCCATTCGCCGGGAATACGACGGCGTCCAGCCCTAGATCCTCCATCCACTTTTCCAGTGTCTCCACCCGAGCCGCCTCCAGCGCAGGTATCGCGCGGTCAAGCCCATGAATCTCATAGATTGACGACGGCTTGTTCTCATCCCCAGCGTAAGCGACCATCTCATGCCAGCGCAGCGCATTCGCCGCGTCAGGCGTCCCAGGCAGCGACCCCGGCGCCAACGGGAAGATAGACTCGGGATCTACGTTGGCGAGAGTCTGCAGACCAGGCTGGGCGTTGAGCGCCAAGAAATCGTCCCACGCGTGCGCGATGAGTTGGCACCGCTCCACGGAGTGCCAGTCTGCGGGGAGGCCGTCGACAGCCACGAGCTGGCCCGTGTGGGCGAGGGCTTCGTACTTTTCCATCATGGGGAAGTCAACGTCGACGACTGTCGCACCGCAGGACTCGAGGGCGCGGCGCGCAGATTCCCACAGCTTCAAGATCGAGGGCCGCGTGTTGACCTTATCGGGGAGGGGATTCGCGCCGCCGATGTACATGGTGGGGACGCCGATGCACTTGCCGCGGAGGGAGGCGGAGCTATCCTGCAGAGAGGGGAAATGGGCTGGACGGATGGAGGCGATGGATGGGAGATTGACGATGCGTTGCTCGTTCCAGAAGTCGCCGGCGGGGGCTGCATCAACGACAGCGAGCACATCGAGGACGTGGAACAGGTCAGTCATGGTGCGCGTGTGCGGCACGAGGACATCGCACGTTGGGTATAACGGCCAGACTCCCCTCAGGGGGAGCAGACCCCTAGACGGGGTGTAAGCGACGAGGGCATTATTCGAGGCAGGCGAGCGGCCCGACGATACGGTCTCGCTGCCGAGGCTGAAGGCACAAAAGTTGGCCGCCGTGGCGGTCGCCGATCCGTTCGAGGATCCGGACCCGTACGCGGCGGTCAGATAGTCAAGGTTGTAGGGGCTCTCAGCACGACCGTACGACCCGCGCTGCATGCCGCCGTACGCCATGGCAGGCATGTTTGTCCTACCGAGGAGGATGGCGCCGGCATCGCGCAGGATCTGCACGCAAGCTGCATCCTCCGTCGCGACGAGGCCTTCAAACGCGGGGGATCCGCTCGCGACCGTCATGCCCTTGACTTTGATGCTGTCTTTGACCAGGTACGGGATGCCCTCTAGCGGGCGTGCGGGCAGGCCCGCTGCACGGCGCGCGTCCGAGGCGGCCGCTTCGTCGAGGACGGACGGGTTGAGGATGGGGATGGCGCTGAGTTTGGGGCCCGCGGCGTCGTACACGCTGATACGGTGTAGGTAGCGGGCTGTCAGGTCGACGCTAGTGATGCATCCTGCCGCGAGGGCATGTTGGAGGTCAGCGATGGTGGCGTCGATCAAGCTGAACGAAGCGGCGGTCTTTGCTGTTAGCAGGACACTTCAGTCTTAGAGGATAATCCAACCTACAGAACCCATAGCGACGAGCATACAGTTCAAAATCTACCGTCAGATTTTTCTCAAAACATAAATCCGCACGCAAAGTCTATATACCTACCTCCCCCCTCATCGGCAAAGCCGTCGATCCACGCAGCGGACTTTTCTCCGCTGGAGACAAGCCCTAACTCCAACCACGTGTTGGCTCTGCCGCAGCCTCCACTCTTGTATCGACAGCAATTGGCCTGCAGGGCGGACTTAAGCCCGTCTAAAGGACCGATGGATGCAGGATTGCCAGTAACCCCGTGCGGAGAAGTGTACGATAACAGCGTCGCCAAGAGATAACATCCCTGCCTCTTATCTTCGGTTAGACGATAAGTTGACTAGATTAGCTGGCGCGGGGAAGTTACTTATAAAATGGATAGGACGCAAGTGTCGGAGTGGCTTTCGCCATTGATCATCGTTGTTGCACCTATATCATGACTGACACGAAAGAAGTCCACGCCGACGTGAAGCGCGCGCTGGACGCCGAGAAGAGCGAGGGCGTCGCGGCCGGCGAGATCCGCGATATCGGAGCGGAGCTGTATGCGGAGATCGATCAGCTATCGCCCGAGGAGTTGGAAAGGGAAGGTCGTGAAGTGCGCAAGTTGTTGGATTGGCGGATTTTGCCTATAGTATGTTTTCTCTACTCCAGGATAGTAGAGAGGGTTGTTCTGACGGCGACAGCTGTATTTGACTTATGTTATGCAATATCTGGGTATGTCTTCTTCCACCCCTTGCCTGATTCAAAGGAAACCGAGTGAAGCTTTACTGACTCAAGTTAGACAAGTTATCCCTCAACTACGCCTCCGCCTACTCGCTCATCCCCGATCTCGGCTTAGAAGGCCAGCGCTACTCGTGGGTGGCGGCCATCTTCAACTTCGGCTACCTGTTCTGGGCCATTCCGTCGAATCTGCTGATCCAGCGTCTGCCACTGGCCAAATACATGGGAACCGTGCTGCTGATCTGGGCTGGTCTGGTGATTGCGCATATTGGGGCAAAGAACTATGCTGGCATTCTGGTGCTGCGGTTTCTCCTGGGTATGGCTGAGGCGTGTGTCAGCCCGTGCAGTAAGTCCTCCCCCCCCCACAGGAATTCTTCCAGCCATACTGATAATGTAGTGATGAACTTTACTTCCATGTTCTACAAACGCTCGGAACAACCCCTCCGCATGAGCCTGTGGCTCTCCGGAAACGGCATGGCCACAATGGTGGGCGCTCTACTTGGCTTCGGCCTCGGGCACACGAACAACGTCAGCCTCCACAGCTGGCAGCTCATCTTCCTAACCATCGGACTACTCAACCTCGTCACAGGAGTCCTCTTCCTGTGGATCATGCCCGACTCACCCAGCAGCGCCAAATTCCTCACCCATCGCCAACGCGTCATCGCGGTCCACCGCGTCTCCGAGAACATGATCGGCGTCAAAACCAAAGAGTACAAGCCGCGACAAGCTCTCGAAATCCTCTACGACGTCAAAGTTCTCTGCTGTCTGGGCCTGGGCATCGGCTGCGGCGTCATCAACGGGGGCGTATCTAATTTCGCATCGTCGCTGATCAAGGGGTACGGCTTCGACGGGCTCTACGCAACACTACTGCAGCTCCCAACGGGAGCCATCGAAGCAGTCATCGTGCCAATTTGCGGGTTGATCTCCACGACCATTAAAGACTCACGGTGCATCGTCCTCGCCGTCGTCTGCCTCATCCCGTTCTCAGGCCTCCTCGGAATCCGCTTCACGGACCTCTCTCATCGCTGGACCCTCGTCGGCTGCACCTGGCTGCAATACATCGTCGGCGCACCAGTCATCATCTCCTGGAATTTACTAGCGACAAACGTAGGCGGCCACACAAAGCGCTCCCTCGCCAACGGCTGCTGGTTCTCGCTGTACGCAGCGGGCAACGTCGCAGGGGCAAATATCTTCTTCGCTCGCGAGGCGCCACGGTATTACTCTGCGCTGGCGGGTCTACTCATCTGCTACGCGGGGATGATTGTACTGGTGATGGTGGCGTATTTCGCGATGAAGGTGGATAATGCGAGACGGGATAAAAATGCGCCGGAAGGGGTGACGAGCGCGCAGAGGGAGGAGGCGGGTGTTTTGGATGGGTTTAGGGATTTGACGGATATGGAGTCGAGGAATTTTAGATATGCGCTTTGATTTATTATAGCTAATTGATTGTTTTTGATGATTGTGATGTGTTATCACACTTCTTTGAGGCGGATTATATAGTAACACGACCCTAAAGCGCCACAAAGGCGTATATCATTAACCTCAAAGGCACAGAAGGAGAACCCATATCACCTCGTACACTCAAACAGACACCCGCCATCCACAATAAGCCCGTTAAGCCAACGGCTTCTGTCCATAGATAAAATGCGCATACACATACAACTGGCGATTCTCCCTGAACTCCTGCTTCGCCTTCGCAATCAGTATCCGACACTCAAGCTCACTCCACCCCAACACCCTCGTAAAAAGAGCCAGCGTAAGCGGCTCCACCGAATCAACAGCATGCACCTGCATCCACTGACCAATCTTCTTCAACTGTTTATCCCTGGGCCACGACCCAATCGGAATCTTCAGCACATCCTCACGCACATCCACAAACCCGGCGTCCTTCATCTTAGCCCCCAGCTGCTCAACGACATTGAGCGGCTTGCCGAACCGCGCGGTCCCCTCTGTTAAGTTCCGCTGCCACAGATTGATGCTGGTTTCTTCGCCGGACTCGGAGCGACGCTCGTCCTGGTCGTGGAACCAGACGCGGAACTCCTGCACCTCGTAGTAGCCGCCTGGGCGCAGGTGGTTCAGGGCTTGCTCGAAGAGCCGGTCCCAGTCGTTGATGGCGCCGACCATGTTGCGCTGGTGGATGTAGTCGAATGCTTTGGTGGGGGGGTAGGGCCAGGGGGCTTCGACGTCGTCGACGACGAACTGGCAGTTTGGGGCGGTCCTGCATTTCGAGTTAGTCTGGTCGTTTCAAAGGGAGATCGCATAATTGACGAGCATACCAATACGGCTGGATCGGACTGAGGTCAATCCCCAAGACCTCCGCACCAGGAAACTCATCCGCCATATCGAGGGCCCAGATGCCGGTACCGGTTCCGATATCCAGGACACGCTGCGGCGAGTCGATAGGCGCCTTGTGCAGACTCCCACCCAGCATCAACCGAAAGATATGGTGGACCATATCCAGACGGTCCTGCTCGGCGTCATCATTCGGAAATAGGTACTCCCCCTCGCGGAACTTGTGGTATCGCCGGCCGTTCTCATACACATAGTCCCTCACACTGGAAGACAGCGACGTCGTCAGCGACGCGATGTCGTCCTCGGAGATAGCGGAGTCGGTATCCGTCGTGAAGCCCTCATCGGCTTCTATATCGCGTCCCTGGGCGGGGACGGCCGCCTCAACGGGGTGGGTATGGGGGGTACCATGGTCGGCCATGTCGGGAATTCAATATTGGTAGGGATGGAGTGGGCATGATGATCCGGTTACAGACGACGTGGTGGGGAGTGAGTTGGCCCTGGCCAAGACTTGTGGGCTTTAACTTCATGCTAACTCCATACTAGTCCGTGCTAACGATCGAATACGATCTTCTATTGATTGCTGACGACTTTTTGTCCCCACACTTTGGTCGGAAGTGGTTTATCCGTCTCCTATCACATTCTGCTACTGCAGTCGATCATACACTCCACAAGACATATCCTGCATCGTGATGCCTCGGATGACTCCATGATCTGCCATCTGGAGCGCATAGACACTATTATCTCCGACCAGCACATCCACTGGATAGGTATAAGCTGTCACTACATTCTATGGCCGGCTGGTTTTGTCAAATTACTATTGAGTCGTCCTGCGTCAGCTACAGCAGAAGCAAATAATCAAGACCAAGATAAAAACCACCAAACCGGGATAAATATTCTCGTGACGCACCACATGGCGCTCGTGCTGTCGAATGGTCCCCTTGGCCATCCAGATACTCATGCTCGTTACACTGGCTGGTGATTCTACCTATTGCCAAGTCTGGGCCTTGAGCCTCTCTGTGCCATTATCTCTCTTGTACTTATATGGATATAGCGGTTGCGGTATAGCAGCTTGGAACTACGAGAGTTGTCACTCTCCCTAATATACTGGGAATGTAGGTTCTACTTGAATCAAAGAAGCAAAAAAGCAAAAGAAAAAAAAAGAAAAAAAAACAACAACAACAACAACAACAACAACAACATCGGGGGCAGAAGGACGAGAGGAAGAGACGGAGAAAAGAAAAAGAGAAAATAAGGGAGAGCGTCACAGGAGAAGACTATGATACTAGGTTCTCCAACACCTGAACGACCTCCAAAGTGAATCTCTGGTCAAGCATACCAATCTCATCAGTATTATCGTCCCACTCTCTCCGGCCGCCGATAGCATCAAACGCACAATCTGCGGGCGTAGTGCACAGAAATCCGGTCAGACACTTTTCCACGACAGTCTTATATTCCGGAGGCATGGAATCATCCAGCAGATGTAGATTGCTCTTGGCAAAATAATACGCCCCATCGAACCTGCAGTTTGTAGGTTCGGAAGCCTCTAGCGGATGTGTCTGTATGTGGAAGACAGCCTTCCCTTTGGCCAAGTCTTTACAACTTGGGCAGTTGATTGGGACACGATTTTCGAGGGAGTTCCAGAGACCGACTTCAAAGAGAACGAGCCCCAGACTGTAAATGTCATACCTCTTCTGGTACCGTGTTTGACTTCCCGAAAACTGTTTGTACGCCGGTGCGAGATACAAGTCAGTGAAGGTTCGAACTTCTTGATTTGTGACTATATGAGTCCCATATAAGCGAGAATGCGAAAAGCCTGCGAGCCATGGCTGTGTCAAATCATAGTCCTGACTGCCCTCCTTGACGAAGAAAAGGAAGTTATCCGGCCTTATATCTTTGTGAATCCAGTGAACCGAGTGTATCTGGAGCAGGGACAGAGCTGCATGAAATGCTAGTTGAAGGCGCTCACTTGGAGTCGGAGAAGGACAGTTTGTACGTGAAAGTGGGTTGGATCTGGCAATGAGACCAGTAAGATTGATCGGTGAGAATCTGGTGTCGCTGCCCCGTGGAAATGAGAAAACCAGCAAGTCAACCATTTCTTGATGTTTTTCGTATCCGAGGCAGTTCAGGACTCTGAAATCGGTCGGCATTGTTCCCTCTCCCATAATCTGGGCGAGAGCATCTCCTCTTCTCACACGTTCAAGATGCATGATAAAATTTGGTTCGACTATCACACGATTGCCAAGGTACTCGCTAGTGAAATAGCCACCAAATAGATCTGCCAGAGCAGAGATGGATCCACGCCGGAGCTCCCACTTGCTATTGGCGACACCTATTGAGTGGTCACTTTTAGCCGACTTCGCGACCACATCCCTGAGCCTCGCTGCTTGCGATAAAGCAGGATATTGGTCAGCAGCGGCAGTCACAATGCTTGCCATGGCTTCTTCATCGGAAACACGCGGGAGAATCAGAGATGGAAGCCTTTTGGATGTGGCTGTTTGCAAGTGAGGTACCAGGCTAGCCAGACTGTCGTTATACTCCCTCAGTTCCTCGACAAAGTTGGATAGACGTGATTTATCTATCATGGCCCATTTCACTTTCTTTTTGTAAGAGATGCGCGCTTCATTTTTTTGTTTCTCGGGCGTCGTTTGCCACACACCCTCCTCTGTTGGCAAGCCATGACGCTCCCAGAAATCCCGGGGCAGTGAGGTGATAGAAGGCATCGCATAGGCGTCTGATCCTCTACCAGCCTGCGCCTTGCCACTTGCTAGCCTTGGCGACACTCGTCGGCCAAGCAAACAGTATTTTTCGGTGATCTTGGTTGCAACTCTTAGCGTGTCTATCAACGTAGTAGAGATTGTCAGTACCGATGGCTTTGACTTGAATATCACTCTCGACCCTGTGGGGAAGACTGTCTAGCACAACCTTGAATCTGATTGAAAATCCTCATAACAAGCTGCATCATCTCGGGTTCGAAGGGCAATCGCTCGGCCAGTTCCAGTTCAACAAGACCCAGCCCCTTCAAGCAAAGATAAAATCTTGTTCTTTCTATATCGATCTTCATAAGTAAAGTTGAGCCATCGCTTTGAAAATCCCGTACAGTCGCGCGAAGACGATAGGCATCAGCACAGGTAGCCGCCAAGGAGACCAGGCTAACTGCTCCCACCGCCAGACCTGCTGCTTCAGCCATATCGCAAGATGGACGCGCTTCTAATCTAGCTTTGTTGCTTTGTGGAAACTGGTCTCAGAAAAAAGAACATTGAGAAAAGGTACTATGGGGTGCTAGGCCTAGATAGAAACAAAGGGGGACTTCAGCTTGATTTGCAGCAGAGATCTACATTTGCTCAACTAGTTAACGAAGACCCCTCAGCTGACTAAAGTCATTGCGGCGCAGTGAACTAGGTAAATAGTATATAACAGCTTGTCATTTATGAAAATCTACACTGTGTAGCTGATATGCCGTTCAATATAACACTCGGTAGGGGTAGACGCTCAGAGTACTGAGGGAGGTTGCAGTAAAATGATGGGTATATCATCAGTCAGGTTCCGCCCTATATCAAACGTTGGACTTTTGGCGTAGCGGCTACGATATGTTTGGTCGCAAATGTAGGAACAAGACCAGCTTCTCTTTAGGGTTACAATGAAATCAGCAATCAGTTAACTTCTGACAGACCAAAAATTGGCTCCAGATTGATGGGCGGAATTCTGAATAGGCGAAGATCAAAGCAAAAACAGAGTTACGTAGAGCAGTTATATCACATCCCAAGGCCCTTGATCAATTAGATGATTGATTAAGCAATTGTTGGTCTGGTAAAAGTAAAGACAATTGACTAATCTACCACCATGGTCAACCGAATCAATGGATTTTCTATACCTTTATCTGTATGGTTATGGTTAGGTTACAGTTCAGGTACACCAGTCGGGTTAACCCACCCCAGAAGCCATTGATATCTATCTGATATCTATGTATTCTCTCAGGGTAATCACAGTTGATAATCTCATCTCGAGTGTCTTTCCATAAAGATATTTTTGATGAAAATAGTTATCAGGAATCATAGAATCCCAGCCCAAAACCAAAATGGAAGCCTAGAATGCAGTTGGTCAGAAAGTCGTGAATCCAGAATTATACTTCATATCACCTACCAGAAAACCCCAAGTGACAAACAAAGCTTCCGTTGTATTGGGAATACGCGCCTCAGATATCCACATGCCAGATGTTGAAACTGCCAATGTCATGTGACAAATAGTTGGCTGGGACAAAGCAAAGCGGACTTTGAAAAAGGTGTGCTGAAGGTGAACCGTCACTGTATGCAAAGCTGGAGTGGACGACAGGCTGAGATGGCCTGCAAGTTATGAGATTCAATCATAGCCTCCTTCTGGAATTCATAAAATAGAGATATTAGTGTGTCCTCGCCAGAATTACGTCTTGACCACGCCATGAGATGCTTTAGCAGTTTGAGCCGGGGCCGCTGATTTGAGTTTGAAAACTCTCGGTCTCGAATCCATATATGGGGTCTAATGCACTTGTAATATATATATCTGCATGACAGGTGACTTTGCGCCGGCGCCGGCGGGTATGCCGTTATGTTCTCGTCAGCGACTTCTGTTGGGGATATCGGTCATACCCAACTTGATATGGTGCGGACATTGTTGAGTTGTTTGCCGCCGAGCTGCCACCGGGGCATCAAATAGCCACAGAAGTCTACCGCGTGGTTGAACATCGGAGTGGCTGGTGAATACCACATGAATTCTGGTTGCAATGCACGGATGGCGTGGTTAAAGGAGGACGACAGATTTTTCACGAAGTGTCCTTCATCACATATGACTCGGCTGAACTCTTTCCAGTAACCATCCATAATACGAAGAAGACCGCCCCATGCCCCTCAGGGTGTCCGTTTGTTAGGCCAGATATATAGTCTCTGGCATGACCATGCGGTGAAGGATCAGGCAGCGTATTGCTGCAGAAGCCAAGCTCATCTCGATAAAAAGGATTGTGACCTGAAAATTGATCTCTAGAAACGATCTCCACAGATGTTGTCAGTTTCATGATTGGATCGAAATACAGTCGGCTTCTCAAAGCACTTACTATTGAATAGGTCACCCCCTTCGTATTTCTTGATCTTAACTTCCTAGGCACAAACAGAATGAGGTTCACGACCTCATTCTCTATCAATCCCATGAACCGGGGGGACTAGTGGGCCGGACGCTTGAGATCAACATTCGCGAAAGACAGGCGATAGACATCGAGTGCGTTTGCAAAAGCATACTGATGTCCGGAGTATGCAGCAGTTTCGGTCCAAGCTGCCGAAATAAAGCGAGCTCGAAACATCCTTGCTCTTCGATGTCTCCGTTCAGTAAAGAAATAATAGTATAGGCAAATTTATATCGCCTTTCAGCAACATTCAAGGGGGCTCGGCTGGAAAATAGCAGTCACAAACTTTGCTAAGCCAGGTGATGCACGGCTAACGAGCACAATACAGAGATTGAGGCCGAATTGGAGGATATGACGCAGGTTCCAATCCCACATCTCAAAAGATCAACTCTTAAGCTCGTTGGGTATGCCCATGGTTCTGCCCACCGCTTTGATCGGTCCAATGTACTTACCAAAGTTGGTTGCATTCTGATCTCTTGGTGGCTATTTCCGCACGGATGTAGATGGTTCTTCAATCTCAGGATGGAAATTTTGGTGCAAATATACTGTTTGAGATATTGATGCCGGATGATATCTTGTTGGGCTCCGAGCTCATAATGACAGCCACTGCACCAAATGCGGGTTCGGTATATTGAGCCAGGATTGATATGACCGATATTCCAACGTATGATATATAAGAAGGCAGAGCTTTCGGGTCGACAACATATGATTGGAGTCTCCGGATGTCATGGTGCTATAAGATATGATATAAATGATCCTGTATGTCAAAAATAAAGGAACAAAAATGAAATAGTTCCTAGGATTAGGTTAGAAGTGGGGAGGACATTGAATATATAGCTTTTTTTCCTGACACAGCTCTCTATTGTCACTCATTCACAGCGTTTGTAGAGTGACAGTATATTTGTGCTCCATACTGCATGGCTCTGTGTGTGAAAGAGGAGCATGTATTCAAAACAAAGCTTTCATTACCTTCTAATTTACTGGTTTATATTCAGTGAATAGTAGATAACAAGTAAAAGAATGTGATTGTTAGATTCCTGCTTTAGCTATCACTTGGTGTTTCACATCCTCAATACAAAGGATTATAACTTGTTTGCAATGTCAACGAAGATATCAATCAGTGACTGACAGTAGATACTTCTCATATATTGAGCAAAGGGGCTAGCCCTCAGGAAACCATACTGCTGCCTGGAGGCTGGCGCGTGTCTCAGTTGCCCTGAAGAATAGAAACAATGCAAGTATCTGCAAGGGAAATATCGCGCTACAATTCTTCAGGAACTATGCATAATATTTGCAATAGGTCTCTTTTCCCACACCACTTTAGACAAATACAATGAGATATATCAAGATCAAATCCATGCAAGGATATGCACACCGAAAAGGAGGTCCGTCACAGGTCTCATACATCCATCCCCCTTGCATTCCAACTACACCATCAATTGATATAGACTATTTTCGCCACAACAGGAACAGAATTCCGATCATAGACAAAGTGTCTTCGCGAGTCAATTGAGATTTTTTGGCAATTACTAATAAAGATCACATGGTCAGCTTTGGTGGAATGCAGTCAAAGCCCTAAACATTCCGCCCCTGCATTCAAGCTCGTCGTTCTCACACGAAGTCGACCGTGGTTCAAACTCGGAACAACTGTTGTCGCAACCCAAGAGACTGAATCCCCAGTTGTAGCAACATGTGGGAGTATTTTGAAAAGAAATCAGTCCTAGTGACTGGTGGATCCGGGTTTTTGGGCACGGCGATTGTCCATCGCCTTCTCACGAGAACTTCGACATCATGTCTCTACTTGGTCTGTCGAGGAGGTGTTGAGTAAGTGCTTGTACGAAGTATAGACCAGAGGGGCTTGGATTGTTACTAACCTATCTTGCAGCCAGCTTCACGCCAAGTGGAAGGAATGGTTACCTCCTGGCGCTGTCGACCAGCTGTGCAGTACGGACCGGATCATTATACTCCACGGCGACATCCTTCAACCAAATCTTGGGCTAACCGGCCTGGAGCTGGATAATGTCCGACATGACATCAACATTATCATTCACGCGGCATCATCTATCAACCTCATCAAGCCACTGCATCAGTTATCTGATACGATTATTGAGGCCAGTAATATGATGGCTGACCTGGCCTTGACATGTAAAAGGCTGGACCGGTTCGTCTACGTCTCCACTGCATACGCGAACACGCACTACTACGCCCGATGCGACGAGCTTGATGTGAGAATCGACGAGATCACATATCCTTTGCAACGCCAACGCTCCGTCCTTGACGAGCTAGAGGAAGTGCGAAAGCGCGGCACAAGCCAGGCATATGAGGCGGAGAGTTTCCCCTGGGCCTACGCATACGCAAAACACCTCACGGAGAGGTTACTCCATTACAAGTTCAGCAAGAATGTCTCCGTGGAAAAGCTGCTTATCATCCGTCCGTCGGTGATCGGCCCGTCTCAGGCGCTGCCATTCCCCGGCTACAACATGCCTCTGTCATCTCCATGCACAGTATGTGTAGCTGGATTAGCGCTTACCCCACTCCGCAGAATCAAAATAGCTACGAAAATGAGTCATCCAGACCTGGAAACACACCAAGACGAGGTCCCGGTGGACGTGGTCGCGGATCGCCTTCTCTGTCATCTCGCGCTGGGCACGCATGGGTGTGTCCACGCGGTCAGCGGTGTAAGGGCGCGGATGAAGTATGAGCCATGGCGGAGGGCTTTGACGAAGATCCGCCGAATCCCATGGGAAGTGCAGCCTCTGTGGGTGAAGGGCGATTGGAAGTCTCCTGATCAGCATCATCTGGCTCGGCTTTATGCCGTTCTGGGAACGTCTTTTGCCTTCTCGGAAGACCGGACAGTTGCCGTTTATGAAAAGCATCCGGAGATCAAGGACTTGGGTTTGCAGCTGTTTACGGACCTTGACATGGGTGGAAGTTTTCTGTCTCGGGCCCAAGGGATCCGCTATGTGATGGATCGGCTTGCCAAAAGGAGTTGGTTGGTCTGGTTGATAGTCGTTATCTTTTATTCTGATTTTGGGAAGACTCCGCCCCCTGGCCGTCTGAAGGTATTATAGACTATTGAGAGGAAATAGTGGTTAGCTTGGACGATCTATATATGGCGATGCTAAGCCTCGGGGTTTCCAACTTGAATTCCTCGTAGGTCATCTTGGTCGCCGGCTTAGGGCTGAACGGGCCATGGTTTACATATAGCCTGGGGCAAAAAGATATGATGGGCATAAGGAAGTATGACTATTGCTTCCTTCTTTCCTTCTTTCCTTCTTTCCTTCTTTCCTTCTTTCCTTCTTTCCTTCTTTCCTTCTTTCCTTCTTTCCTTCTTTCCTTCTTTCCTTCTTTCCTTCTTCCCTTCTCTGCCTTTCTTCTTCCTGGAAGGAAGGAGGCGGGGGACATCTTCGCTCCTTCCAGTCTAAGAGAAAAGCTCAAAATGACATTGACAGACAATACAAATCGATTGAATAACTATCACCATACTAACGGCACTCATCACATCATATACTCTGACATACAGCCCATACTCCTTTCACCCAGTGTTTTATTTTCAAGCCTTCTGGATATACCGGTCGAAGATCTCCCCAATAGTCTTGGCACTCTGCTTAGGTATCCTCTTCTGATCATTCTCATAGTCGACATAAGTCACACCGAACCGGGTCTCGTAGCCCTCGGCCCACTCAAAGTTACTGTCCAGCCATTAGTCTAGTGCTCATTTCAAATCAAAGAGGATGGAGAACTCACTCGAGCAAGCTCCACGCCATGTAAGCGCGCACGTTCACCCCATCAAGCGTATACGCATCAGCCATAGCATCGATATAATCGCGGAAATACTGCGTGCGGAACTCATCCTCCAGCAGCTGATCCAGCGGGAGATCATTCTCGCCCTTCAAGCTAGTTCCATTCTCCGTGACGTAGATCTTCGGCCGGCCATACCGATCACTCAGCCACTTCAGCAGCTTACGGAACCCGATCGCAGACGGGCGCAGCCAAGGCGACTGCGTCTCGGGACCGACCCACTCGCCCTTCTTGTTTGACAGGAGGATCTCGAGGTTACCAGCTGTGTCGTTGGGGTCGGGCTCGCCGGTGCGCGCCCTGATGTAGTTCGCGCAGTAGTGGTTCATGCCGTAGAAGTCGTTGCTGCCGTGGACGAGGGCGATGTCTTCGGGGGACCAGGTGGGCAGGCGGTCGCCTAGCTGCTTGACCATGCTGTCGGGGTATTTGCCGTGGTAGATGGGGTCCGCGAACCAGGAGATGGCGAACTCGATCTTGCGATCGCAGGCTTCGACGTCGGCTGGGTTCTCGGGGTCCCAGGGTTCGGCCCAGTCGCCTGTTGGTCGTAATTAGCTTCTTGTAGACAGCGATAGCTAGAGGGAGGGAGAAGCTGTACCGTTAAGAGTGATTCCAATCTCCCCACCGTCTCTCTCCTTGAACTCATCCCGATAAATCTTCACCGCAGCCCCATGAGCAACAAGCAGACTATGTCCCACAGTCCAAGGCTCGCGCGAACCATCCCCGACAGCGCTCTTAGTGCGGTCACTCGTGTGTCCAGGAGCGAACTGTCCCACATTGTACCCAAGAACACTGCTGCACCAGGGTTCATTGAAAGTAATCCAGTACTTGACCTTGTCGCCCATAGCGTCGAAGACGACACGAGCGTAGCGCGCAAAGTCAGCGACGAACTCCTCCTTGTTCAGGAGACCGCCGTAGCGCTTGTCCAGCTCATCGGGCAGGTCCCAGTGGAAGAGAGTGACCAAGGGCTTGATGCCTGCTTCGAGCAGATCATCTACGAACTTAACGTAGTGCTGCAGGCCCTTTTGGTTGATGGGGTCGTTGCGGCCTCCGAGGGGGATGACACGGGACCTGTATTTGTATGGTTGGTTAGCGAGACGACCGAATAATGCATTAGAGACGTTGACGTAGCCTACCATGAGATGGAGAAGCGGTAAGCCTGTGCACCGCATGTCTTCAACAAGGCAATGTCCTCGTGGGTGCGGTGGTACGAGTCGCAGGCTACATCGCCCGTCGCGCCACCGGCAATCTTGCCTGGGACTTTGCAGAATGTGTCCCAAATGGATGGGCCTCGGCCATCCTCGCTCACTGCGCCTTCAATTTGGTAGCTGTATTGGAATTGTCAGTTACCAGTGACGAGGACTTGTGTTTCAGGTAAACTGCGTAATAATATGGTCTTACCTGGCTGTTGCGAAGCCCCAGAGGAAATCAGGCGGGAGAGTCGATGTAGAGCCCATGGTTGTGATTTTGTATGGGACGTGCAAACTGACTTATCTTGTTTTTGATATAGAATACGAAACAGTAGACTTACAAAATGAAAGCTCTATTTTCTATTTTCCCGGGGGAGGGGTGGTTTAAATGCCTTCAGTTCACCGGGGCTTTCTCCGCATATTCCAGCGATTGAGGGGCAGGTGGGGGATGAGCCCACCGCGACAGGTTCCCTCTTCGGCATGGAACCACTTGATCCAACCACCAACGCCGTTTCAGGAGGCCTTTCTGGGGTGTTGAAGCGAGCATGGATCGCAAGTGGTGTGGAATCCCAAGACAAAAGCGCATTCTGCGGGGCAAAAGGAGCGGCTTGACGGGCCGATGTCCGGTTTAGATTAGGCTAGTCTATTCCCTGTCGTTACCAGGGATCAGATAATTGAGGAGAGTAGATCAATATGTCTGAGAGTATGATATATTGAATGCAAATGCGCAAGTACAGCGAGTCAGATTCTTTGCATAATGTCACAAATTGGTCGCTTTGAAATTCCATTAGTAGCCCATCCGCCAATCATGCTGTCCCGTGAGAAATACAATTCATATGAACCAGATGGACGAGATAGATTACAAGCAAGTCAGTAAGAAAGCATGCAGAAAGCAAGGAAAAGGGACAAAACTAAATCAATGCTGCCTTGTCTTCCTACCAGTCATTAAACGCCATGCAAGGCTGGGGCACGAGCAGTACTCAGGATATCTCCATCCCGTCAATGTCATCGCCGTCAAGGTCGTCAAGGTCGTCAGCGGCGGTACCGCCAAGAGTCAGTTGGGACCGTTTAGAGTCGCGAGCCGGACCCAGTCCGTCCGCGCCCAAGCCTCCGGCCAGCTCTAGCTCGGGCCCGCCGACGATCCGGCCTTCCGTATCAACCACCTCGCACAGCTCAATCAAGTTCTGTCGGCTGAGAGACTTAAAACCCTCAGTGCGCACGACCCGGCCCCAGTGGCCAAGGCAGAATTGCGACGCGCGACGCATGAGCCATTCCTCATTGGTACGCCGGGCACGTTCCCAGATAATGGCAGCGTTCTCCACGTCCAATTCGCGGCTCAGCCGGTTGACGCACAAGAGGCGTAGTTTGGGCATGTCGTAGAGATTCGCCATCACGAGCATCCCGGCAACGTCAATTATGTCAGAACAGTACTCAGGGTGCCCGGCAATGCTATCCGTGTATAGATAATACAAGAAAGCACGGACCACGGAGTACGGCTCCGGAATGTGCAATCGCTTGGAATGGTACTCGGCCATACGAGCAGAATAAAGCCGTTTGAAGTGGGGCCATCGCAACTGTAGGATGATACGATGCACGTGAATAGGTGGGGACGTATTCACGTTGGGTGGCAGGAAGCTGGGGGGGGGATCGACGTTCGGCTCTTCCGTGTGATCATCGGGGCCCGGCTCCTCGTCCGGATTCGCAGTGATCGTAAAATCAGCCTCACTGCCAGACTCCGGTGACTGGTCAAATACGGCCGAGAGATCCGTCCCAATGCCAGACAGCGACGACAGGCCCGGTCTTTCAGCGACCCGCACCCTTGCTTGGTCGGCCGCTACGGCAGCCATCTCGTCACCCAGCAGGCCGTACCGCCGCAAATCAAGACAGAGAACTTCACTCATGGAGTTTTCGTCACTCGTCCCTGGAGTTCCCCCGACATCTAGGCTACATCCCAACAGCCACGCTTTCGTGCCGGTCGTATCGACTGTGCAGTAATGCCATCGAAAGCCGGGCTTGAATATTTCCTGTCCATCTGCGAGCTTTTGCCAGCGTAATGAATCGAGCTCTAAGGACGACAGATTACATTCGAACGTTCGCACTGTCTCCGAGGGAGTGATTAGGTCCAACAGAACACCCGACGCGTAGGCCTGGAAGTGGGTCCCGGAAAAGAGAGAGGGAACATGGGCTCCAGACTTGAACCGAAGGCAGGAAATGGCCCCCGGAGCCATGAGTTTGCGTCGATTGGAATTGCGCACTTGAACACTCCCTGAGTTGGCGGCATAGCTCCCGGACCGGCCGGGTAGCTGTTGGCTTGGACTACTAAACAATGCATCTGGGCTGTGAGTCATCCTGTTCGGGGTCGCGGGGGAATCCAAGGTACCTTGCGAATCGGCCATTGAAAGGGACGGGACGCCTTTGAGGTCCAGCCACCAAATGTCGGTCGTGCGCTCCATGTCCGGGTCGAGGCCTCCAAAGATCCACAACCGGCCTCCCCACACCCAGGCAATATGGTCGAACCGGGCGGTAAATCTCCAGGAGCGAGACCAGGTCCAGGTTTTCAGATCCAGATAGGATATGTCGTCAAGGATGACACTGTTCTCACCCGTCACACCACCGACGATAAATAGCTTTTCGTCGTATATCACGGCAGCATGGCGAGCCCTTCCTCGCGGGACAGATCCACGAATTTCTGGTTGAGTCCACGTGGAGGTTGAGAGGTCGAGGATGACGACATCCGACAGGTATTCGCGATGTTCATTTTCACCTCCAAACACGATCAGCTTGTCTCCATGGTATACGGTAGCCGTGTGTCCTAGAAAGGTAAATCACACAAGTCAGCACAACGTCTAGATGGAGTTATTAGAATTATCCGGAAAGGACCAACCCATGCGAACGCCGGGAATATCTCCATAGTTATCCACCAGCTCCCACCGCCATGTCTTTAAATTTAATTTCAAGACATGGTTGTACACTATTGGAGAAAATATTAGCACAACACTGCTCCTCAGCAACGCCAACCAAATGAGGAATCGTTAAGAGAACCTTCATCAGTATACTGATCAAAACCACCAAAAGCATAGATCTGATCGTTATCGCAATACGTCACTGAAGCATTGACCAGGCAGGCGGGAACATGGCCTTGGGCCTTCCGGATGGTCGGGCGGGAGTCTGCGCTGCCACGGCGACCAGAAGGACTCGCAGACATTAAGAATGTATCCTGCGAATTCGGGGTGGAGAGGGAAGTCATCGTCCAAGGGACCCTAGAGGGGCAGATTCAATTAAGGTGGGTCCACAGGAGCGTTACTATTCCGGTAGTTAGTCGATGGAGTAGAAGGCGGGTTGCCAGGCCATCAATATCCGTCCAGTCTAGCGGTACCAGGGAAACCACCAGGAGGGCAATTACCCGTCACAGCGGCAGGAGGCAGAGGGAACGAAGATAACTGCCTGGAAAAATAGAATATTATGGATCATATATGAATCAAATCCCACCCTTTCATGATTCAGACACTGCCACACAGTTCAAAGAGACAAAGAGTGGAGATTGATGGTTCAGGAGGAAAAGAGAAAGAAAAAAACGCCAAGACCGATCGACCGCCGAAAAGGGAAGAGCCTCATGTCAGGTGCCGGTCTAACCGCATTGGGTAGCATGTTGCCGTACCTCCAGTAACCGTTGCCATGGGTGAAAGCACAATCTATATCCTGTATTTATTCCTCCTCCTTTTCGCTGCTCTGGCTCGTCCTTCTCTTCCTTCTCCTTCTTCCTCATTATCCTCTTCTCTTTTCTCGGTTTATATGCTACTCTGTGCATTTGATATCCATTGCAGCTGTCTTAGTGCTTGCATCGAGTATCTTCACTGAGTTACATCGTCATCCTTGTCTCCGTTATTCAGCGTCCCTAGAAGACTGGATTCTCCTCGACGACTGGAACCAGCTCTTTTTCTCTTCTTGATTGTGTTTTGTCTTGCGTAAATAGATACCACCATGGCGACTCCTTCAGTATCAACTCCCGTCAAGACCCATCATGGGATCTTCTCAACTAAAACCGCCGGTGGCCGCTTGCCCCTCACCCCCTCCCCGCGCACACGGGGCGACAGCGCCGCGTCCAACCCTTCCAGCCCCTTCACCCCACCTTGCCAGGCAGCGGAGGGGACAAAGGAAGATAAGCGCTCCGTCTACGGTGGAAATCTCTCCTCGTACTTCACCAAATCCATGGCAAAGGCCACCCGCGGCTACCGCGAATCTCCCAAGTCCAACATTGCTCGTGTGCGCAAGTCCCCGAAGCACCTGGAGCTGGGTGTTTCGGAATGGCAATTGACGGGGACGGGTCCGACTCAGTCCCCCTCCAAGGAGCGACTGCGCAAAGATACCGCCAGCCGGAAAGAGCCGTCGACCCGCACCACAAGGAGTGGCAAGACGACCGTTCGGATCTCCCACAACGCGGCAGACAGATTCATCCCCAACCGCACGGCAAGCGAGGGACTGGCCACCGCCGGTACCGCTAAGCCTGAAGAAAACCAGCGACCCAAGACCAGCGGCAATGAGGGATCTACGGTTCTCGCTAGCGCAGCCAGTGCTTTCGACATTGGTGGTCGTGGAACCGACGACGACATCACCGCGGCTCTTGAGAACCTGGGCCTGGATGATACTGAAAGCTCGAAATCATACACTAAGCCGGCGCCTGATGCGGTTGCCTACGAGTCTTCGCTGGCTGATGCTTGCGGAGTGAATCTGAACACACGCATCCTCGCTTTCAAGCCTCCTCCGCCAGAGTCGTCCAAGCCCATCGACCTGCGTGCGCAATACAATCGTCCCCTGAAATCCGTTAAAGCGCAGTCCGCCCAGTTCCGCCGCAGAGTGCAGACGGCTCCCGAGAGGGTTCTGGATGCGCCGGGTCTCGTCGATGACTACTATCTGAATCTCTTGGATTGGAGCTCCGGCAACCAGGTCGCCATCGGCCTGGAGCGGAACGTCTACGTCTGGTCTGCAGAGTCGGGTACCGTCGATTGCTTGTTGGAGACCTCGCCGGACACCTACGTGACCAGCGTGAAGTGGAGCGGCGACGGCGCGTACGTCGGCGTTGGTCTGGGAACCGGTGAGGTCCAAATCTGGGACGTTGAGGAGGGTAGCAAGCTTCGCAGCATGTTCGGACACGACTCCCGGGTCGGTGTCATGGGCTGGTCGAAGCACACCCTGTCCACTGGTGCACGCAGCGGTCTTGTCTTCAACCACGATGTCCGCATTGCGGAGCACAAGGTCGCCGAGCTCGTCTCGCATACATCCGAAGTCTGCGGTCTCGAGTGGCGATCCGACGGCGCCCAGCTGGCCACCGGTGGAAACGACAACCTCGTCAACATCTGGGATGCGCGGTCCCTGAGCGCTCCCAAGTTCACCAAGACCAACCACCGTGCGGCCGTCAAGGCCCTCAGCTGGTGCCCGTGGCAGATGAACCTGCTGGCCACCGGGGGTGGTTCGTACGATCGTCACATTCACTTCTGGAACACCACCACCGGCGCCCGGACCAACAGCATCGACACCGGCTCCCAGGTCACCAGCTTGCGGTGGAGCAACCACTACCGGGAGATCGTCAGCTCCAGCGGATTCCCCGACAACTCCTTGAGCATCTGGAGCTACCCGACTTTGGTGCGCAACGTGGAAATCCCTGCGCACGAGACCCGTGTCCTTCACAGCAGTCTCAGCCCAGATGGTCAGCTTCTGGCGACCGCGGCAGCGGATGAGAGCTTGAAATTCTGGAAGGTCTTTGAGCGCAAGCCTGGCCAGAGTGCCTCGGCATCCCGGGAAGGCGGTGTTGGTAGCAAGGCTCAGATGACCAAGTCCATGACCATCCGGTAGTGGGCTGTTCTTTCTTTTCCTTTCCTTTCTTTTGTTTTCTTTTTATCCTTTAATTTCGGGTTAAATGCTTGCGAGCATGGTTCTTTGGTGTTGGCATTGGGGTTTTCGGCGTTGTGTTCGAGCGACGCCACAGATATCCATTCTTTTGGGGTTTTGGCGTCCGTGCGGGCGGCGTTGTATGTATTTAATTGATCATATCTTGGTCGATATTCTTGAATAGAGCTTTTACCATTGGTAACCACTGCTTTCATTAAGTCAACTCACGAACCTGTCATTGATGTTTCTTTTTACTTGATTACTGCATATGAATCACTGGACTCAGGCATCCAGAGTTTGGGTGAGGCGGGTGATGACTAAGCAGAGGGATCAAGACCGATTTCGCCCATTCTAGAGTGACCTTCACCTCAACAACGACTTGACCTGTCTCTTACTTGCTTGCTGGTTCACTGTCCTCCCATATCGCTCGCCTTACGACGCTTTTCGGTCTTTACATTGGTTTCAGTTGCATGAAGAGGTGCCATCTGTCTACACAGTTAGTCTGAGGCCCAGGACATCCATTCAGTAGTCGTCACTTGACGGTTGTGTCGCCATAGCCGTGGCAACTACCGGTCGCCGTCCTATCACCCATACAATTGCGACAGCAGATTCCGTTCCACTTCCTCTGCTCTTTGGTTCCATCAGTAGTCCGATCTTGTTTACGGGTTCTTCTCACCGATCATGTCGAACCAGCAGGTGGTGAGTGCTATCTGCCAGAGTGTTGCCCTGTCGGAGTTGCGGCATCACCCTGCCTTTCTCCATCCTTGTTCCATCCCCAGACTCCGTTTCCCATCGTGTTGGATCACTCTTGGGATTTGGCTGATACCAGGTGATATAGGGCACAGTGTTTGATCGTGTCATCCAGGAGGTGTGCGATGCATCCCAGGTTGATTTCGAAGAGAGCGGAGTCGATCAGCAGACGTTGCTGGATCTGAGAAAGGTGAGTCCCAGCATTTTGTTTCTTTTCCCTGCTTTTTCTTTTTTCTTTTTTTCGACTTTATCACCACCATATATCTTGGCGATGAAAGTCCTGGACGGCGAGCAAGCACGCAAGGGAGCGATGATGCGCTCCCAGGCTGGACAAGCGGGGTCTGGAAAAAGCGGGAGGCGGTGCGGCATCTCTGGGGGAACCGCCTGCTTTTGAGTCTCTTTTATACCGTGCCGCTTTTACCCGCTGCTGCCTTAGGCCGCCAAGCCTGCCCCTTCTATAATTATCCTCCACTATACATCCTCACTATACACCTCTGCTCGTCGCTCAACCCCCACGCTCCACTCATTGAATTCTCAACTCTAACACATTTTCAGAGCTGGCAAGCAAAACTTTCTTCCCTCGGCGTCGCCCATTTTCCCTGGGATCCTGCCCCCCAGCCCAACAACCCTCCGCAAACCCAAAATCAACCCCCCGCCCAGACTCCGACTCAACCTCCGAACCAAAATCCTATCCTCCCTCCTACCGCGACCGTCCCCTCCAACGCCCCTCGGCCTGCCGCATCTCAACCTCCGCAACACCATGTCCCTCCCCAGCAGCCCTTACCACAGTCGATGCCGGGCACGGCACCTCCCCTACAGGCGCCGACTCCAGTCAGCGCGGCTCCCATGGGACAGGGTCCTCATATCAAGACGGAACCCGGTTTGAATGCCCCTGGCATGCCGCAACTCAACATGATGCCCGGGAACCCTCAAAACTCCCAATCCGCCCGCGAACGAGCTGCGAACATGCTGCACCAGAAGTATGGCGCGGCTGCCGCCAACTCCGTCAGTCAGCTACAGGCCCAACAGGCCCAACAGGCCCAACAGGCCCAGTCTCACTTGAACATGGGAATGCCTGGTCATCCCGGCCAGCCCGGCCAACCGCGCCCCCAGAACATGCCGCAGATGCCCAATGGCCAGCCCCAGATCAAGCAGGAACCAGGCTACCCGCCGATGCCGCAACACCCAGTGGGTAACTCCCAAACAGACGGCGCGGGCGACGACGCGCTATCGGACTGGAAAGCGGAGGTCGCGCGACGGCGCGCAGCGGCGCAACGTCAGGGTGGAGAAGGCGATCGTCTGCTCCGTGAACACGTGAACCAACGCATGCTGCAGATGGAGGGAGGTGGTCTTTTACTGCCGCTGGGCCAGAAGCGGTCCGCAGGACCGTCGGCGCTGGATGCCATGACGACAGCGACTAGAGGCTTGGAGCTCGATGAGGATTCATCAGTTGGGCCATCCAAGAACCTGCCTCGGGGACAATTCGACGGGCCGGGTGGCGACGACGAGCAGGAGGAAGATGACGAGGACGCCATCAACTCCGATCTCGACGACCCAGACGATTTGGTCGCTGACGATCATGATGCGGAAGATTCAATGGGCCAGGTCATGCTCTGCACGTATGACAAGGTGCAACGGGTCAAGAACAAGTGGAAGTGCACGCTGAAGGACGGCATTTTGACCACGGGTGGAAAAGAGTGAGTTTCCATCAACTTTTGGGGAATTATAAAGCTAACAGTACTAGATATGTGTTCCACAAAGGCCAGGGAGAATTCGAGTGGTAGATTTCATCTTATCTACGGTCACCCGTACCTACGACTGAACTGTATTTCTTTACGCTTCTGATATCATTTGTTGTGTAAAAACCTTTTTCCCTCAAAACATAAAGCCAACTAAAGAAAGCCCGACTTCGCCGGCATCCTTATGCTAGCGAGTCAACATTTTGATCTCACCAAAAAAATCCATCTGGCTAGGTAGTAGCGAACAGCCCTACCGACCAGACTACATATTATTCTCACGTGAATCTATTCTTCAAACGACATGCTCTGCATTTCTTTTCTTCTTTTCATTATTTTCTTGTTCATTCAGTTGGATGCACATGGCGCTATGGGGGCGAGTGACTGAATACTGACTGCTCTTCTACTGGATTCACATACGAACAATTTGATTAGAGGAACAATATGCCAGTGTGCCCGCGTAGATGTACATACATACGTATTAAGCCAACAACCAACTTCACAGCGAGCGAAGTATATAGCTATAGCTTATCTCACAGCCTCTACAACCCCAAACTTGAATCCATCCAGTCAGAATAGAGACATCAATATAACACAGGTAACCAGACAAGGTATCACAGCGGCGGACTCTTGCAGAACAACTAACTAGGGAACACATGGCCATCGCCCTGCTATACCTTATACAGTAAGCAGTAGGCAGGTAGGCACGCACCCTCAAGGGCTATACTACCTTCTAGCTCATTTTTCTTAGCTAGCACCATCTATCAAAGATATAGTTCTACCTAGTATTCACCACGGCAGTGATGTGATCCGGTGTACTCCGTAGATGAAATGCAATTGCCATATTCTAGGATAGGTCATTGATAGGTAGTGCAGTATACAGGTGAATAGATTTCAGTATCCTTCACAATTTACTTAAGTAAACTAACTAAATAACCAGTAACTCTTCACTGAACCTCTCAGTGGGTTATTGAAATGGAAATCTAAAGATAAGACCACTTTTATGTTTTTTTGGTTTCTTCTAAGAATATCATAAGGTAGGATTAGCTGATAGTATTGTTCTATACAGAGTTAGTATCTCTTGGTCATAGATTATAGCTTCTTTCTCATAGTGGAGATACATATAAATTGTAGCATTCAGTCAACAAACTGGTCATAGTATTGCGATCAGCAAGACTGATACCACTTGATCTAGATTAAGTAATAAATCTTATCTTTCCCCAAGTATCTCAATATAAAGTTCACAAAGCAATACCTTATCTCGATCCAAGTACAGACGACGAATATTACAAAATCCCAATTCCGAAACATACATACATACCAACAGTCCTACCCAATACAAAACAATATCATTGTATTATCCACACTTCCACCCATCCACCCATAATCCACCCACCCAAAAACCAAAGATGCTTAAACAACAGTGGCAAAACTCAATCCAACCGATGACGGCATACAACCAACCAACCAAACTCTATCCCCAGCCTTACAGAGCCAAACTCACGAACGGAAAGAAAGTGTGGGCTAGAAGATTCCCGAATGATCATCACCAGAAGAAGAACATGCCCACAAGCATGGATACACGCGAGCCGTGTTTTCGGGTCTCCCGTCATGATGCAATGATTGTCTTTTTGCTGGATCCGTAGTTGGGGAGGTTTGGATGACCCGGGGTGGTGGGTGGGTTGACGGTGGTTTACTGTTGTTCTGGTTCGGGGTATACTCTGAGTTTGTATGGAGATGGAGTACAGTGGGGTTCCTAGGTAGGATTTATATATACTAGGTAATACGTACGCAGGATGATAGATAGATAGTAGAAGAGAATAGAGTAGATGCGAGATAAAGCTTCTAAGCTTACTAGGATAAAACCAATCAATCTGATAAAAATGAGTCCAACTTTTCTGTTTTCGAATAACAAAGCAAAGCAAAGCAAAGCCAAAGACATGGGAATCAAAATCGCACACAAAGACGAAAAAAGGAAAAACAAATCTATCAATGTAGCTTCGCAGGGAGACAAAGGTCATGAGTCAAACCAAAGAAGCAAACTAACACCGTTTTCCGTCAACACCGCCGGTGAAATTCAAGCAACAAGCAAAAGCAAAACGGAACCAATCAAGAGGGGGAAAAGAAATAAGAAGGGAGGAGCCAAGCCAGCAGAACCAGCCTGAACGAACATCGTCTATCTAGAGTTGACGCCAAACCCGGCATGCTCACTCCGAGAAAAAGACGAAAGATGCTTCAAACATAATACCCAGTGTTGCACCAACCCTAGCCTGTCCTATCCTTGTTGCTGTTGCTTTTCATATGTCGATCTGATCGCGTTCAGTCATTCGCATCAAAAACCGTGTCGTCTGTCTTCCCGGCGGGAATTCCACACGCGGGTCGCAGTAAGGGTATGTATGAATGAGTCTCACACAGAAAAAGAGAAAGAACCGTGCGCCCCAAGAAGGTGATTTCGAAAAAGAATAGAAAAAGAGTTGTAGTGATAAACAACCGAAACTCTCATACCGGCATCTCATACCGAAATCCCACTTGTATGGATTCGGGAGGCCTTCAAATGGGACGGACTTATTAATAGACCCAAACCCGCGGGCTGTTGATATGACGTTCACACCAAAGAAAGAAAAAGAAAGAAAGAATATCGAAACTCCAAATCACTGAACCATCATCATAAATCGTAGTCGCACAACGGGCCGTCGGAATCAATCGAATCGAGTTATGTAGGATGAGAAAACAGTCCAAAATCCGTAGGAAGCGGCTATAATAGGCCCTCTTCACCAATTCCGGGGAGGCCAGCCCCGGCCACGTTGATGTTCTGTCCCTGCATGACTCCGCCGGCGAACAGGTGGCGACCCGCGGCGAGCTGGAATTCGGGATTACACGGCGGCGAGTGCGACTTGTGGTATTTGAGACCGTTCAGGTTCTTGTAGCGCTTGCCGCACACTTCGCAGCGGTACGGCTTCTCTTTCTCCATTCCCAGAGTGCCGGGATACGGCGCCGAGGTCTCGGGATTGACGATCGAAAAGGTTCCATCGGCGTTGTCGTGCAGCTGCTGGTTGTTGTGGCCGTGCTAGAAAAAAAATGAGTCAGCTAAGAAGGCATACTAATGTGATAAGATGGTAACTTACAGCCTTGTGGTATTTCAACCCGTTCTGGTTCTTGTAGGCCTTTTCGCAGCCGATAACAGGACAGCGGAAGGGCTTGGGCTCTTCGTTCGGAAGCAACGCCGTGGTGTCGGGCACCCCGGCCAGCAACTGCTGTTCGCGTATGCGACGAGCGATCTCGCTGTTCGCACCGTACTGGGCCCCGCTGAGCTTGAAGTGGACGTTGGGAGAGTTCATGCCGCCCGTGGGACTGAACAGGCGCTTGGCCGGCTCGTCGATGCACAGGTCGACCATATCGTTGTTGCTGGTGAACCGAGCGAACTGGGGCTGGCCCTGCATCATCAGGGGGTTTTGCATCGACAGATCGCCAAATCCACCGACCACGCTTTCGTCGATCTCGGCTGGCGTGCCGGGGGCGGACGAGTCCGGTGTGGCGCGGAATTGCGAGTTCTGTAACGGGTTCGCCATTAAAGTCGGGGTGTTAACCGACGAGACGGTGGGGTTGTTCTGCAGCGACAGAGGGCGATTCGAGCCCACCGGCGTCCCCGGCTGGGACCCCTTGAAGCCCTGGTGACTCGGAAGCATGGACAGGTTCAAGTTCGGAACCCGCTGGTTGCCGTTTCCGAACCCGTCCTGATTCCCGTCGTGCGCCTGCGGGGTAAACAGCTGCGACGAGGCATCGGCGTCACCCATGGCCTCGTCAAGCTCCATGTCGTCGATGGTGTCGAGATCCGCGTGTTGCTGCGAGGGCGGGTTCTGATTCAACTTGCGGTGCATGTCGATCGTCCGGTCCGGTTGCATTCCACGGGTCTGGTTGCCATTCTGCTGACTCTGCTGCTGTGCGAGGGCCACCGCGATGGCCGCGCGGTTGTCCCCCTGGCTGGGACGGTGTCCTCCCGGCTGTAACGACTTGGTGGCGTGAGCTTCCTCGTAATGCTGCAGCAGGTCGTGAAGGGTCGGGAGGGTCACGCCACAGCAGGAGAAATCGCGCATGAAGTTGGCTTCCAGTTTCGGTAGGTAGGATGACGAGTGGAACGAGGGGGACTGAAACGTCGCAAAGGGCGAAGTACCGGTCATGATGATACTTTAAGTCCCTGTTAGCCTACCTGTCTGGGGCATCATATGACGACAAATCCACGAAGACAACACAAAAGAAAAAAAAAAAAAAAAAAAAAAAAAAAAAGGAGAGAGACAAAAGATGAAAAATAAAAAGGTTACTCACTCATCGCGGATCCAACTTCCCACCGATATCCCACCCCAACTCATCCCACCGACCAAACTTCCAGCCAACGACTCTCGTCGTTGCTTATCGCGGCTGGATCCGGAGACAGAGATGGGTTTCGTTCCGTTGCCCCAATGGGCGGTGGCCGTGCCGATGGAATCCTTGCGAGGCGGGGGAGGCTTGAACATACCCAAACTCCCACCGTGGGCATGGGACAGGCTCCCGGATCGCTCGCCATTGTTGGCTCTTTGCAAGGCGGAGGTGAGGTTGGAGGCCTGCTGTCCGGGCGGAGAGACCGAGGTCTGACGAGTGGCGATGTCGATGGGGGCGGCACCGGTCGTCATGGTGAAGGGTTCGACGTAAGGATAATCGAAGATCTCCTGGAAACTGGAAGGAAAGGCAGAAGGATCAAAGTAGGAGGTGTAGTTGTTACTGTTGTCGTTGTTGTTGTTGTGGTAGTCGTCGGCGCCGGCGTCGGGATCGAGGGGATGTTGAGGCCAGGGAAGATCGGACGATGATGCCTTTTCCCTATCCGGTCTGCGCGGTTGCAGGCCAAAACCTCGGGGAGTGGTGACGGGGGTCGAATCCCGAGTCTCGGCTCTATCCAAGTCACCGAGAAGGGGGGAATGATGTAGAGACGGCGGAGGGGGGCTCAAGGAGTCTTCTAACGATCGGACCATTGAAGGAGAGAAAGTGGTAGTAATTTAATGATGGGAGGGAAAGTTGAGAAGAAACGGCGTTAGTTTAGGCGGGATCCCACAGTCCAGCGTAAGAGGACGCTTCGTTCGGAAGTTGTCCCGCTTTGGCTGGGCGGGAACTGTCACTGACTGGACGGATTCGGGAACGGTGGCGGGGACGTAACGATGATTATTACCCTGTTGGAGATGGGCTGGGAGGTTCCGATGCGCTGGACAGACTAGAGTAGTGGCAATATTATTGAATGTGTGAGTGAGTGTGAGTGTAGTTGAAGTATGGATGTTGTGGTTGTAGGAAGGAGAATGTTTATGTTGATTTGAGAATGTGATGGACATCCAACAAGGAAAGGCAACTGGCAGGAATTATTGGAATAGGCAGATGGGGGAGTCTCCTTCATATTCATATTATAAAGAGTGGTGTAATTATCCGGTAATCTTGATACGCGGAGTCCGTCTTTACACCGGGGCGTCCGAGTTAGTCATCCGCCAGCTTACTCTCGTCGTGATTAACATCCATGATGCTTCATCGTGATGACTGGCCTTATGTTGCCACTGTAAACCATCCAGACGAGTCATGCGGGATGAATGTTCTTGATTCCAGAATGATGGACATCCAGATTCGATCAGTCAATCTCCGTAACCCGGCGGCATCCGCGGTAGATATCGCGTCCAATCAATCCACACAAAGACACTAGGCACTTACTTCCCACCTGTAAGATCGAGGGTACGGGAGGAGTCGGTATCACTGATTACCACTGCATACAGATTAACCCATACTGAGGTACCTATTACGTCGGTATATCCTCTTCATCCTCAGTCCTCTGTCTAGTGGGTAGCCCCACGGCAATTTTCTCAACCCAAGGTTCCCTCTCGAGAAGCTAGTATCCATTGATATTCCATTCTCTGCCTCCAAGTGGGCCTCCCATTCTCTGGTCGGCCTCGGTCTACCCACGTTTTCTAGAAGGTCCTAAGCGACGGTCGTCAGTACGTCTTGGGGGGGTTTCCATTTTACCGTTTTCTTACCACCATCATACGGGATCAGCCACCCGCTCGGTCTACCTCGACATCCATTCCTATAGAACATGTGTTATGATGATCTGTGTGCTCGAGATCTCATGTCTCGAATAGTCAATACTCATACCAAGACACAATAGGTAATAACATCGAGTATCGACTCGATACTCGACCACCATCGGCTCCACAACAGGGCATCCCCTCCCCGTAAGCCAGCGCTACTGTAGGTACCGGGAGGAGCAGCCAATCTGCCGCGTCAACGTAAGGAAATCACCTTACATCATTGGTCGACCCCAGAGCCAATTCAATTGGGAAAGCCCAATGACCATGCCGGACGACGCCTTGTGTCTTGGCGACATGATCACAAGATGATAGGGGACGCGTCTGTCGACTTTCTCTCGGTTGGGGGAGTCGGTGGGACAATCTACTCGACACCCTTGTACAGATACTCCGTAGATCTGAGGGGACTTGCGACGTTCTAATCTGATATATCCACTCGATGGGGATGGCCATCCCTACGCTGCACCGGTCCAGGGTACTCGACAGCACGGCTGTGGAGTGTACTCCGTCGAGCTCCAGGCGAATGGAGACCTCCATCATCTGAGATCCACCGCGGACAGTCCCCTCTCTGCCATGGGAAGAGGTGAAGGTAAAGCATAGGTGGCATTTCCAAGACCCTCGGGCGTGGCCTCGGGGTGGCGACTGGCGAGAGACTTTCTCTATTAGTCTAGGTTGGAGAAGCGATGTACCCTCATCCCCATGGTCCTCCAGGATAAAGCAGTCCCCCATGTGGAAGCGATGGGTTTGTAACACCAGAGGATCCATTCACGAACAGTGTGACAAATAACAATACAAATCGTACACCTGTCCTGAGTCTTACACCTCTCGACTGATCGCCCCTAACCGTCAGCGTCAGCCGATGAGGAGAAAAGCAAACAATATCATATCATCCGAACATCACCATCCCCTGTCTAGCGCAGACTAATTGGCTTCCCCGGGACGTTTAATAGGCGGATGGTCAGAATAGGATAACCTGTCGGGTATTTCTCCGCGGATCCCGCCAGCCTCATGTCTCATATTAAGTTTGATAGGAGTTGAGAAACGGGCGTATCATTCATCTCAGGAGTTACAATATACAGATAGTTGGAGGGAATTGGTAGGTGAAATTAAGTTGAAGGACTGTGGATCAGGCTATAGATTGGCAGGCGTTTTAAATAACAACAATGCAACGCGACGGGGCAACGGCAATATGGCTAACTACTTAGTACGGAGGACTTACTACACTACTCACTACTTACTGTATTCAGAGACACATGTGTTATAACAATTAGTACCTAATTCCATCGGTATGTTGTTGCCGAAAAGGTGAAGCAGTCCCCGAGACAACCCCGGCCAGCAACCCAAAACAGTAAGTCTGTCGAGCAGCCCCATCCAAGCGGTGAAACTTGCCACCCTCCATCATGCTTCTGCCGCCTTTCTAGCGTGGGACTAATCCATACCTATTACATTCGATGCAAATCTAGTACTCAATACGAAAGAATAGGAAATATTGATGCTCATCGGACATCCCTTCCAAAGAATCACAAATCCTTAGCAGAGCGGGGATGGCAGGGCAGAGAGAGAAGAAAGGAGGGAAATCCATCCCAAATCGGTGGCGCAACCGTTCCAATCGCAACCACGCCCTCCTCCCCCTCACTCGTATAGCTGTATATTTACACCGCCCATTCCTTCGACTCCCCTCCTCCAAAGAGGTATAGTACGGGATCACAATCGGTTGATGTCATTGCTGACCTGCATATCCGGGGAGGTCAGTGCCAACCGCTTTACCTATCAGGATCAAACACGGTCGATAAGGTAAGTAGGTTGATAGCAAGGGCCAACGGGCGCCCACATGCAGGTGTTGTTGGACTTCATCACCCCCCATCCGTCCCATCCCGCTTGGTTTCCAGGGATGGGTTGGCGTTCGAGTCAGACTGATGCAAGCGCTCGGATCCCGGGCTTCTAGCTGTTGGTGTAGGAGGTGCGTGTGCGTGTGCGTCGTGTGTGTGTGCGTGTGTTGTATGAACGAACCATGGGTAACTATGTACTACGTAGACGCCTCGGCTCTATAACCCGCCTTTCCGCCTGGATACCCGCAGAAACCGGCATGGGAGATTGAGAGTGTCTTTGAGATGATATGGTAGGGATAGGCCAGCGAGGAAACACCCATGCTATGTAGTGGTAGTGGGCACAGTCTGCGATATAATACCACAGATACTATATTGTAATGCAGTGACCAGCCGGGTTGGTGTCAGATAAACGGTCTTATTACGAGTATTTACCGGGTTTGACTTGACCAGGCCATGATCACCAAAGGATCACCGAGAGCGGCGATCCCACACCAGAGGAAATTGGAATATTGGGATCAACTGCTATCGTCAGGTTGTATCTAGGATGACTAGATGAGTAGCTGGGTTGCCCAATTGAGCAGCTCTTCATTTATATCTAATTATTCCAGACCTACGACGGGTTGGTAACGCTGCTGGCAAATACAATTATAGACCCATCACTCCGTCTACAGGATGTGTATCAAGCTTCTAGGCCTAACTTTGGCCTCCTGAGATGTGAGGGACTATCCAACACGAGTAACAAGCCAGGCAATTAGCTGAGGAAGCATAGCTGGAATAGGAACGTATCTCTATGCCACTAACATTGTAAACTCAAGGGCGACTCCCGTCTCGGACCGTCCTGGAACTGATAAAAGGGTAATTAACATCTGACGTTAATAATTTAAGCTTATAATAAGAGTGGCTAGCGCATTAGTATCTAGTATCAGCTGCTATAAATAGTTTAGTTAACTAATATATAGTTACTAAGTCATATCGCTAATGGTCTCTAGTTATTGTGTTGTCTGGGGTAAGGAATGGATGTAGCTAGATAGAATTACTGACTAGAATATCACATAGATGTGATGTTTCATGCTTTCAGAATAATTCCGTCTGACACAGACTGCGGTGGAGATCCTGGTAACTACCGCTCTCCTCTGGTAGTCTCGCATACCAATCTCCCAGGGCAGGTTAGTTGCTCTGAGCCAAACCAAGTCCTTTGCAGTGCAAACATTCTGGGACAAGAAAAATGCGGACATTCTAAGCCATCCATACTGGATGGAGCCGGCTGTCTGTCACCCAAAGTATTTATCCCCTCTTTATCCTAGCTGGAGTTGCCATCCTTCAATCACGTCTTCACTTCCACAACACCTGGAGGTTTGTACCACCATGCTCAATAACATAGGGCAATAATTTAGCCCTTCATTCAAAGCCTACCTCATCCACTGGACTAAAAGCAATACAACACGGGAGATAATCAGTAATCAGGAATGTGAAACCGGCATGTTGCACGACATTCCTCAGATCCAACCCAACACATAAACCAAAGACAGCCAGATCCGTACACCACATCCGGAACGACATCTAGGGAACTAGTTTAGTCATTATATTCTGTCCCAGAAACCAAATATACAGACTTGGAAGGTTCCATTCCACCCCACCATCACCCCGTCCGGGGTGGCAGAACTCCCCACACGGAACGGAAGCAGAGGGACATTACGATCCCTATACATACCGATGGTAACGTCAACCCCGTGCAGAGTCAAAGGCAAGGGGCATGTAACCTTGTGCCATACTATCCCCGGGATTGATTTCCGAGCGATCCATCACGTTGTACGAGATACCTCTCAGCCGTTGGGCGGAATGCAAGGAATTCGAGATGTCTTACTCCAATAGAGCCAGCCCTTCATCCGCGCATCTGTATGCGGGATACATCCCCGGTTTCGTTCGATGAGCCGTTATCGACATGGCGGGTCGACTCCCAGGATGTCAATGACGTAGCTCCTGGACGAGCCTGGGCTGTCCAGCACAACAGCTTTTCTCGGGCAAGAATGCCTTCAATGAGACCTAGCTGGTCATCGGAAGCTCAGGATCCCAGATACCCGACGAAGACGGGAATGCACTCCTTATTTCGGATGATATGTAACCAGGTGTTTCATTCAGGCACTACAGACCTACATGACAAAACCGGACAGCTCTGGTGCTAAGTTACTTGTCCCTGTTGCATGAAGAAGCTGTAACTTTACTTTCGTGGTCTAGTATGATCTTTTGCTCGGGAAGTATAGATGCGCTTCGATGAACATGTGTACCTGTCATTCGAAGCCAGGTGTTCGATTCTCTTCCAGGGAGAAGAGCGCCCATCATTGTCCATCTATTGTCTTGGGAAATTATAGCAATTAGATGAAAGTGAGCACTCACTCTACTTTCCACCCTCGAGAAACTGTTTTTCAGTCAGGGCTATTGGGGCTTTATACATGCCCGTAGCAGTATATCCAGGCGGGGTGTATATAATCTTGCCATCGCTGTGGTCCTCTACCTTAGTGAAAATTCATACATAGACACCATCTACAGAACCTAGCAGTGTACTATCTTACTAGAGCATCAATAAACAATTTACCAGTTCACCATCTTTTTCTGCTATATCTAGAAGAACTAATATGTTTGCTGTGATAGTACTCCACAGTACAAGCACATAAGACTAGCAAAAATATCTAAGAGTGTAGCTCAACTCTGGAAAAGTACTGCACATTTGTTTGCCTCATATAATAACCAAATATCTCCAATATATTGACTACATTGTGAAAGATCAAGGTTAAAAATTGGATATCCAATCTATACAATCCTGGAGAACCAACCAGATAGTGGCCAACTGTCGCCCCTGCGCCACCCGAGATGCCCCACACCAGGTGTGCAAACACTGCAAACTCCTCTCCGCGCCAGTATCGCCAGCCCGAAATTTTTATCGCCAGGACTATGTCCATACTCGAGATCGGTGCGGAGAAAGACTGTTTCTCAGGCACACATTGGATTAAGCGTTTGGTAATTAAGCACACGCTTATCTCCGTCCCATTATAACCTGTGCCGCTTCGAAGAATTCCCCAAACTCTCTCCCTCGCACACCACAATGGACTCGGAAAACACCCAGGCACAAGCGCCGCCGGAGGCCCCCACGAAGAATGGCGCCCCGCCATCTGACCACACCGAGGAGCCTCCCGCCAAGAAAGCGAGATTAGATGATGCGACGACAACGACGACGACGCCGGGTGAGAAGGCTCCCACTGACGCTCGTGACGCGCGTGATGCGCGCGATCAGCGGAGAGGCTACGCCCCCGTCAAAGCCGAGTACGTACATACCCCGCGAAGTGGCGCAGATTGTGTGCCGGATCATGTTGCTAACTATCCCAGGTTTATCATCCAGAAGCCCGAAGCCAGCGCACCCGCAGCCCAAGCGGACCCCGACGATGCGGCCGAAGCGGCCGGCTACGACGAGCGCCAGGACGATAGGGATAAGAAGGGCGGGAAGAAAAACAAGGCCGCTGGAGGAGCCAACTACCGTCGCGACTTTGGAAGGTCGCACGACGCCAAGGGACTCTGTTCCAGCAGGATGTTTGCGCCCGAGTTCTCGCCTGCGAAGTGCGGGTTTGGCGAGAAGTGTCGCTTTGAGCATGACCTGCGCACGTATCTCAAGGATCACAAGCGGGAGGACCTGACGGTGTTCAATGGTGTGTGCCCCGTTTGGGAGGCCAAGGGAAAATGCTTTTCGGGCTGGAAGTGTCGCTTTGTTGGATCGCACATGATTGAGCGAGACACGGAGGATGGGCGGAAAGAACTGGTCTTGACCGAGGACGAGGAGCGCAAGAAGAAAGCGCAGCCGGTATTGCCCTTTGTCAATGAGGAGGGTCTCGCGAACGTGATTTCCATGGATGAGAAGATGGCTTTGTCCCGGCGGAAGGTCGATGTCTCTCGGTCCGATACGTATATTTCGTGGCAACTCGAGCAGGAGAAGGTGGACAAGACAATGACTCAGGCGCAGAAGGATGACAAGGAGGAGTATCGCGCCCGCTATGTGGAGCCCCCGTTCCTGCCGTCGGAGAAGAGACGTCTGTACTTTGGCCCGGAGACTCCTGCTCTGGCGCCGCTGACGACGCAAGGCAATCTTCCTTTCCGACGGGTATGCACTGAGCTCGGCGCTCAGCTGACTTACTCGGAAATGGCGATGAGTATGCCACTGATCCAAGGCAACAAGTCGGAATGGGCGTTGCTGAAGGGACATGAATCTGAAATGCTTCCCCCCACCGTCTCAGGGAAGGACATCGTCCAGGGCTACGACAACACGAAGGATCTCAAGTTCGGAGCCCAGATCGCATCAAACAAGCCCTGGCAAGCGTATAAAGCCACAGAGGTTCTCTCGCGCTTTACGCCCAACCTGCGTGTCATTGACTTGAACTGCGGCTGTCCGATCGATCTTCTCTTCCGTGACGGAGCCGGATCCGCGTTGCTCGAGCACCCGTCCAAGCTGGAGAAGATTCTCCGCGGTATGAACGCCGTGTCCCAGGAGATTCCTATTTCTGTCAAGATCCGCATGGGAACTAGAGACAACGCCCCGAATGCTCTGAAACTGGCCGAGCGCCTCCTCCTGGGTGGCTTCGAGTCCCACCAGCGCGACGCCGGGCCACCGGGTATTGCCGCCCTCACTCTCCACGGCCGCAGCAGACAGCAGCGGTACACTAAATTGGCCGACTGGGGATACATCTCTGAGTGCGCCGCCCTTATCAAGCGGCTAAACCAGAAGACCGACGAAGTCACCGACACTATCCGGGAGCCGGACGCTCGGCAACAGCCCAACGGGGGCAAGACCTACTTCCTCGGAAACGGCGACTGCTACTCCCATGTGGACTACGATAACCATATCAACAATGCTGGGGTCGACAGCGTGATGGTTGGTCGTGGCGCGTTGATCAAGCCGTGGGTCTTCGAGGAGATCCAGACCGGACAGTACCTGGACAAGTCGGCCACCGAGCGTCTGACCCACATTGAGAAGTTCGCCAAGTATGGATTGGAGACGTGGGGATCCGACGAGCACGGAATTGGCACAACGAGACGCTTCCTGTGCGAGTGGTTGAGCTTTACGTATCGCTATGTGCCCATCGGCTTGCTTGAGTACCTGCCGCCGAATATCCAAGATCGGCCCCCGCTTTGGCGCGGTCGGAATGAGTTGGAGACGCTCTTGGGAAGTCCTAACTACAAGGACTGGATCAAGATTACGTATGTCGCCTTTATCTACTTGTGTTCTATTCGATTGCTAATCATCTGTCCAGTGAGATGTTCCTCGGTCCCGCCCACAAGGACTTCAAATTCGAACCTAAGCACAAATCGAATTCCTACGAAGCGGAGGGTTAAGCATTGCGCGTATATAGAGAGACATAAACTAAAGATGGGGAAATACATTTTGTACATACATCGAAAGTGTTGTAGATATCACTATCCTATACTGTCATAGAACGCCGATCCTTGGCATAAGAGGATCGGGTCACGTGTCTGTGCCAGCTTTCCGACGTGATGACGTCTTCCTCGCACTACCACTGCCAGACCACCTTACCTTCCTTCCCACACAACATTCCATTTCACCCGAATCAACACCTCATCCTGCTCTCGACGTCATTTGATCGAGACAGTCATTTACTAGAGTATAAATCCCACTGGATTATATCACCATTCGGGCTCCCACAACCCCTATTCAGCTCTGAAGATCTTTGTTTACTTTTGCACATCCCCCACAACCGCGCCCGATCCAAAACTCTTGTTTCAGATAATTGTGGACAATTTCAAGAGGGACTTATAAAGCTCCAGCCACAATGACTCTCTACTACAGTCTAGTAAGTGATGCTATCCTGTGGTTTTGTGATTGTATCGCGGGTTGCGGATACGCTGCCGCCTACAGCCGGCCACGTCTCAAAATCCATGTGCAGCACGGAAGCTTTATTTCGAACCCCAACTGACCATAAACGCACTCAGGTATTCTGCCTTCTCGTCTTCGAGATGGGGGTCTTCATGGCCCTCATCGTCCCGCTCCCTTTTGTCGTCAAGCGCAAGCTCTTTGCCTTCATCTCGGAAAGCCCCGTCATCGCGAAGCTCCAGTACGGCTTGAAGGTATGTTGGTCCAGATCTAGAAATACGACAAACATTAATTGGGCCTCAGATTACTTTCATCTTCATCCTCATCCTGTTCATCGATAGCGTCAACCGTGTGTACCGCGTGCAGCTGGAGCTGTCCTCTTTCCACAAGGAGTCCATGGGGTATGTGCCTCCCTACTCTCCTGCTTTCCAAAAACGAATGCTTATTGATAAGTTACAGAGCCGCCGCCCTGGGCACCGATCGCATGGAGGTGCAGGCCCGCAAATTCTACTCGCAGCGCAACATGTACCTCTGCGGCTTCACGCTGTTCCTGTCTCTCATCCTCAACCGCACCTACACCATGATCTTGGAGGTCCTCCGTCTTGAGGACCGCGTCAAGCTCCTCGAGGGCGACAAGAAGGCTGGCGGCAAGGACTCGCGCCGTCTGGCGCAGGCCGGCGAGGTCGGCGAGATTGGCAGCCTCAAAGACCAGCTGGCCGCTAAGGACCGGGACATTGAGACCCTGAAGAAGCAGTGCGAGGGTCTCACCCGTGAGTACCACAACCTGGGTGATAAGGTCTCCGAGAAGTCCGAGGGTACTCCCAAGAAGGATCTATAAATGATCTCTGACGCGGATGGTATTCGGTATTCTTGAACACCGCAACGTCTGCCGACAATGCGGTGAGGGAAAGCTTCAGCGTGGAATCACCTACTGTGGTTCAACGGTGTCTCCATCATGATACTGGTTAACAGGTTTATTTCGGAATTCTATGTATGGGCACTTGTGCTCAAAATTTATGTGTTTGCTGTCACGCTTCCATGCTTTAAGGCATGGGAAGCGCTGGGTAGATATTCCCCTCGGGGGTTATCAGATTGTTAGTGTGTTATTTATTACGAGGCAGAGATATGTATTGACCTACTTATGGTACATCAGTAGCTACTATTGTTTCATTGCGTCTGGTGCAACATCACGCCAGTATACATAGTTTTGAAACCGTGGACTTGTGTTGGCCAGCTAGTCTACATAATCATCTTGTCAGGGTTGTTCTTGTAGGATTTCAAGGGCCAACCATAGCTCGAACAGGTAGAGAAATTGGACTGGCATTGGAATATAGTGAGCACAAGCAGTCAAAGGGTTGTCTACCACCTGACTCTAGAGTAAAGCCTGTTATCCTTATTGCTATATCTTCTCGACACATATTCTCAAATATGTTGGTCTGATAAGAACCCCTAGTTTCCCCACACACTTAATACATTGGCTGTCTGCCATTCGACTGTTATGGATGTTGTCCAAAAGAGAAACAGAAGATTAAATTATTACCTTGTAGTATAGTCCATACTGTGCGTACATAAGACTATATGGTAGGTTTGGGTTCACGAAAGCCTCCAAAGCCTCTATCAGCCATCTCCTTGCTCATATCTGGACCAAGAAATCATGTTATCAAGGCATGTCAACTCCGCATAACTATCGTAAGCAAAAAGAGGCATCAGCCTTCCTTATGTGTAAGATAGTTTACCAAACAGACCTCCCTCCCAGTTACAGGGCGATCCAGCCCTAGCCGCTGCGGTTCAGTCAACCGATATTGACATTTTCGATGAAGTGACCAAACCGATTTTTCGGTGGTGATTATCACTGATGGGATTGATATCTCTAGTATCATAATAGCGGTTATGGTTTGACTGGATATGGACCAGCTGTCCAATTGCTGATATCGATTGTTATTCCCGATCTCACTTTCCAAGAGAGGTCTAGAAGTCCTGCAGTGGCGGCTTCTCATGACAAGCGCATAGATCTTACCCTTGCTATAGTTCGCACTTTCGTCTTGGTTTCGATACTGTGTGACTAGGCTGGGTTCCTGGAAGCGATCGAGTATCGCTCTTTGTAGCCTTATACCACCTCATTATCAGTGTATCGCTTGCGTTACATATTTAACCATATCAAGTTCCCGGCCTAAGGCGTAAAGTACAGGGTCTATTTGTGTTATGTAAAATCGAATGTTACCGTTATGATATTGCAGTCATAATCAGCGTCTTAGAAATTCTAGCTTGAAAGATGATAATTCTATATCGAATGCCAGATATTGTCATCTGCCGAAACTCCACCTAGATGACATCCGTGTTCGGCAACCTCGTGCTAGATATTCTGGCGGATTACAATATCAACTCGGAGCGAAGGCTTGCCGTGCGAACTTCATGAGATAAAATGTTCCTCAAGCTTAGCATCATAAGTTCGCCTCGGGATTCGGACTAAGAAAGTTAACCGATACTAAAGATTAGCGTTTCAAAAAGGATCGGCCTCTCTCACGAACAACGGTTGCTTTTAGTTATCATTTGCGATCATCCCCGCAATTGAGTCGCGTCCACCTAATCATTTCACCAGCACACATACATAACTCAATCAATCACTATGGACGAGACAACCCTGGCACAACAGATAGCGGTCACTGCACTAGGCAACGACCAGTTCATCTCAGTCCACCATCCAATTCGAATGGGCGCGCTCGCGTCCTTCGTCTACGGCGGAAACACTCTCGGGGTAGCCATCAACGCAGCCTACCAGACAGTTTCCCCATCGCACCATCTGTACTCCATAAGCGGACACTTCGTGCGGACCGCCCGCGACGACCGCAAACTTCTCTGCCGGATTGAGCGCATCCGAGACACGAAAAGCTTCCAGACCAGACACATCCGAGTATACCAGGAAGACGACGACAGCTCGGCACCGACGCTGTGCCTGCTCGCATCCGCAGATTTCCACACCGAAGAGGACGTCTCAATGGCACTATACTCCGCAGCACCCGAAACAGCGACCCGCAAGGACAGCCAATCGTCCGTCCCCCAAGACCGCGACATCAACCTCCTCTACCAGAACATCACGCGGTTTACGGCGGCGTACCCCCTCCCGACACCCACCTCGCGGCCGCACGACGCGCCGTCGAGAATCAGCGCCGAGCGATTCCACGTGCCCACCCCTCTGGCGTCCGAAGCGGAGCAGATCGCGGCGCTGGCGTTTCACATGGATAAAGGGCTAGCGTTCATCCCCGTCTCGCACAGTGGACACATGCTCTCGCAGGTGGGGGCGTGCGCGACGCTGGACTTTTCGATGCGGCTGTCGACGCATAGGGTGGATCTCAGCAAGTGGCATACTATGGAGCAGAAGACGATTGTTGCTGGTAATGCGCGGGCGTTGAGTGAGGCGCGGGTGTGGGATGATGTGGGGGGGAAGTTGGTTGGGACTATGAGCCAACAGACTATTTTGAGGCCGGGGAGGCTTTAACTTATATATATACGATATCTATAAGTGCATGTACGGAGTATATAAAAAGAAACATATAGAATGTACATAACTTGATGTGTCAGATATGCTAGTTATGCACATTTAAACAGCAACAACATAAACATATGACATATAGTCTAAACGCTCCAAGGCAATACAGTAACAGGTACGAGTAATACCACATACCAAACCAAGTCACACACAGACCAATACAGCAAGACAAAAGCGTAATCAAAGATAAGGATGGCCTCGTGACCCCGTGCATGCATCTTGGCACGAAACAATAGTCGAGGTTAGCATGTCGAAGGAATAAAGTTAGGCGGAGCCAAGATGCTATCAGGGGTTACACTGGGGTCCTAGATCTAGATGGAATCTCATTTACTCACCCCCTTGGGCACTGCACTATGCACAGGCATTGACTCCTCACTTCCCAGTATGCATAGAAGTGTCTTTCGAAATTGACCGAACTGGGCTGTGCAAATATGCAACATGAATATCTACCCACATATTATGATGATAATGTACGCGTGTCCAGACCAGTCCCTCTAACTGGTCTATGCAGACTTTCTACCTGACGATCGACATAAACAGTCTAGCAGGGTGTGGGGAGACAGATACTGGCCAGAACCTAGCGGGCTACTTTCTTACCTCCTCGTCTTGCCCTTTCCGGCGCCCGGAGAGAGAAGACAGGCCAATTTAAGCCAATCTAGTAATCTACTGACCTGCATGACCTGTGCTTCTTTGCTTTTTCCTCTTTTGACAGTCATGGTTCGCTTCCTCCTTCGTCCTGTTCTCCCCTCTCCTCTCCTCCCCTTCCCGCCGCGCTCCCGGTCTATGGACTGATCGCCGACGGGATATTTCCCTTTTGGGACTCCGGTATCGCTGACTGACTTGCATGGTCATCCATTGTCTTCACCGGGAGGATGTCAAGTGACCTTTCTTTCAAGCGATAACTTTCTAAGGGCGTAGCTGAATGAGAGATAGACCCAGGAAAGAAAGAAAAAGAAAAGAAAGTTAGGGCTAATCCCGCCCCCCATCCATCCCACCAGTTTCCTCCCTCCAATTCTTTCTATCCTTTCCCTCTCCGCTAAAAGCAAAACACAAACCTAGAAGAAACGAAAAAAAGAAAAGAAAACCAAAACAAATAGAATTAAATAAGCCTATCTCTTATCTCTTGGCACCCCTAGCAAGGGGTAGGAAATATGACATGTTGTCCCAAAGTACATACAGTCACCAAGGTACCACCACCAACCACCTGCCCGCCTTTCTTGGCGGTCTCCGTCGGTCGATCATACCACTTCATTTGTTCTCTTGGCGAGGGAACACAAGCTGTTGATGATCCGGCTTGCGGTTGGCTTGGCGGGGTGGATCGTCTTGGGAGATTGGCCCCTTTTGATTCATTTCATTTCGAGGGGTGGGGATGTTTTTCTACGTACGTATCTACGGAGGGACGGTGGTGTAGGGTATAGATATGGTGAAATGAGGTATCATTGGTAGTTGGTATACCTGTAGCATGCAAAAAGACATAATGTCTGAGCTAAACACGAACAGAGCAAGTAATAAAGTACCGAAAAGAAAGAAAGAAGCGCCAGAATTAATTAACAGGTACGAATGCCACATGCAGCCTTCCACCTCCCCCCTCCTCACTCCTCCACCGCTGATTCTTACGGAGCCCAGTTCATCATTGGCTAGGATAAACCAACAATCCTATGTCTTGGTGAATGGGTAGATACCCAGCAGTGAGACAGGTAGAGCAGAGGAGACTAGTCGTGGCCAGCGCGAGCGGTGCGAAGACGGGGACATGCATGCATGACGCCGTGGCAGGGCAGACAACCGACTGCACATTAAGTGATTTACTTCCGCTGGTCCATGCCCAGGTAGAGGAAGGCCTGCGGCAGCGAGGAGACAGCTTCGCCGACTTGCGAGCCCACCGAGGCTGTCGAGGACTGGCTGCTGGAGCGCTCGCGGACTGCGGCAGGGGACTGGTTGGCGGGGGTGATGGAGGAGGGACCGGCCTCGATGGGGGCGAGGACGAGGAACTTGCTGGTGGGAGTGCAGGAGTACATTTTGATGATTGTTTTTGGTTGAGGAAGGTTGTTGTGAGAGTTGAGAGTGGGTGGAGTTGAGGTTGGAGGGGTAGAAGTACTAGTTGGATGGAGTTGTGGGGAAGACTTTTGAGACTTTTAGTCGGAGGACTTTTGTAGAGGAGAGTTTTCCACGAAGAAGAAGAAGAGAGATTGAGATGGTGAAGAAAGACGAGAAGAGGATTCTCCCCCGGAATTGAGGGCCCTTATATAGGCCAATTTGGGGAGGGGGTATCGCCGGGGACGAAGGATGATTCCGGGAAGGGTCGACGATCTGCACACGACGTGATAAGCCGAGACTTTCCCCACACCCGACGGTGGATCACAGAACACGCTGGACGGGGTAAAGGCTTCACATGTTTTAACACGTCATTAATAATGGATTCCCACTTCGTCTGGATCTCTTGGCTGTGCGAGTTTCCGAAATCCATCAGTGGCCCCATCGGGTCCATCCTGTAGCCCCCTATCGATAGTTCGATACCATCATACCGCCCCTATCTTTCGCGGGGGATCAACACCACCGGTCGTAGAGTGGAGGGTGTTACTCCCTGAGGAAACTGAACCAAAAAGTAGAATCAACCCCAATAGGTCCATACGAACATGTGCTCAGAAGTGGCTTTCTGCTCGTTTCCTCGAGGCCGACGCAACCCGAACAGCAACCAGCAACCTCGGATGATCAGCAGCTATGCAAGTTAGGGTTATTTCCGATACGTCGCGAGAATACAGTATGAGACCGTATCAGATACGTCAGTCCTGAGGCATTCCTGCTGTTCATCTGACCTGGTCGTGGCATCTTGTTTCTAGAACAATGCTTGGCTCTGTAAGGGGTTGAGATAACTTCCAGAGAGCTTCCAGAGCCTGTCACGGTCGTTGGAATGCTCAGGATGCTGCGGTCTCTATCCTCGGATAGCCCCAAACGCAGGATCAACAGGATCAGTCTGACACGGGATGAGACTTGGTTGATTACAAAGATCTTTTTTGAGAGTCAGCACTGCTGCGGCGAAAGGAGAAGAAAGACAAAGATAAACGCAGATACAAATACAATCAAGACTTGAGGCGAAGTGAAGAACGAGCGGCGCAGCGCGTATCAGTCACGTGCCCGCCCATCCACCACAACCAGAACAAACAGTCAAACAATCAACAAACATCGACGAAACAAAAGCGAAACCCGATCGAAAAGGCGAGAGAACCGTGATCAACGCTTCTCTGCCTTGCCAGTACTCTCACCCTGCCAACGGCGCTTAATATGAGGCCGTGCCCTCGCAGGAGGGGGCCATTTAGCGCCCCCATTCTCCGCGCCGTATCGCTCCGTCACTCCATTCGTGGCGCAGAACGCTCAGCGGCTGAGAGTGTCAGACGCTCCTGGCCATCCATTCTTCACCCTCCCCTCCTTCAAGCAAAGAGCGCCGCAAGTGCTGTGCCGACAGCTTAATTCCTTTGCCATGTTCGTCAGGGTGATGAAAGGAGCGTTCCATCGATGGAGTCTGGGCTGTTCCTGGCACATGTTCCTGGCGATTTAGCCGACTGCCAAAACCCTGTGCCATATGACGCCGGCGCCGCAAAGGCCTGATATGAGTGATCCGCCGTCATGGCTGACGATCGACTGGCTTCGGATCTCTGCTGTTGTCAACAATGGGCAGTGCTTGTGTCGGTCTCAGAACGGACGAGAATACACGAAACAAAAAGGAAAGGTAAGGAAACGAAAAGAAACAAAAAAAAAGGGTGTGTGTGGGAGAAATTCATAGAGAGAGATATGAAAATTAGTCTTACCGGTGCTATTAGATGTCACCAACTGCGCCTACCCCTTCGGGTCAAATGTATTGGCTGGGCCTTGAGTAAACGGTTCGGATTGTGATGGCACTGCCTTTCTTGCAGATGCATCCCTGATCTCCGTTGCCCCTGACCTGTCAGGCGTTCTTCGACCGGATACTGCCTCCCATACAGCCTCCATGAAGGTCAATGCGGGGGAACATCACGACCAGAGATGACCAGGAACTGCGCCATTTCTCTTGATGAGTGGACCATTCGTCCGCAGGTCAGGCAGACCGGGACCAGACACGGTCAATCGAGAGCGAGAGAGAGTGGGGGTTGGTGATGGTGAGAAAGGGGAGATCCGGCAAACACCAGATTCGCGCTTGATATCGGAAATCACGGGAGGAGAGCAGCAGTCTGGTTGGCTCCTGGCAATTCCCCCCTCTACGCCTTCTCCTGCCCACCCAAGGACACATGATAACCGACGGCTGCGTGGGAAGACGTCTGTCTGTTGACGGGCGTCGGCTGCGTGACAGTCGTCAGATGGACCGGTCCGGAGTCGCCGTCGAGACAGCTTCCTGAGCTGTCGGTCTGCGACATGGCCTCCACCTTCCCGGGATGGAGGGAATGGTGTTGGTGCCGCTGCGGCAACTGATTTGCTTACACACCTGTTGGATTCTAAGGTTGCATATGTGGCTGGCCCTGTTAACTTCCAGGGCAGTGTCGGTGCGTGTCTTCAGGATGATGTCAAGTGCTTCTCTTCTTTCCCATGATGCATTGCCTCTGCGGAAGTCTACTAAGGGCTTGGAACAAGGATGACAGGCGTGACTATCATGGTTCGTCGAGGGATGTTGGTCCACCGAGCATGATGCGCACCCTCCCCCGAGGCTAATCTGACTGACTGACCTTCGCCTTGCCTTTCCTTTCCTTTTCCTTCTTCCCCCCTCTCCTCACCCCCCTCCGGCTCCCGGTGCACGCCACCTTCACAGATGATCCGCATAACCGCCCGTCCTGTTCTGGTGTTGGGGAAATCAGGTGCAGTAGCCCTCGGGGCGAGGACCGCGTTCAATTTGCTCGTCGGAAGCATTTCGTTGGGAACGTTTCCCTCGCAGCGTGATGTAGATCGAATCACCAACTCTTGCGGCGCATTTTCATATGGGTCCCCCCGGGCTGCAGGAGGGGCGAAGGAATAACACTTTTTGTCCAATTTTCTTTCCCCTTTATTCTTCTGTACAAGCGATTAGAATGCAAGGCGTAGTTTGATCTGATTCGATCATTATAATTATTATGATCATTTTCTTTTCTTTGACTAACCTTCTTCATAGTATACTTGAAAGCATCCCTGTCCCCCTTTTTGCCTTTTCTTTTTTAAAACCCCATTTAAATATATTTTCAACAGTGAATAATATTTTATACCCCCTGTCAGGCCCTATAGTTACTCATTTGCCCTCAGTTAATTCGTGTAGAACGGCGCTGTTGCCTTCTGTTGTGCGGCACAGTTCGTGCGCAGACCATCCGACAATCTCTCTCCAACCCTTTTGCAGCCTACTAAGAGAATCATCACTCTACTTACTGCAACCTGCGCCGGGAACACTGAGTCCTATATTTAAGGCCCTCCAGGACCCAACGAACTTCAACAACAACAACGACAACAATCTCAGCAGCTTTCTCTCCATCTTTCACTTTCTCTTGTCCTAGAGTTAGAAAATCCTCCGGCCCCCAAAAAAAGCCACATACACAAGTTTCTTCTACTTCTACTTCTACCACCACCAATCTACATAGTACTTAGTACTACACCACGACACTGTCTATCTACCAGACTTGTTGATTCTACGACCCATTTCCGTTTCATCTACCAAGCCAGACTCCCAGTCAATCAGTCAATCAGTCAATCAGTCAATATGTGCTCCCAATACGTCTGGAAATACGACTGCGGCTGCGCCGTGCCCGAGGAGGAGATCGTCTTCTGCGCAAAGCGCGGCACATCAGCTTGCACTGGGGTACGAACTCAGGTCCGCCGACGAGATGGCTACGTCTGCCCGAACCACGGGGGCTAGAGATGGACTCTAGACTAGACTGGGTGGTTGTGCAGTCACTCTCCGAGGGGAGAGTTAAGACACGCTGCTTTGCGTGTCTATGTCAGTCTTGGTCTTGCTTGCTTTGTTCTATATGCTGCTTGGTTTAGCTGCAGATCATGTGGAGGGCAAGGGAGTTTCATTCTATTATGTCTGTTCCGCTTGGTTACAATTTCCTTTCGAGAGGTGAACCAGAAAAGAAGGAGAGAAAATGATCAAAAAAATGTATGGGGGGATGTCTCGAGTTTTGTTTCTGAATACCTACTATACACCACTGCTGTTGTTGTGGTTCTTCTGTTTCTTGTTTTCTTGTTGCTCTTGTTTGATCTGTTCTGCTTTAAGGAAGTATCATGGTTCCCAGTGCCATTGCTTGAGGATTATTGCTTGTCCTGACTATCATTGATTAATTACTGTTGGAGTGTCTATCTCTATGCTGCATATCCAGTATTTACTACATCCGAATCATGTTCCCATCACGTATAACCTACCTATCCATCTATCTAGGTATTATCAAGCAGTCCCTGCACTATAGCATCAAACTAACAGATTCCAAAGTATAATAGTCCACATATAGCTCCAAAAGAAGCAAAACAAAGCCAGCAAATCAACCAAACCAGACCGTCTATCCAGCATACACTACATCCATTCCACCGCTGTATACTCGCCCAACCGATCTGCAAAACCAGACCTACCACATGCACACCAGACAGACAGACTCAAAGTGCAATGCAATAGGCAGCATCTCTCTACATCCGAAGCCCCGCACAGTCTCAATCCATCCTCGTGCTACAGAACCCCTACACTACAGCCAACTGACCAGGACGATCCGATCCTCCCGATGCAATGCGCTGTCAACCACGCACACCGTGGCCCTCACAGATGGATTGGATAGAAAGGCAAGAAAGACATGACAAGATAAGCCAGACACGCAAGCGAGGCAAGGAACGGTCTGGCCAAAAGCAACATATGAAGAGAGGACGGAAGAGAGGAAAGAAGAAAGAAAGCATAAAGTGAATTCACCCTAAACGGTGCCCCCAGAGCCAGTCGTCTTTGCATTGGCTTTGGTCGCTTCTTGCCTGTGTTACACGGTGTTTGGGATATGGACGCCTCCTACGTGTTTTTTTTCTTTCTCTTCTCTTCCTGATCGAGGTGGTGGCCCTTGGTGCTGGTATTTGTTGTTGGGACGACTGTTCGAGATGGGTTGGTAGATGGGTTGGTAGATGGGTTGGTAGAGGGTTGATTTGGATGGGTGGACGGTTGAACATCGTTGGGCGAAGATTCCCGCTGCTCCCAAGTTACTGCAGGTAGATTCCTGCCCCGTTGGGTCATGAATACTGCTTTCTTCAACGGCATGAACATAGGATAATATTAAGAGCATAAGACAATACTAGTGTCATTCTGTTCTTACTCCCCGGGCCAACATCTACGCAGACAGTTGATAACGGTGACGATGACGCTATTCATACCCACATAGCACCACGGGGTTCGGTCCCACCCCCCGACGATCAACATTGTCACATTTCTTCTACAGTCCAGAAAGGTGGTGGTTTTGCCCCTCCTCAAAATAGTGGTGTGTGTGCGCGTTCTCCCGGCCATCCAATCGCTTATCGAACCCTAGGAGACGGAAAAAGAGGGGCCCAAGAAGGAACGGGGCAATAAGAAGACAAAATGAGAGTCCCTGTAGCGATGATGAGCAGTGTACATCAGCGGGTTGCATTAGCACCGCAGACGACTCTCGTCATCTGATTAGTGGCCGGCAAATCAGATCAAGTGTCGGGAGGACGACGGTGGCGAGATCCGCGACCTGGCTGGAAGGCCAACGAACATGCATGTGCGAGGCGCTGGCCACTGAGTCAGTTAGTGAGGGAGGGGACCGCGCGTATGTCCGGTAATTGGTCCCGGACGGGGCTAACGATACTAGGTAGGAAGGAACGAGTGGTCGGGGGAAGGTGAGGCAAGAGGAGAACGCGGGATCTGGAGGTGCTGGAGCACCGCAAGGGTCGGGATTGATCGAGGAACTATCCAGATATATAACCCAAATCCAAGTTGTTGGATGTAACGCTGTTTTGGGTTGTTCTTGCTGTTGGTGATGGGTATCGGTTCTGTCTGTCTGTGATTCCATCACAGAAGGCACCGCATGAAGGATCTTGGCGCGGAATCGTGGAATTATTAAGATTGTTATTATTATTTTGCCTTTTCTTTTTCATTTTGAAAGCGAATTCTTTTTTTCTCTTCTGCTTTCTCGTTTTATTTTCATAATTCGGCCACACAAAGAAAGAAGAATGCGGAGATTTCTGGCCATGGATCGGTTATAGGCTGCTGTCAAGGTCGGGCAAGGACCAGGGTGAAAGTCAAGGAAATGGAAGAACAAAGGGATCCATCCGGATATTTCTCCTGATGAATTTGCATTTTCACAGTAGAGAAGTCTGCAACAGGCCAATGATCGATGGCAGGCGTGACCAGTGTTGGCTGCGGGTGAGGCTGCTGGGAGCGGACCACGGCCTATGAATAAAGGCAGAGAGGCAGACACTCGTGGAACTGGCCTCCACACCGCTCCTAGGGGGTGCTCTGTCCTGTGCCGCCGAGCTGCTGTGCCCTCTCGCTAGGAGAGCATTATTGAGACCGGATCAGGGCCGGACGTGGCTGGTGAACCAGAGTGCTGGGTCCTCCAATCTCAAAGCGGTGTGTGTTCCGAGGAGAGGATAGACCACCATTTCCCATCCCCTGTGCATTGTTCTTTCTGCTGGGAATGATATCTTCAGTTGAATAGACGTTGCAGGGACTGGTCAGGACGAGGAAGTTGGTGGATAGACAGGGGAGAAGAAGTGATGTCGTTGGATTTGATGGGGCTGGCTGCACGTGACCGGGCGTGACCGGGGATTCTCATTCTAGACTCGGACGTCACCTTCTCTTCCTCTTCCTTTTCCTCCTCGATATGTCCTTCCTGGCGACTCCCCCCCGCCGGGATTGTGTTTCTTCGCCCTCTCAGCACATGTGATGTCCATCGAAGTCGATTGGCGCGCAGCCACCTCCGGTCCGGACGGCGAGGCCCTGGCAGAGCGCATCCGTTCCTTCATCCACGACAAGTTCCAGCAAGTCGCCCTCCCGCGGTTCATTCGCTCCGTGCACGTCCACTCCTTCGACTTCGGTACGATCGCCCCTGATCTGGAGATCAAGGATCTATGCGAACCGTTCGCCGATTTCTACGAGGAGGACGAGGACGATGACGCGATCTCCGACACCTCCGAGGAGCTGGTCTCGGCCCACGAGGACGGGAGCAGTTGGGGTCGGACACACTCGGAATTCCTCGACTCCCGGGATGAGCTAGCCAGGACCAACCAGCGACTCCGCGACCCCTTCGGCGAACCGCCCCCGTCGGGCCTGCGGTCCCCCATGGACCACCTCAACCCGCATTTCCTCCCCCGCGCGGGCACCCCCGGCATCCCCGTCGGCACCTCCACCCTCGGCTACCACCTCATGTCCTTGGGCGCATTGTCCGGCACACAGACGCCCCTCGCCGCCGTGGCAGGCGGCACGCCGTTTGCCAACAACTGGGCCACGGAACCCACGGCACCAAACCCCAACAACCGCCAGACAGGGAGTGGGGACGTCGACTCCAGCAATCCCCCCACATCACGACCCTCCACATCAAGCACCCACCCACGATCCCATTCCCACCACAACAGCAATCCAGGCTCCCACAACAGCGAGTCTAGCACCTCCAACCCCCCGGCCGAACCAGACCACGAAACCTCTCCCATGCGCCTCCCCCCGCGCATGCGCGAGCGCCGCCCCGAAGACTTCCAAGTCCTCTGCCACGCCAAATACGCCGGCGACATCCGGCTGTCCCTCACAGCGGAGATCCTCCTCGACTACCCCATGCCCAGCTTCGCAGGCCTCCCCCTCAAACTCAACGTCACAGGCCTAACCTTCGACGGCGTAGCCGTGATAGCCTACATCCGCCGGCGCGTCCACTTCTGCTTCCTCTCGGCTGAGGACGCAGACGCCCTCATCGGCTCCGAACTCACCCACCAAGACCCGACGCGTTCTTCCTCCACCGGGCACCAGCAACAGCAACAGCAACCAACCTCGCCGAAACGGCACAGCGGCGGCCTGCTGCAGGAGATCCGCGTGGAGAGCGAAATCGGCCGCAAAGAAGACGGCAAGCAGGTGCTGAAGAACGTGGGCAAGGTAGAGCGCTTTGTGCTGGCGCAGGTGCGGCGCATTTTCGAGGAGGAGTTGGTGTTTCCTAGTTTCTGGACGTTTTTGATATAGTCATCTATATCTACTGGGTAAGAGTTAAGGCCTGTCATAGGCTGGTCATGGTAGGATTTACCATAGGGTTAGTGCTGTAAATAGGAAATACAGTAGTGCATGTTGTACATAATACTCTCTCATCGTCTATCAATGAAATAAATCAAGACATTTACAGGCCTAATGCCAGATCTAACTTCCATCTACATACCTACATCACCTAGATAATACCCACGTAGTACACAGTACATACTACACAGCGTCAACAAGAATCATATCTCCCTCGGCTCAGAAAGATAGATATCAAGACGCCTTTGCACTTTGTGATTAACCTTCCATAGGTAACCAACACCCTTATATTGCGACACACAACTACCAGTACGTCAAAGCCACACTAACTCTACAAGCTCTCTATCTATTCCATTCCCTATCCATCCATCTATATCTATATATTAGGGTCCTTAAGGTAACGGCCTCCTACCTCCCTACCTACCTCCATCAACGCACAGACTCATCAGCCCAAGAAACTAGGTAGTTAGTTATCTACAGAACGCTTATTCCAGAACACCACTTACTAGCTAGACTTGTATACGCCTACCTACTACTACCTACTACTACCTACCTACTACCCACCCACCCAGCTAGCTAGCTAGCTACTGTAACTAACGGGTCACACAGAGCTCGTCAATTGAACTCACCCCTGAGCCAAGGACGAGACGAAGTATACTGTGACAGGGATGGGGGGGGGGAAAAGCCCCATAAACATGATACGTAGAAACCTACCAAGGGAATTAAATAACCTCTCACTCAACCCTACCTACTCGATCTAACCCCCAAAAGCTACAGTAAAAGCAATAACTAAGTGAAGAAATAGAAAGTGGTTTATTTCCATCCCTCCCCTCCATAGAACAAGAGGGAGGGAGAAAGATAAGATAAGATAAGTGAGGTCAATTTACAATTCCATGCATTATAAAGACAGGGCGAATGAATCAACACATAGAAATAAGATGAAAAAGTAAAAAGTAGATAAGAGATGAATAGGATAAAAAAAGCTGTTCACAAAGGAAATAAATATTGATAATGATAACTTTATTCGAGACACGGATTGATTGGGTAAAAAGCAAAAGTCAGAAAAAAAAGAAGATAAAAAAAAGAAGAAATCATCAGGAAAGAACAGAAATAAGATTTCAAGCAGGAAAAGGGGGGAAAATGCAATAGAGCGGTATGATATGGTATGGAATGGTAGGTATGTATGTATGTGTGTATGTTGCTGGCTGATACAATACGATAAACCGACGACAATAGCAATGGCCGCATGCAACAACAAACATTCAAACAAACAAACATAAGGGAGGAGGCGAAAACTGCGTGGGTATCAAAGGGTATCGGTATCGGGTATCCAAATGACCGCTCTGCTCTGCTCTGTCTGCTCTGGAGATCTTACTATCTCAGAGCCATTCCTCCTTGGAAGTGAGTGATTCGTCTGTAGTTTTGTTTTGAGTGGGAGTCTGAGTCCTCCGGGAAGACGCCGCAGGTCCAGACTGACGTGTATGGACCATATATTCGATATTCAATTGAATCACGAAAGAAAAGGTGAGAAAAAGAGATGGGGATGGGAATGCCCTGCTTCTCGGTGATATCTGCCGTTCTGTTACAGGCAAACCAATAAACCAAAAGCCGTCGCTGTCGACCTTCCAAAGTTAAGAGGAAAGGCCAAGGCAAACAAAGACCACTACCGGTCGTCCCCGACCCGAGACTTCGCACGTCGACGGAAAAAGTCCATGACTTTCCTGGCCGCGCCCGAACTGCCCGGCTGGTGCGACAGATCGCGCTCGTACTCGTAGGCGTCGGCGAACTTCCGGTGGTTCTTGTGCAACACGCCCGACCCCCGTCCGGAGCGGCCGGTTTGCGTAGACTGTCGCGGGGTGGCCGAGTACGGACCAGGACCGTTGTAGTCGTCGTAGTAGGACGGCGTGGAATGGTTGGCGTACCGGTGTCGGTAGTAGTGGTCGTGCTCGTGGTTGGGGTAGACTTGCTCGGCGGACGCGCTGCTGTAGGTTGGTTGGTACGTGCTGGACGGCATCCCGTGCAGCTCGGAGATGTGCTGTTCGATGCGCGACGGGTCGTTGAGGGGCTCGTCCTGGTCCACTACCTCATCCGCCGGGGCGCCCTCGGGAGAGTTGCTCATGGCGTCAGGAGCGGCGTAGCTTGTTGCACGCGCGCGCGGTCGAATCGCTCCGGTCGAGGGAGGTTGCTGGAGACGGTGATCCGGCGGTTGCTCGGCGTGCGGGTCCTCATCGGGGGTCTGCGATCGGCTGGAGGAGAGGCCCTTCAAAGAAAAGGACGGCGGGAGGAGGGAGAACCGGCGCGGCCGGCTATCGCTGCCCGCCTCGCTCGTCTTGCGGCCGTACATCGACCGGCGCGAGTCCACGGACATCCGGCTATCGTCGCCCCCGTAAGGCTCTCTCATACTGGTGGGAGGCGGACGTTTGGCCTTTTGGCGAGAGTTGCTCTGTCCCCCACGGCCACCAAAGATGGACCCAGTCCGCATGAAGAGCTTCTCGCTAATGCCCGACACGGTGTTGGACCGCTTATGTCCCTTGGGCGGCTCCTGCTGGGGCGTGGCATTGAACCGCGGTGGAAGCGGCTGGGCGCTGGGGCGGCCGATCGACTGGTCTTGCGGGATCGGGCCCGAGATCTGGTACTGCTTGCTCTTCGGCTGGGCCAACCGGCCTTCCGCGTTGGTCTGCGCCACCGTGGGCGCCACCGGCAGCCCGTAGGATCCCCGCGATGGTAAGCGACCCCCGTTGAACGAGGTCATCGATCCGCCGGTCGGAGGGCGCGCCGGGTGAGACGTGGGCGGCCCCGTCGCCGTCGCGGTGAGGGGCGTCGACTCGGATGTGGATCGCGGCAGGTGTCCACCCGGGGGACGGCTCGGCATGGCACCCGAGGGGGCCTTGCGTTTGGGTTGTTCCATCGAGGCATCCTGGGGCACGATGCCGTACGGGAGGCTGGTGGCGGCGTCTTGACTGTTGGAGCGAATCCGGGGCGGTGCAACCTCAACAGGGCCGGCCTGTGGAGGGGAGACGATCTTGAGGTCGGTGGGGGCCTCACCCCGTGTGGTTTGGGACTGCGGAGCCACGTATTCCACCTGGACCGTCCGCCGCTTCGTGTCGCGGGAGGTCTTGGATCGGTCACTCGAGTGGTCTTGCGAGATGTCTCCGGACTGGTGCAGCAGGGCTCCCACCGAGGGGATCGTGCTCGGATGGCTCTTGGGGGGTTCTTTGACCGACGCACTTCGCGCCAGCGACGGCGCTTCCCGGGGTTTCTCCTGGGGAACCGTCGTGTTCGCAATGTCGCTGACCTGGGTGGTGCTGCTCGTGATATGCGACACGATATGCGAGAATTCGCTCAGCCAGCTGTGCCGTGCCACTTCGAACAGATCGGCGCGCTTCCGCGGGTCCGGGACGAGGATCCGTCGCAACAGGTCTCGCGCATGGGGGGTCACGTATTCGGGGAAGGTGAGCGGGGTCGTGACGATGTACTTGTACAGCAGGTTGATGTTATCACCGTCGGGGTTCGCCGGATCGTCGTCAAAGGGGAGATAGCCGGCGAGCATCGCATACTGAAGAACGTTAGCCTCGGTTGATCCCCTTCCTCCGTCCCCTGGCATCACTTACCAGAATCACACCGCAGCTCCAGACGTCCACTTTCCGCCCCGTGTAGAGGGAATCGCTGACGACGAGTTCCGGTGCGGCGTAGCACGGACTGCCACAGCTGGTCTGCATCAGGTCCCCCCGGCGCACGCCCTTCATGTTGATCTTGTCCAGGCGCATCCGCTTGACGTAGTCCTTGTTGGTGAGGTTGTACTCGATCTCATCGCCCAACTCATCGAACGGGTCAAAGGTGTTCGCAAAGCCGAAATCCGTGATGATGATGTTGCGGTTGCGATCCAGCAGGAGATTCTCCAGCTTCAGATCGCGGTGGACGATGCCCTTCTTGTGGAGATAGCCGACGCCGGACACCAGCTGGGCGAACAGCCGTCGCGCGGAATTGTCTTTGAGGTACCGATTGTTCAGGATGTAGTCGAACAGCTCGCCGCCCGACGCATACTCCATGATGATTCCAATGTGGCGATCCGTCTCGACCATCTCATGTAACCGCACGATGTTGGGGTGGGCCAGGTCCCGCAAGATGGCGATCTCGCGGTAGATCTTGGGAAGCCGGCTGGGATTGGACCCCAGCGTCTCCCGCCGGATGAGCTTGATGGCCACCTGGATGGAGGTGCCATCGCGCTTCCACCCCAATTTGACCTTGCCGAACTCGCCCTCGCCCAACGTCTGTCCCAGGATATATTGGCCGAAGGTGGTCTCCTTGCGCTTGACGGTGTGCTCGGTGTAATCGTGTCGACTGCGCAGTCCGCCGCGTCCTCCATCGTCCACCCCGTCGCTGCCGACCAAGGCCAGCCCGGCGGCGGGGCCACTCTCGGCGGGGGGGGAGGTCGATTTCCCGGACGCACGCGCCCGTTCACGCTCGACGTCCACCGCGGGGTCGCTCACCATGACCGCGTTGATCACCGCGCTCGACTCCTTCATCAAGGCCCCGGGGTCCGACGGACCTTGGTCGTGGGTATTCGTCCCTCCGGTTCCTCGCGAGGAATCCTCGGGCGCCTGGGCGGCGTGTCGGCGCGAACGCGAATCGTCGCCCTTCTTCTCGGGGTGGCTGGTGCCTCGCTCGTCCCCTCTGCTCTTCTTCCGACGGGACCCGGGCACCTTCTCGTGGTTCCGATGGGCCGAGGACGTGCGTGGCGGGGCCACGGGGGGTTCCCCGGAGAGATCGGGGAGGATGGGCGGGCGGTTCCCGCTCTGGGGGGACGACAGCGCTCCGGAGGTTACGGCGGGGGAAGCATGGCTGGGAGGCGGCAGAGACTGCGATTGGAGGTCGCTCATAGCCGAAGAACCTGTCGGGGGAGACGGGGACTGTTTCAAACTTAGCGCGCTGTCTGGAGTGGTCCGGGATACCAATCAATTTCAGAATTCCACGTGCTGGAAGAAGTCCAGGGCATCAACCGACTTAACGCAACATCGTGGAATCGAGAGACCGGGGGTCCCGAGCGGGGAGTTCGAATAGACAAGGGAAGGATATGTAGTGGGCGGGGTGGGTGGAATGTGGGAGAGGGGGGGAAGAAAGGTAAGAGGTATGCATACCTTCGGAGAATGACGGCGCAACGGAGCCTCAAATACAGGCTGGCTGGACAGCTACAACGCGGTCCGTGACAGCCTCTCGAGACACCCGTCAATCAGACGCGACCGATCGCAGGACTGCGCTTGACCAATTACGATCGGCGACGACAGTTCGACACGTCAATGCCCTCCAGCGTTGAAGCCCTCGGCTGTTGGATCCTTTTTTGTCCAGCTTGTTTTCCGTAATGCGAAAATTCTGGTTGGATTTCGGAAATTGGTCGGTCGGGCAGCTAAATTGAATCGTACCGAGTCAGAAAAGCCGCAGGTCGGCGGAAGGGTACCAACCCCCGATCAGGGGGGGAAGGACGGCGTGGGGATGAGAGAGGGACTGACAGCGAAGAGCAGCGACAAACCAGACGGATCGAAGACCAGCGACAGCGAGGGAGGTTCGTTTGGAATGCCAAAGGACACCAGGTCAGGGGTAGAAGTGCAATCGCCGGGAATGATGACGAAGGATTCCCAGAGAACAGCAAGCAGAAAAAGCAATGAGCGATGGAATTGAGAGGCGAGAAACGCGCGTCAAGGCGCTCGCTTGTTGAATTGGCGATTTTTCCTTTCTTCTTCTTCTTCTTCTGTTTCTTCTTTTCTCCTCTGTTATGTCCCTTCTCTTCTCTTCTCCTTGGGGAGCGCGGACGGGGGAAGGCTCTGGCGAAACAGGGAGGGTAAGATCTCTGCACTGCAGAATGATCTCACGTCGCTTGACAAGAACCCCGAAACCCAAGGACGGAATTGGGTAGGAAGCTGAAGGGAAGACGAAATCCTCTGAGGGGGGTTGGAAGGAAGAGGACCAGACTGGAGGTGGACTTGAGGGGAATCGGAGAAACAAGAGCGACCAACGCGGGAAAGGGAAAGAAAAGCAGCCTCGGGAGGCGCGAAATGAGAGCCACCACGCTCTTTGTTTTTATTCTTCTTTCTTCCTGATTTTTCTCTTCTTTCTTGTCTTTTATTTTATTGATTCCTATTTTTATAATTATTCAACTTATTACTCCCTTGTTTTCTTATTATTTCCGAGTTATTCCTGTTTTTTTTTTGTCGTTTAAATCATCAAGTCCAGAGTGAAAGACCAGACGGGAAGGACAAGACGAGGATCGTGATCGAATGGGGGAAATGAAAGGCGAGAGGGGGAGATGAGAAGAGGGAAAGCAGCGCGAGCGCTTAGCGGGGATATCAGTAATCTTTACTTGGGACAGGATAACAAGAAATCATATCAAATAAACAAATAGGAGCCTCAAAGAATAACCATAACAAAACAATCAGACCCAAGGGACTGAAGGGAGGAAAGGGAGACGGAATTGATACTTTGATACTTGATACTCCGGATAGAGACGATGGATGCTTCTCACCACTAACCAGTCAAACCAAGCAGAAAGCGGGTCAATGGCGGGTAGCGATGAGGATTGTAATTTATTTAGATTATCTGGATAATTATAGAACACCATCTACCCTGTTTACACTTTGGGACTGGATTGGGGGGAATCGCCAGGATCAAGACAAAGTACATATAGCTGTTGTTATCCAGGCAACGTGGCTCCTTGCGGCGTACCACCACTTCACCCGGATATGATTGAATCAATAGTAATAGTAATACTAACGAGGAGAGGAAATCCTGAATACTGAACAAGAATAAGGGGAAGAACCACTGTTTCATCACCCGGCACAAGAAGTTGCTAAAGCGTCTGGGGCAGTCGATCCTCATCAAACCTTGGAGGTTCATCCCCGCTGGAGCTTTGGTCTTGTTCTTCATTGGATGGGAGTTGTTTCCTGCATCGATATCAAGAGGTCAAACATATGAAATCCCTAGGTAGGATGACATTATGCAGGATACTTCATTCCGTTCAATGCGTTGGCAACTGAACTCACCGACTCTAATTCAGCCAATCCAACTAATTTTACAAAACCAAGGGACTATCATGCTTATGCAACTGAACCATGGTTCTCAGCTCTCGATAGTCTATATCGGTTACGAGGTTCGCCACTCGTCAGACTCAAGAGAGCTTAATTCTCCTTGATAGATGGATCATATCGATAAGACTTATCTTAAGTTATCATCTCGCATATCAACATACTCTATATAATAGGCAGGAATATCTATAGTCCTCTGTGACAAGCGACAGCAATGTAGAATAGCCGACCACAATAGGAACCATCTTGAAACCAGGATATCTAAATCCCCCACCTTCACCAATCAAGGGATTTATTGTCAATCAATAAACATCCCTCCCAACCCTGAAGCCAATATCCGTCGACAATCAAGGTATCAAAGTCAGTCCACCCACCATACCATGTCATTCCCCATCAACCATCACCAAACTAGTCCCTAATCTACCCATCTACACATCTCACCTCCATACACCCCACCAAACTCAATCAACACCTTGCATCCTCCACAAACTCTCTTCCAGCCTTGACCCATCTCACCTGAAGAAACCCTACTCACTATCACCATCTCACCCACAGCATCATCTTCGCATCATCATCCCGTCTATCCATCCTCCAAACCCAAGCAAAGTAGTAGTACACAGTCTACTATGTGACAGTATCACCCGTTCCCCAGGAAACTAGACCCCTCGCATGCTCGTTACAGGTACCGGGACCCTGTATCCCCATGCTATTACCCCAGTAACGCCGCGGTGGTGTCACACAAGGGGCTGGACCTTGTTATACAGCTTGCGTATGGAGTAGAAGACTAGGGGGTTGTATGTCTGCCATCCTACTGACAATTATCTCATCCAATCGGCAGGTCGAGTCTACTAAACTACGGTAAGGTACTATATATCTATCTATCCGCATCAGACAACTGCCCACTATTTACAGAATAGTTTTACCTCAAACCACAGTATACATAGCAGGTCACCTCTATATCATTCAATCTCCAATATAACCAACCAACGTCCACCAGCATATATATATTCCTCAACCTCCAAAGATAACAGCCCTACTAACCACCCCTTCAACAATATGCAACGACCCTAATCTAGCCCTATCCACCGACATAAAATCATCAAAAGTACAAATCCACAGAAGCACCACACTGCAACATGCACAACCAGCTGAAACTGGAAAACAGTATGTACCCTGAATCTCCCCAAAACGACTGCACCAACATGTAACAGCTGTTGTACCTCTACATTCAAGCAAAGGCTGCATCTAACAAGGGATGAAACCGTTGCTGGCGGAACAAACAACCTAATCATATCAGATAAACCGTTTGAAGGCTGGCTGGGCTGCTGCTGCGGCACGGGTAGTTGCGAAACAGGGATGCAAGGGCTTGCGTTGGAAGCTGTGCATTAGTTATGCTTCTATAGGTACTCGAGGATATTAATGTATGTTTTACGCTCTGCATGTGGTGTATGATTAGTGAATAATGGTGAGTAGTATGAACGTGTCTGATTAATATCACCTTGCTGCCAACTCTCATTGTGCTGCCACTGTCTATGTTTTCATCTAATTCTATTCGATGATTCAATTGATTAGAACAATGCACTTCTAGTCCCGCCCTAAGTAAACAATCCAAAGGACAACCACCCATATCCATAATGGATATAGATACACTGATTTACAATTCAAGCAAAGCTAGTATTATCCATACTATAGTATCGAACTATCCTCCGCCCCCTTCCAAAGCAAGCAGTCACCTATCAAGATGCCTCCGTACAAACGGCCAAACGGCCAAACCAACCGCCATCCAAACCCAAGCATCGAGTCCATAAAAGGCGAACCAGACGGACTCGAGCCACGCATATTATTCAAAAGACATATCGTCTGCAGACCAGTCGTAATAAAGTGCTTTTCGGCATCCAACCCCGACAATACCCCCCTCGCAATCTCACCAGCAGACTGGACCCCGCCGTCGTCCACGGTGCCCTCGATACTTCATAGAGCTCTGGCTTTTCCCCTTGCTCTTCGTAAAAGCTCTCCGTGTATATCGTCTCCGGAAACGTGCAGTGAACGCCAATCTCCACCGTCGAGGCAACAAGGCAGCCGTAGAAGCAGTGAATATGAGATGGCGGCGGGGGTCCGAACCATCATTACCATGACTATGACAGCGCGAGTCCGCACTCACCACTTCATGACAGCGTAGGTGATGAACGCAGAGGAAAAGAAGTTCTTGTCCATGCATCCCCGGATAGAATCAGCTGTGATATCGGCGAAGAATCCGAATTCTTCGCTTGCGCCCCCTGCGGCGCAGAAGACTGCGTAAGCGTCACCTTGAAAAAGTGGCGTGGATGGCCCAAGCTAAGACGGGGCCTATGGCGTGAAAGGTTAGGGTTGTTCCGTGGTGGAATGATGTTGGGTGTGGGTGGCTTATGCTGGCGTGCTGATGGATGAACTAGATTCCCAGGTTGGCCAGCAGGGTTTGCCATGTCATGATGGCTATCTGTCGGAGGATAACGCACAGCGATGCGATGACCAGAGCTTCGGGATGGGAGGGATGGCTATCTGTCGGAGGATAACGCACAGCGATGCGATGACCAGAGCTTCGGGATGGGAGGGACTCCCTTGGTCTGCAGATCTATCAGGGTGTGCCGACTGCGCGGGAGTCGGCGGAGAGTCGGCGCAGCAGAGATCAGGGGGTGTGGGTGTGTCCATTTTTGATTCGGGGAGTCATGGAGGGAGCATCTAGCCGGAGGACCAGGAGAAGATTCGTAGTGTGTAACAGCGATAGAATGTTGAACATCACTACCCCTACTTTAGACGCCATACTTGCATCATTTTCATTGATAACCGTGTACTGCCAATATGATGCGACGCAAGCCACGAGGAAGTTTGCCGCGCGTAGAGGGGAACCTTTTCGAGAACAGGATAGAAGGGCTGTGGTAAGCATTGACTGCAGAATGAGAATCATGTCTGGGCTGTACTTTGTCGAAGAAGACATGATTGATGAACGGATTAGAGAAGAATTGAGGGAGAATAGTATCCAAGCATAACAGCAAATAGGTTATAAACTCTCCATATACTTGAACAAAAGACCTACTCACTTGACTATTCGAGCATAAGGGTCTGATTGGTATCCCAAGTTTCATTGGCTGATTATCACCAACATCTACTTGCTTGACAATACTGCAAGGTGTCGAGATCATGCTGCATTTCAAGCTTGCTGGGCCTTTTCCGTACAAGGTGTATATATGCTCATACTATAGTGCAGTCTTCAATCCGTTACCAACCCATAGGATAACAGGGTGGTCAATAGTATCGAAGAGGGTTCTGTCATGATCGCTTATATCCATGGTACACACAGATACAACATGCTGGTTGTGTGACAGGGGGTCTGGGACGTAATGTACATTATATATCAAGATCCTGAGAGTCACTAACCGTGTTGATAGTAAACTCCCAAAAAAAGACTGGATAAATACAGTCCTTAAATAGATACATATATTAGCAAGTTGTCGGTTTGGCCTCTTTGTGGTCCAGGCTGGGAGGGCAGAGTATGAATCTAAGGTAACCCTAACACATATGCAGTGCTAACTATAGAGCTAGACTAATAGCGATATGGATCTAGATGCTCGACGGAGAATTGTGTCATGATATGATCTGAGTATCTATTTGTGATTGAGATGGCATGTGCTGGTTTGACAGTTCGATTTGACTTTCATAATATTTATCGATTTATTTATTGATTTATTTATTGATTTATATTTCATGATCTATATATATTGATTTATATTTATAGAGAAGTAAAAGTCACACCCACTCTCCATAGAGATATCCAACATGAACCCGGAGTCCCAGCCCTGAAGGATGTAGGTGCAGGATTATTATCATGGAGATGGACGATCTATACTATTCTGGTCTGCATATATCAGCTATTGGTGGGGTCGACCTAGGACTATCGGAGTCAATATCCAAGGACAGATTCAGGAGTCATGATTGCTCTTGATTTCCTTTGTCGTTCCTCTATCTTCTATCCTGGCTGGTGAGCCACAGTATCCATATATAGCATCAATAATCGCATCCACTGCGGGCTCTGTTTCACAGTGGTACACGGGCGGTTAGGGTTGTTTGTTCGGTCAGCCTCCTGATACTATTCCCGTCTATCCTATTCTCGTCCATCCGACTCCCCTTCATACTAATGATTCTTTCTTCAGGTCATGAATGCATCCAACATCCCTGCTCCTTGGAACCTTTTCCCTGGCCAGGTACGTACTCGTAGTCGTCGTCGGACTCTGCATCTCCACTCGTCCCTTAGACAGCCCCACTTTTCCCCAATTAAGGCAATGTCTGTTCCCCTTCGAACCGCTAATCCTTCCTCTCCTTTTCGCCCGTCTCTCCCTCTCCTTCATCGCACTAATCTAACCGGAGGAAGTCTCCAGGGTATTATCCAGGGTACTACCTACTCCATCCTAGATCCTTATTTGCGACAATCATCCACTCTCCCCGTCCCAAAGCCAAGAGATAACCCGAACCCCTGAGTGTCTCTCCCTACCAATCCTCACCCTAACTGGCTTCTCCAACCCCCCTAATTCTCCATCCAGCGCGTGTCATTCCTTCCCTTTTCCCCCTCTCGGCCCGTGCTTCAGGGAGTCAAGGCTCCTCAGCCAACCATGAGGGTCGTGTCGATCCAGCGCTCATTGACCAACGACTGTTTCTGATCCGCCCTCCTCTTCCCGTTTCTGTTGCGCTTCGAAGTTTTGAACTTTCCCAATATTATTATTATTATTCTTATTATTTTATTTTGATTTAATTATTTTGGCGTGCGCCAATCATAGCCAAACGCTGCGATGGCCCCGGGCTGGGCTTCTCCGCCTGCTCCTGAAGGCTTATCACTATCGTCGCCAACCAAGACGACCAAGACGACGACGACGACGACTCCAGCGGCCACTATTAACACCACTACGACGACCCTGTCAAGTGCAGCCGCCTATCATCGACAGTGTCAAGGATCCGCCGTCCCTGAGCCTGGGCCAACTCCTTCTCGTCCTCCTCTGCATCCTTCTCCGTCCGCCTTTTCCTCAACCGATCCTCCGCTCCCGTCTGCGATCTCCCCTCCTAGCTCTGATTCCCTCGTGCGCAGGAAACCGCTGCCCCAGAATGTGGCCCCTGTGAACTCCCCTCCCTCTCATCATCGGTCGTCGACTATCTCCTCCTTCCCATCCTCGGACGGAGACGACACTCCTGCGGCCCCGTCTGTCTCGGTCTCTCATGGTTCGCCACCAGACCCTCATCATCGTTTCCCCTCCCGTGCTTCTGGCGCTTTCCTCTCTCCTGCTGGACAGGACGGTTCCTCCGCCTTTGTTCCCCGGGGTCAGAATAGGTATGTGGTTGAACCCCCCTTTGTTCTTTCGTCTCATACTCCTTTTCTTTTGTCACCGGAGTGTTCCACCCCCTCGCACTGGAGTTAGAGCGTGGGATGGAATCTCCGATAGTCAATTTCCCGGCGTCAAAGCTAATCCCACGTTTATCACTCCCTAGATTCTTCCGCGGTGGTCCATCCACGGGCCCGCTTCGAATAGACACCTCGACCCCGTTCCCGGGCGCGGGAGAAGACGAGCACGGCCGCGAGTATAGTTCCCAGTTCTCGAATGGGACGCCGGTGCACAGTCGTCTCGTCAGCGAACCCTTCATCCCCGTCCTCCGCTCCTCGACCCCTAAGAGAGCCACCACCATGGGCTTACATCCCCCCGCCAACTCGCACCGCCCGCCCCCTCTCCACATCGGCGCCACCGGTCGGTCCATGTCGAGTAGCGTGGTGGACGCCAAACAACCCAAGACCCCTGGCCATAAGATCAGTTCCTTCTTTGGCTTTCGAGGCGCCTCCTCCCCCGGCGGCGAGTCGTCCAGCACCGAGATCTCCGACGCCGGTCGATCCCCACTACACTCCCCCATGCCTCCCTCGCTCCCGAGTGGCTCCTACGCCATCACGCCCTCCACCACCATCCCCTTTGACAATCGGCCCGTGCCGGGTCGCAACGGTTCCCTGAGCAGCGCGGGCGCGCTGGAGTCCGCCTCCAACGCCCACGTGACCGAGCTCGAGAGTGAACTGCGCGAGATCAGCTCCGAGCTGGCCGGCTCCATTCGGCGGGAGATGGAGCTGGAAGACCTGGTCGAACGGCTCCAGTCGGACATGCCCATGGACACGCCCAGCCACCGCCGAACGAGCGATTACTTCTCGGACTCGGGGTCTAGCTCCATCCGGTACGCCTACGATGGCCGGGCCGACGACCTGGAAAAGTTCCGCCGCGCCGCGGAGCAGGAGCGCGCGCAGCTCAAGACCGATCTCACCCAGCGGTGGCAAGAAGAACGAGCGCGCCGGGCTGCCACCGAGTCGCACATCCACATCCTCGAGTCGCAAGTGCATCAGGTAATTCTCTCCCCTCCTCCTCTCACCCCCTCCGCCATTGACATGTTTATCACAGCTTCGACGCGAGCGAGTCGAATTCTCCGATCTGTCCTCGAAAACTCGGGAGATTGAAGCCGCGTTGGACGCGACGCGGCGAAAGCTCGGCGAGGAACGACAGATCAAGGACAACTTTGAAGACCTGCTCACCGCCATGCGGGTAGAACTGGAGCAGATCCGCAACGAGCGCGACATCCTCCGCCAAGGTGGCGGCGGCGGCGGCGGCGGCGGGGCCTCCGACCCCGCAGAGGTGCAGCGGCTACTGGAAGAGATCGAAGCGCTGAAGATCGAAAACGCCTCCCTAGCCCAACTGCACGGGACCCGCTTTGCGTCCATCGCCGAGGAAGAAGGCGCGCCCAACCGGCGCGCCTCGGGGCTGGGACTCTCCCGCTCCAGCTCCCTGGCGCGGATGCACTCGAAGCCCAACGGACCGTCGGGGCTCTCGCGCTCGGGCTCGCTGTCCCGGTCGAACTCCGTGTCCGGCAAGGAACGCGACACGCGCGACCTGGCCGAGCGCGTCGAAGACATCGAAGCGCAGCGCAATGCGCTCCACGAGGCCCTGCGCCGCCTGGTCGAGCGCCAGGCCCACGAAGCACGCCAGTACGAGAAGCGCTCGCGGGCCATGGAGCAGGAGCTGGCCCGCGTGCAGCAGTCGGGCTCGCCGCGCCGGCTGGGCTACGAGCGCGAGGTGCGCAACCTGCGCGAGGAAGTGAACCACCTGCGTGGGCGGGCCGAAGACGCCCTCAACCAGAAATGGCAGTGTGAGAAGGGCCTCGGCGGTCTCAAGATGGACCTCGACCGCGCGGAGCAGGAGACCGCCTCCCTGCGGGTCCTGCTGCAGGAGCACGACATCAACCTGCCCGCGGAGCTCGACGGCGAGCGCCAAGGCTTCGCCGCCGTGACGGCTACCTCGTCGTCGCTGGAGTCCGCGTACGCGCAGCTCCAGGCCGACCGGGAGCACGCCGAAGCCAGCATGGCGCAGTCGCCGCAAGACGCGAGCAGCCCGCTCGCGGCGTCGCTCAGCCGCACGGACGACCTCGCGCGGCACGTGCAGAAGCAGCTGGCCACCAACAGCTCGCTGCGCAGCCGGCTGGCGGACGCGATCGGCAAGGGCGAGAAGGACCAGCAGCTGTCGGCGTCGCGGATCAGCGAGATGCAGGCACGCCTGAAGGAGCTGGAGGACACGCTGTTGCTGGCGCAGCAGTACTCGGAGGACGAGATGGCGCGCCACGAGGAAGAGATCAACCAGCTGGAGGAGACGCACAGCGCGCAGCTGATGCGCATGAAGAACGGCGGCCGCAGCCCGATGGGCCTGTCGCCCATCCCGCCGCACTCGCCGTTCGGGGCGCGCTCGCCTCGTCTGGACAAGACCACCAGCGGCGACGGCGTGCCGCTGGAGCGGGTCGTGCAGGCTGAGACCCTCGAGCGCCGCGTCAAGGAGCTGGAGAAGCTTCTGCGGGATGCGGACGTCGAGATGTCGGAGGTTGTGAGCCGGATGAACCGCGCGCAGATCGACGTGGCCGAGTTGCAGTCTGATCGGTATGCCCCCCCCACTCTTTATTCCCTTTACTTTGATCAGTATACTAACAGAACCAGTGACCACGCCCTCCGCCAAACCCGCCGCCTCCAAGCGGAGATCGAAGCCGAGCGCAAAGCATTCCAGGCCTTAATGGGCTAGAAGCCGTATAATACTATCACCACATTTGCATGTATCCTATACTATACCACGGCGCTGGATTGGAGTTATTGATTATCGTTCGCAGAACTGTGGGGCATTTTGACGGCTTGTATGTAGGAGATGGTTGATCTGTATATATGACTGTCACGAGGTGATTGTCTTAATTATAATTGTCATTATCAGTATTCAGTATGTCGAGTATGTCGAGTGTAGGTGTAGGTGTAGGTCGAGTTCCAGAGCAGTATGTAATGGAGTGAGGATCGATGTGTTGGCTTATCTATCAGTGTTTGACTAGTTTGTTTCAGGCTGGTTTGACCTCGGATCTTGGCTGTCGCTGTCGCATCCCAGACAAACAAACACTGTCATTCATTCATCTCGCTTTGTCGATTCTTTGACGATGAGACACTTTTAATCTTCTGTCTCCTGTGCTCTTTCTTCTCGCTTCAACCGCAGTGCAAACACACACACACATACACCCATAACGAGTCGACCTCAAGACCAGTTCACGAAATGGACTATCTCCCAGGTAATCCACCCCACAGATCAACACCAATACCAACACCCAAACAAACACCCAAACAACCCAACTAACCCCCAAACCACCAGAGCAAATCCAAACGCTCCTCACGCAAGCAACAACAACCCTCCCACTCAACCACCCGCTCCTCAAAAACCTCACCACCCTCGCCCTCCCCCTCACCCTCAACCTCCCAACGATCATGTCCCCCTCGATGACAACCCACCTGACCACCCTCCGCGAAACCTACCTCAATCCCTACCTAATCGACCCGCTCTCGAAACTCCTCGCCTCCTCCTGCCCGGACTACATCTCGGTGCTCCTCCTGATCGCCATCTTATACATCTCGCTCAAGATCCTGGATTATGCCCGCCGGGTGGTGCTCTTCTGGGTGCGTCTGGTGGTGAGGGTGCTGTGGTGGAGCGCTATCTTCGCGAGCGGGTATTATGTTTATTCGGTGGGGTTGGTGCAGACGGGGAGGGATGTGGGCTGGGTGTTGGGTGCGTTGGGGGGTTCGTGGATGGGTTTTGGGAGGGGATTGAGGGGGGGAGGGGGGGAGATTCTACTTCGTCGACTTCTTCGACGGCTGCTTCTGGGGGTGGGTATTCGAGGAAGGGACTGTTTAGTTGATCTTTGATTGAGTGGTTCTTTCTTGTGCCTCTGTTTGGGAATTTTGGTTGTTTTGGTTGCTTGGCTATTACTTATGTTTATCCTGGTTGAGCTATGATCATGTTGATACGACTGCATAATGTCATTACTATCATTACTATTATTAGTGCGGATGTATCTGCTTCAGCAGCTGTCCGGCTAAAGCTGTCTCCGAGTAGGAGGACGCGTGCTGAGAGCCGAGCGAGTCGGAGCTGATGCTGATGGTCAGCTGTGAGCGACCGGACTGCGTCGCTCGTCCTGATCAGTAGACCATGAGCGCATGTATCGAAGCCACCGATAGCTGTATGATAGGCGTATGGATAGAAAACCCCGTAAAGGTCCGGAAGAGCCCCTCACTCCGTATCCTCATAGTCAATATCATGCTCATCACTCGGCTCGCGCGGCTCCTGCGCCTCATGATACTGAATCGCATCGTCGATATGGCTCAACACAGCAGCGACACTATCCTCATCCTGCACCTCGAGCTGCAAAAACGACACCATGCTAAAGTCATCAATCAACTGCGCCACCGCCCGGTTCAGCCGCTGGAACGACCTCCCGCTCATGACCGTCTTCGCCGCCGAGGGGTCTTCCGTCCCCGTCTCCGCCTCCTCCTCATCCCCCACCGGCGCCTCCTCCGCATCCTGCAACGACTGCACGTCCACATTCGTAAACCGCCGCATCTCCTTCCGCGAGACCATATCGCGCACCTGATCCATCTTCGTCAGGATATTCACATGCGGCATCTCCAGCATCAACATCGCAGACATGGCGCTCAGGGTCCCCGCAAAGAACTTCGCCTTATCCACCACAAAGGTACTCTCCAGCAGATACGCCGCACAGAGATTCACATTGAGCGGACCCGCGCGGGACAAGAAGTTCACCAACGACGGCAGCAGCGGCACGTGCGTATACAGCTCGATCTGGCCCGGCATGTCGATGATAATCAGGTACTCTTCGGAAAGCGGGTCGATCGCCTCGGACAGGAAGTCCAGGTTCTGCAGCAGGAACTCGAAGCAGTAGATGAGACCACCGTTTGGTCCCAGCCCCATCTCCTCCATGACGTCTTCCAGCGTGATCAGGTCCCGGATGTCGAGGTCCGGCTCGTAGTTGAAGGTCTCGGCGGCGGGGTCTAGGTTCACGTAGAAGCAGCTGCGGCGGGTGGTTTGGAGGTGTTGGATCATGGCGTTGCAGAAGGTGGTCTTGCCGGCGCCTGCCGGGCCCATGACGAGGACGCCGAATTTCGACATGTTGGTGTTGTTGTCGGTGGATGTTTCGGTAGTCCGTTGGGTAGGGAAGTCTCTGGTAGTCCGACTGGGGATGAACGTGGGGCGCGCTGAGCTGCGATATGTCCGATTGGAGGGGATCTTTTTCCCTTTCCTCTCCGATAAATGTTTGTCTGACAGTGTCGGGTCTTAATCAGACGAGATTCACCAATTAAACCGATGTAAGAACGAGGTCGTCTGTACTCATGGTCAGCAAAGCCCAAAGTAACCGGAGAAAGACGGCGAGATGACGGCTTACGTGATCCGGCAGAATGGGTTTTCTGCCATGCGCCACCGCTCGGAGGAACGCCAAAATGGCGCCATCGGAGAGCCGATTGGGTGGCTGTGATTGGTCGGTCCATCACCGCCCCTCTTTTTTCTTCTTCTCTCTTCTTTTTCCCCTCTTCATTCTCGTCCTTTTTCCCCTCTTTCTCTTCTCTCTCTTTTTCTTTTCTCTCTAAACCCACCAGCCCCTCCTCATTTAACCCCTCCTATCTTCCTCCCTCTCTCTCTCTCTCCCCTCCTTTTCACTTCTTCCACTCTCCAACCTCCTTTCTTCCTATCCTATACCCTCCTACTCAATTCCTAATTCTAATTCCCCTCCCTCCTCTCACAATGGGTAGCGTTTCCAACGGGCCTAAGGCCGGCACTTTCCTCTTCACCTCCGAGTCTGTCGGTGAGGGTCACCCCGATAAGATCGCGTATGTCTCTTCTTCTAGACACTATTCTACTCCTCTCTGTATCATATCTAACAATCACAGTGATCAGGTCTCCGATGCCATCCTCGATGCCTGTCTGGCGGAGGACCCCCTCTCCAAGGTACGGAACCGACCCTTGATCGAATTTTCCCTTATCTCTCCTTCGCTCGCCCTTGCGTAACTCAGCGCTTTCTGCCACCTGTTCCTTGCTAATCTGCCCGACAATAGGTCGCTTGTGAGACTGCTACCAAGACTGGTATGTTCTTTGTTTATCTTCCCCGTGTTGAATGAATTGTGCTAACTAGGATAGGTATGATCATGGTCTTCGGTGAAATCACCACCCAAGCCCGTCTGGACTACCAGAAGATCATCCGTGGTGCCATCAAGGACATCGGCTACGATGCCTCCGAGAAGGGCTTCGACTACAAGACCTGCAACGTCTTGGTCGCCATTGAGCAGCAGTCCCCCGATATCGCCCAGGGTCTGCACTACGAGGAGGCCCTCGACAAGCTGGGTGCCGGTGACCAGGGTATCATGTTCGGTTATGCCACCGACGAGACCCCCGAGCTGCTGCCCCTCACCGTCCTGCTCTCCCACAAGCTGAACAGCGCCATGAAGGAGGCCCGCGTCGACGGCTCCATCCCCTGGTTGCGCCCCGACACCAAGACCCAGGTCACCATCGAGTACGCCCACGACAACGGTGGCGTCAAGCCCCTGCGCGTCGACACCGTCGTCGTCTCCGCCCAGCACAGTGACGACGTCTCCACCGAGGAGCTGCGCGCCGTCATCAAGGAGAAGATCATCAAGAAGGTGGTCCCCGCCAACCTGCTGGACGACCGCACCGTCTACCACGTCCAGCCCTCCGGCCGCTTCGTCATCGGTGGCCCCCAGGGTGATGCCGGTCTGACCGGCCGTAAGATCATCGTCGACACCTACGGTGGCTGGGGTGCCCACGGTGGTGGTGCCTTCTCCGGCAAGGACTACTCCAAGGTCGACCGCTCCGCCGCCTACGTCGCCCGCTGGATCGCCAAGTCCCTGGTCAACGCCGGCCTCGCCCGCCGTGCCCTCGTCCAGCTGTCCTACGCCATCGGTGTCGCCGAGCCCCTGTCCGTCTTCGTCGAGACCTACGGCACCTCGCAGAAGAGCTCCGAGGAGCTGGTCGAGATCATCCGCAACAACTTCGACCTCCGCCCCGGTGTCATCGTCAAGTCCCTGGATCTGGCCAAGCCCATCTACTACCAGACCGCCAAGAACGGCCACTTCACCAACCAGAGCTTCTCCTGGGAGAAGCCCAAGGCCCTCAACTTTTAAGCGCGTCGTCCCTAACGGGTGCGGCCGCCTGTTTCAGGTGACCTGATGCCAGTGTTTTTTTACGAATGTATGATTTTGCTTTGTTTTCAACAACTCAAAGCACGAGCATAGACACGTTTTACAAAAGAAAAAAGCCATCTCCTCATTTTCAAGATGTTTGTTTAATATTTGCATGGTCGCCTGCCGGAGAACGGGTTCGGCGAGGATAAATTCAACATGATACCACTTTTTCCTGGGAAGGATGTTTCGGCGTTTCAGGGAGCGAGAGATTTCAACATACGGTCTGGGGTTGCCTTTCTTCCAAGGAGGCAAGCCACTGAGGCCCTTTTCGTGATCGGTTCGCCGGTCACGGATGTGCTAATCTAAACATTAGCCATATAGAATAATGATATTGGATTATATAATTTATACAGTGTAGTGTGTAGTTCTTATTATACTGTAGATCAGTGTTAGTTCTCTTCTTATCGGGGTTCAAATGATACTTGTTCTATAGTTTTTCTGACTGAACGTGAAATAACAGCCAATGCAATAAGAAAATCAATTGAGATAGACTGGGATTGAATAATGAGTAGAAATGAAGTGGAACAGATAGAAACAGACTGAGTGGTTATGGACTAAGGCAGAGAATCAGAAGTAAACGCGTGACGCCAAGCCTGACCGCGTTCTCCTCCACGCCATAACTAGTCCATCTTTTCTTTCCAACCCACTATACCTACTATACTCCACTCAAATCACAATTATACCCGGGGTTATTCTTACTTCGCCCCATCTGTCGAGTTGCATATCTTTACGGTCACCTGAAGACATAATGTCCATCTAAGCAACGCGTCCATGGCCTCGCGTGGATCCGCCAGCGTCCTCGAGACCATCCCCCTCAATCACCTCCCCGCCCCGCCTCTCAAAAAGCGCAAGATATGCCATAGTCCTGGGGATTGGGAGGATCAGGCCATCCGTATCCGGGTACGCAACGTTCCCATTCTACACTGACTTGCACTTTAGTTCCCTTAATGTGCAACTCAATTTTCCCGCGCCGCAACTAACAGGATCTACAGGCCCACGGCGCGTCCCTCTCCGACGACCCCTTCGTCCTCGAACCCATCGCCCGGATACCCCGCTCGCGCCTCCCCTTCTCCTGGCTGGATATCAGCCCCGCCCTCTCGCAAAACCACCCAGGGAGTCTCTTCGTCGCGGACATCCCTACCCTCGAGGCGCACCCGGACACAGACCCCGCGGTACTCGCCGTGCGATTGACGTCCGACGACTCGCTATATGTAGTGGAGCGGGTGAAGCGGGGGATCCACGCGCTCTTGAAACTAGCGCGGGGCGTACACGAGCGCGATATACATGCGGTGAAGGAGGGGAACGCCGTGCCAGCTGCCTTGCTCGATGATACCACACGCGTGTCTGTGAGTGTATGCGACGGCGCAGAATGGTGGCAGCTGGCGCAGGTGGAGGATCCCGTGCGCAGTGTCGAGGAGGAGGGAGCGCGGGCTAGGCCGGGCGTCTCAGTTGTCTTCGGTGGTGTCGACGATGGGCACCGCGTACGGGACGGCGTAACGCCAGTGGGTGTGCCTGAGAGCAGGGCGCAGTCTGCGGTACCGCAGCTGGAGTCAGCGCCGAGCGCCGTGTCCGATCTCCAGACATCGATGGGGCTGGAGCAGGAGGCGCAGGCGCTTGGCGGGGTCGATCCGCAGCTGGCGCCGCAGGATCTGCTGGATGGCCTGCGGGAGCAGTACCTGCAGGCGCTGTACGTCTCCAAGACGTCTGTTGCGTATTTCGCCAAGGGCCCGCTGGCTCGCTGTCGGGCGGCTTTCCAGTCGGCTGCCCCTGCGGATCTCATCGCCTTCTACCGGGAGGCGATCCTGACCGCCAAGAAGATGGACCACAAGTATCGTGAGACGCTCCCGACGAGCATTCGAGACGCGCTGCTTAGCATTTCGGACGGCGAGGCCGCGCCGTCTGGCAAAAAGCGCAAGCCCCGGAAGAAGAAGCTAGGCAAGAACGGGCTGTACCCGGAGGAAGAGAAATTCGTCCACCGATGGTGGAAGGATCGGGCGTTCGGCGAGCAGGGCGTCCTGATCGAGACGTCTCGAGACACAGAGGTGAAGAAGCACGTTGCCGATCTGCGACTGCGAGAAACCCAGCTGCAGATCCTCCTTATTCTAGAAACCTTGGCCCTGGAGGCCGAGGAAGCGAAGAAGCCTCGCGACGACGCCGCAGAACCACCCCCCACAATGAAAGCCAAAAAGCCCCAGGATCTGGCCGTCATGCTCGAGCTCCATATCGACCGACTGTGCATCTGGCATGCCGTCAGCTTCGAGGACACGGTAGTCGCCGACTCGGCCAAGAACCAGACCAATCTGGCCGGCAAAAAGGTCGAGAGCGACGCCGTGCGCGACTTTTGCACCGAGGTCATCATCCCGTTCTACGCCGCTCGTCTGCCAGACAAATGCAAGTCGATCACCCGTAAGCTAGGCGTGTCGAGCACGTCGCCTACGAAGCCACCCGCCAAAAAGGCACCCCCGGGTCCCAGCGCTCACAAACACCCACGCCGGTCATTCCAGCGCGTCCACACCGACACACAGACAACCTCTCAAGGACGAACACCCGCACCACCCTCACTAAACCGAACCAACACAGCCCCATCCCAAGTCGACACGCGGCGCAATGAATCAATAGAACCCCTCCTCCCCATCCTCAGCACCAGCGCACGCGGCGGAATCCAAAAAGCGAAACGGGCGGAAAACCGCGAAGTGGACCTCAACGCGGTAGCGCGGCAGCACGAGTCCAAGCTTCGAAAGGTGCAGCTCCTCGCGGACCAGAAGAAAGAGCTCGACGCTGCTATCTCTGCCCTCCGCAAGCCCAACCGCCAGCTCGTCGCCAAGGACATCGCCAGCGATGCGGACAAGCGCACTGCCAGCGGCAGGAAGTCTAAGAACCCGGTTCGTAACCCACTCGGCCAGGGCGTGCAAGTCGCGGCTACACCGAGCAAGAACCGGAAGAGAGACGCCAACACCGACGCAAACATGCTGCCAGCCGCACCGCGCACACTCACACGTCGTCCGTCCCGCCCGCCCAAACCAACCGGACCATCTCCATCCTCCCCCTTCGACACAGACGCAGACCCAGACGCCGACCCAGACGCAGTCATCGTCCCCGGCTCAGCCCCCCGACCAAACACCTACGCCCTCACCATCCCCTCAATATCCATCTCCGACCCATCAAGCAGCATCCACGAGACGCCCCTGCGTCGAAAAGCCCCCCAACCACCATCCCAAGTAGAGCAATCCCCCAGTTTCTCAGGAACCGGAACCGGAACGGGGAACCTCTTCCGCGTCCCTCGCCGACCTGTCCCGCGGTCTACGGACGTCGTGGCGCCTTCTACGCCTGTCTCGGCACGGTATGTGGATAGGTCTGAACGGCCGGGTTTGGGCTCGGCCATGGCTGTGGGGACGGGGTCGGCGAAGATGGCTTCTGTGTTGGAGACGCCGCCGAGGGTGGCTGCTCCGATTAGTGTTCCTGGGACGGGGGGGAGGGATGTGTTGGTTGAGACGCCGGTTAAAGAAACGCCGGTTAAGATGGGGGCTGAGCCATCTGGGACGCCTATCAAGATGAGACCTGAGCCGATGGGAACGCCAGTCAGGACGAGATCTGAGCCAATGGGAACACCAGTCAAGGCGAGACCTGAGTCTGCAGGAACACCAGTTAAGACACGAGCCGCACCGCCAGGAACACCAGTCCGGAAGAGCGTGAGTGGAATGGGCACAGCATCGATCGTACCGATGACACCGGAGAAATCAATCTACGAACAGCTGGGCTGGGATGATGATGATGTTGGGTTTTAAGTGTATAACTGGGGATTTGTGGGGTATATTATATGATTAATGAAGTGTGGATTCTACTCCGTACCCTACGATAATGGATATGATGTGTGGTGTACAATGACTTGTCTATTATATAGTAGAAGTGTATGTAGGTGGCACACGACGGTATGAGTTGCAGTTACAGGTCTAATGCTGTCCAATATGATTGAGACAAGCAATGGTGCAACATCAGCAGACTTACACTATCTCTCACACACGACCATCAGAAGCAACTGGTACGGGAACCCGTAACCTACTGAAAATAGACGACAACAAGGCTCATACAGCATCAGTATACAAGACGACAACGGACTGTAAATTAAATCAGCATAGGCAGCAAGCCATTAGATTTATGATTCGGACGAATCTTTGATTCGGCCATCAGGACGAAAGAAAAAGCTAAATGACTGGCCATATCGAGGGCTAATTTCTATAATCTATACAAGACGGCGTCAACCAGAATACAAGGAATTGAAAGAGCAGTAGTGTCTTCTAGGACTGAAAGCTGCATTGATAGGGTATCGTGTTCATCTTTTGTATCCTTATTGTTGGGGTTCTGTGCATTGTCGTGGATGTCTTTGGTGTTGTTACATGTACATATGGGATCAACATGATATACGTGTTTTGAATAATTTCCCTGATCATCAAATCTAGACACCACAGCGGATCATTACCCAAGTCAAGCGAGCTTAAAACTGCACTGTTCATCTAGTACAACCATTAGAGAAGACATCAAGGTTCTCGTAGACTTATCCTTGGTAGGTAAGTAGGTAGATAGGTAGGCAGTAACCGCAAACCCTGGTTCAGCAGAGGATTAACATGCTAGCTAGTAAATTGTCTGCCTGAGTATCCACATAAACCCTTGATCCAGGGTTATTATATATTTATGCGCTGGGAACGGTAGGCTGAACCGATGGGTAGATTAACGCTGCAGGCGACAGTTAGTCCGAGTACACAGTACACGTCACTACATTAGTGTCTGCTTATGTAGGATCAGACGCTGCTTAAACAAGCTCAACAGTGAATAATAGCTGTCGAGGGTACTACCGCTTAGTTGTCACCGTCATGGGTCATGGCATCTTGCTGGGCATGATTTCGTCTATTCTACTATTGAACTTTCTCTACTTTCGTTCATTTACCTCTCAAATTCAATGATGGCATCAAGCAACATCATACATAGATACATACAACATACAGCATTGACTGTCCCACTGATCTCGGTTACAACACTGAACAAAGAAAGTTGCTTTGGCTGGCTGAGTCGGCGGCTATATCCTATGGCATTCATTTCAATCTACCTATTGCTACTGCTACTACTACTACTACTGCTGTAGCTGTAGCTGCTGCTGCTGCAGTGGCATGTATGCAACGTACTATACTACACTACACAATACTCTACCACCTAGGTAGGTAAGTAGCACATGAACTGCGCACGCATCAATATAAGCAATGTCCAACCAGCCTCGCAACACCACTCCCCTCCACCATCCACTAATAACACCTCTTCTTACGTCGAAGCAAACTGCTTGAGTGCATGCAGCCAGCCATCATCCAGACAGACAGACAGCAGTATTTAGCCAGCAGCTAGCACTCACCCGCCAGAGCCAGCCATATCCATTCGACGTATCGAGCGCGATCGCCGCAGGCCAGCGTGGCGCCGCGGGTGCTGCTGCTCTGCGGCGACGGATCGCTACCTGCGCTATCGACTGACCAGGCTTTCCCGGGGGACTGGTGCATCCAGGAGACGACAGACGGACAGGTGCGGCAGTTGATTGCGAAGCGGCGGGTAACTGACACCTGCTACATGAAGTACCACAGTCTACGACGACACTACACGGGACACGACGAGCACCGCACGCGGTACTTCAGCCAGCTGGTGCCGAGCGGGGATACGTCAGGCCCCGCAGATCTACAGTCGACAGCGTCAACAGCCGACAGGTGTGGGAGGCCGTCGAGACAGCGCAGCCCGAGCTGACGATCGTGTCAGGGACGAAGTACACCGGGCGAAAGCTGATGGAGCGGGCGGGGCTGATGGTCAACCTGCATATCGGACATTTGCCGGACTACAAAGGCAACCAACCACTGTATCTTCTTTGCGCTGTATGACGGCGCGCTGGACCAGGTGTCTGCGACGCTGCACCAGCTGACGGCGGGGGGATCCTCGACCGGGTGTCGCTGGCGGTGTGCGCGGACGACAGCGAGGAGACGCTGTATGCGCGGTGTTTGCATCTGGCGATTGATCGGTGTATGGCGCATGCGGTTTGCGCGGGGTGAGCTGTTGGCGTTTGAGACGCAGGAGGATGTTGGACGGACGTTTCAACATGATGATAGGACTGCTGTTAAGGAGGTGTGGCTTTGGTGGCGGCTGAGGGGGGTGCTGATGTCTTAGGGGAGAGTAAGATAGCTGAGTAGGACAGACGAGGGTATTATTCAGCTGGTATATCTATCATAGGACTCATATCTTGACTCCTGACAGCATAAGCCGTACACGAGTACTTTCAATAGACACACACACGCACACCTACATATACATACACACACATACAAAAAAGAAGAGAATAAGATGAGCCCAATTCACAAAATCGGCCTCCTTCTCTACCCCAACGCCGACCTCCTCGACTTCACGGGCCCCCTAGAAGTCTTCTCGCACGCCCTGCACAACCACAACCCGGACAACCCAGACCGCATCTTCAGCACCACCACGCTAGCCCGCGCGCAGAGCATCCCCGTGGGGAAAGACTCTCTAACCGTGACAGCAGATGTGGTTCTCAGCAACACCAGCGAGGAGGCTATCAGCCAGCTACTGGCCCGTCTGGACTTCGATATTCTGATGGTGCCGGGGGCGCCGCCGGCTGTTGTTACGGGGGTGATTGAGGAGGCGGAGGGGGTGGAGAAGCGGGTGGTTAGGGCTTTTGTGGGGTTGGACGGGGGACGGGGACAGGGACGGGGGCAAGGGGGGAGAGCTCGAGAGCGGATCTTGTTCTCGGTGTGTACGGGGGCGGTGGTGCTTGGGGCGGCGGGGGTGTTGGGGGGGATGAGGGTTACGACGCATTATGGGCGGTGGGGTGGTTGGATGATATCTGTGGGAATAAAGAAGGGGGGAAGGTGGAAGTGGTGGAGGGGAAGAGGTTCGTGGATGGGGGGTTGCTACAGTATGGAAGGGGTGATGGTGGTGGTGAGGTGAGGTTGATTACTTCTGCGGCAATTAGTAGTGGGATTGATGCGGCGTTGCTGGTGGTGAGTTTGGTGGTGGGCAGGGAGATGGCAGAGTTTGTGGTGCGGGTGATGCAGTATGATTGGAGGGAGTAATCTTTTCTTCTTTCCTTCGTATGAACTAGTTGTTACTACTCTTGTTTCTATTATTCTATTTCAGATTGATTAATGATCATCCTATACGGAGTAGACTAACCCTGACTAAGAATGGTCTATAACAAGGTCATCTGACTGACGATCCGCATGACTAAGGCGAGTACGTACTCCTGTGGAGACAATCCTGTGAGTCACGCGACTCTAGTCTATTCCTTCAGTAGGGGTCCAGACAATATTATTGACTTTTGTATTTGATATTGATATTATTATATTCTAGAAATGTATAGCTGAACCAATCCAGTCGTAATTCGTAATTCATTATTATCGCGTATTGATACTTTTGCGAGACTTCCGTCTGTAATGTGTACAGTTGAGGGCGGTGTAGTCAGAGGTAGGTAGTGAGAGCCGAGTAAGTAGTCGGAGGAGTATATGCAGTCGAGGAAGTAGTCGAGTGAGAGGAGTAGTCAAGTGAGAGGAGTAGTCGAGGGTTGAATGAGTAGACTACCCAGAAATCTGGATGGGCAGACACTGCCCTGGAGACGGCCATAGATTCTTCGTCTTCTCCAGACAAGTGCGTCCTTTCTCCATGAAGCCGTCTGAATCCGACTCTTTCCCCGACGTTTGGCTTTGGGGTTGGCTCTGGGGTTGGCTTTGGGATTGAGTCTGTGTCTGTTGGGACTGCTCCTTGGAAGTGTCGGCAGACTGCTCAAACGACACCTCAAAGTGAACTTGAATGGCCGAGTCCTTCTCAGCATCAGCCGCAGCACTCTCCGGGCTAACATCCTTCTTCGCAGCCGGCTCCGGCACAGCGGGAATACGGCTGACGAAATTCTTCTTGTGGTTCCCGGCGTCCTCATCCTCCGACTCCGACTCGGACTCGAGATCGAACGAGTTGATGCGCGTGGTCATATCCTTCTGGGCCATCTCGACAGACATGACATGCAGACGGAAGTGGCAGAGACAGCGGCGGATGTCTGGGTCCGGGGCGGTGGCCTCGCGGGCGAGCTTTTGCTTGGAGAGGGTGGTGAGGCGGAAGGGGAGAGAGGTCTTGTCGGCCATGGGGGGCCAGCGTTTATTTGCGTTGGATGGGGGAGGTTCTGCTCTGGGGATGATTTTTTGGACGGCCATTATATATATATTATATATAATATATTGTTGTATCAAGTGTAGTAGATGTGAGATGTGCAGATGTGATGTGTGAGGATGAGTGTTGTAGTGATTGTAGTGGTGGAGATCACGTGTGGAGCAGTATATGGTGGAGTTGGATGATTTGCAGCAGAAAGATGGAGAGAAAAGAAGATTCAACAGAGCAGAAGAAAGCAGAACGAAACCTGGGGAGAAAGGATTAAAAAGGGCAGACAGACAGACAGACCGAGAAGACGAGATGAAAGAGTCATCAGCACGGACCTCAGTCCAGACCGGCGAATCCAACGGGTCGCCCCAAAACAGCAAATCCGGCCCTGACTAAAGCAGCGCGTTGGCCCTTCTGATCGAGCAGATTCTGCATGCGGATCTAGACTTCCAAACCGGTTTTCCCTGCTCTCGATTTCTTTATTACAAGTAACGCCTTATCACCTAACACGTAGTAAATACTACATATCTTCTTATTCAGTCACTGTCTCGTGTCCTTCCTGTCTGTCCGATCGTGTTGTTCTCCATCATGGTCATCAACTGAAATCAGTAGACAAATCCGGTGAGGGTCGAAGGATCCACTGGAAAACAGCAGACTTCCAGCTGACCTTCACGGTGGGTCCGGGTGCGCCGGCAGTCCATGGAATGTTCGATGCCAAGTGTTGTCGTGTACTTTTTTCTTTCTTTCTTTCTCACTTTTCATGTCTTTCTCCTCATTCTCGTGTTTTCTTTCTTTGTCTTTCTTCATACTTTTCTATAGATGATCATATATTATTTACTTATCTAGATATATCTACACTTCTATAGATCTAGTTGTATAATATCCACCAAGTAAAGAAGTAACCCATACTCAATTCCCCGTAGCCCCTGATTGGCATGATCTGCGGGGACTGTTCTAAAGCAGGTAGTAACACCAAACCGGGCGACTCGTACGCTTACTTGGTTCGGTTCTCCACTTCTCCAAATGAAACGCTAGATTTTTACTTTTTGATTTTATCCTTATTTTATTTATTTTATTTTCTGAATCCTTTTTTTAGTTCTATTTTTTTAGTTCTATTTTTTACCCTTTGAGAGAAGAGAGAAAAACCCTGTGATTACCTAACCCACTATCTCCCCCTAAGAATAACAACCCAACACCAGAATAACCAGGAGTCACTCCTTTTCGATCAATCAAGGAGACCATAATCATCTGGATGATAATAATAGCAAGATTGATGGGTCGACACAATAGTTCAATCGATGTCATCAGTCAACAACCTGACCTGGGTTCTTGAGCAGTCATGATGTCAGCGCACCCACTGTTCGATCTCGTTCGCCTCTCATCTTGATTCGCCCCAGAGGCAACTTCTGGGCATGATCTCATTCTCGTCACTGTACCATGATACCCAGCTGTCAAGTGCGATGTCATATTGGACAATGCCTCTGTCTTTATGATGATGACCGTGCTGGTCTGGTTCACTGGCCTGGTTCGGGATTGATCCCGAGAGGACGTGGGTCTTTCGTCTACCTCAGTGTGATAGGTGTCTGCCATGGCACCGTGATGTTCTCTTCATACTATATCTCTATCCTCCATCTGGTTGGTTGGAGCCGATCCCGTCAGGCTCTGGATATCTCTGGTTGACTCGGGATAACATCATAGCATCGGCATCCAAGCCGATCGGGTGTTCGAACTATGCAATATCAAATCCAATAGGCTGATATATGACAGGATACCCGGTTGTGGGGTGATCTGCTCGTGCCGAGGTAGTGGTCGGTAGATACCGGACTGATCTGGTTTGACTGACAACCCCAGAATGCTGCTGAATAAGTTGATATCATTTTGTAGATGGTTCTGTCGTTTATGTGTCAGCTTGGATTGAGGGTTCTGTGTTATCTGGAGTTCTCATATCTTTAGGGTGTTTCAACCACACCAACTGCTTAACCACAACCACAACGATTTCCATACTGAATCCAACATGATCGTTCGAGACGAGACAAGTGGACCCAGAGTCAAACCCCGCTGGGCCCCTGCACCCGACAATCACTCGCATGGCTGGCTAAAGCAACGTTTAACCGGGTCCATCCGCATCCAGGTCCACCCCGACGATCCGACAGACGAACCCTCAGAGACGAGATACTTCTTCGACGGGACGTGGACGCAGGCGTCTTGGAGCACGGGCGGTTCAGATCGAGAACATCGTCGTCCGTCTCACACGGCATGCGAGTAGGGTGCCTTGTACTATTATGTACTATGTACCCGATCTCGGCCCAGACGATAATTGATGGCCAGACGGTAATTGATGGCCAGACGATAATCGATGGCCCGTGAGCGATTGCGAAATAAATTTCAAATCGTCAAAAAAAAAAAAAGAACAGTGGAGTCGTCGTCCCACGTTGGTCCGAACACCGCCCGCCGTCGTCCCACTGCCCTCGTTGCACGTCGTCCAGCTGCCAACGGCAAGCAGCGATTGTCTCGGGTAATTGCATAGACGGGAAGATGTGCGGGAAGGAGGATAGAGTCGAATGCTGTCTCTTTTCTCTTTTCTCTCGTCTAACCTGCCGCATCGCGAGCACATATGTCAGCCGATTGCAACAGCGGGGCTAGCGTCTAGCGGTTGACGCTTGTCTGCCCTACACTCTCTGTAGGCCATGCAGGGTCGTGCAGGAGTTGACCCGGAAAGATCCAGTTGGCTTGCTGGCTTGTCTAGCTGGCTTGTTTAGCTGTGTGGGTAGGGACTTCGATCGAGGGTCACTGGACAGGCCGGATCAAGACCTTTAGTTAGTTCGACGGGGGAGATGAATCCTCCCTGTCTTCAGGTTGGACAGATAACGCTTGCATCGGGCGCACACAACCTTGACCAGAGGTAAACCCAGTCCAAACTAAATCATCAAGGCAGAGAAATAGCCCAGCCTAGTCCATGCACGTCTTGAGTCACCGTTAGCCTATGACAGGATTTCTTCCATATTCCCTCTTTTCTTTACTTTTTTTTTTGCTGTTTTCCTTGTTTTTTCTTGTTTTCTGTTTTCTGTTTTCTGTTTCCACTATCGGGTTACATTAGTTTCGGACGAACTAAATGCTCTGCTGATGACTTGCATCTAACTTTCCTAGCCGTGCATCTTTAGTTGCTTGGCATGAGGCAGTGGTGTCGAATGAGGGGGGCAGGATTTCAACACCAGGCTGATGTTGTCCTGATTGGCGTGGGTGGGTAGGTTGAGTCCGAGGAAGCTTGATGTGTTGCCATACTCATCGGTGGTATAGCATGAGCTGGCTGTATACTACAGAGGAGGTACAAAACAGATGCTCTCTCTCTTTGTCTATGGAATGCAGCATGAATACCAATACCGATCAATAAATGAATCAAAAAACAGAATCAGTGAGAAAGAATGATATGACAGTCATACAAATGTACAATCCACGCACGGCCCTGATCGACCCTAGTTCCCGCTCTCAAGTGACCGTCCAGGTCAGCTGCCTTGAGGAATGTCCAGACTTCATTCTTTCTTCTATGATTTGGAAGATTTATACTTCGGGAATCAAGTATTGAAGAAACAAGGGAAAGACAAGAAAAACTCTAAGTGAAACAAACATGATCACCACCATACCTAGGTATCATCCGTGAATCTCAAATGTGGACGTCCACTTCAACGGTGGTAAAGACCGATGAACAACCGAGAATGAAAGCATATCTACTAATGAATAACATAAACAAAGTAAAAGATGATAAATGTAACCATGGTGTTTTCGCGTTGGACCAACTCGGGAGCATTCCGATTGTCTCATGCATGGCAGAGAAATGCTCTCCGTGTTTGGCTGTTGTCGAGGCGTACAATGACAATGTGCGTCCCGCGTGTGGTGTTTGCATATCTAGCTACCTACCTATCATGCCTATCATGTATGTGGTATCATACCTATCCTACTTTGTTAACATAGTGATGTTTTTATCTAATGCTACTAGGTAGGTACTCAAGGTCTATACTGTTGGAATACTCGAGTGAGTTCCTCTCCAGCTAGTAGTGAACCTTTCCAGATAAACGTATTGCCCACCCAAATCCCTTACCTCGTCTCTAGTTTCCCTTTCCCTCCGTCCCATGATCTATCTACCACCAATTCTCACCTATTAAACGATCAGTCGTAAGAATGGCTCGATCATAAGCTATCCACATAAGACTTATCCTCAAGAAACCTGAAAAAGCCGAGCGATTCCTAATCCGTCGCCGGCGTCTGCTCCCCCCACCTGATTCGCCACGGCGCAAACCTTGCGAAGGAAATCGACGACTCCCTCCGAAGATCATCTCGATGATTTCCGTGACAATACCGTACGGCTCGAGGTAAGTGGCCCTCTGGGGGGATTTATGCAGCGGATGGATTAGGCAGGAGACGGCGCCATCGGGTGATTGATTGGTCTGGGGAGAAATGTGGGATTGATCGCTGGGGGTGAGAAAGAGGGTAGTATTCATTTGAGCTTCTCATGAGTTGATCATTTTGTTGTGTCTTTAGTATTCGCCATAGCTTCGCCCCTCTACTCCCTGCTAGTTGAGGAAGTAGAACTAAGCCACGGCTACAACGGCGGCTAGTTGCGTATATACTTGACTATACCCTAAGCTGATCTCTCCGTAACCTTTCTAAAAGCACAGCCGTGCCTTCAAGCTGTTCCAGCCTGATGTTGGGTGGCGGAGTGCTTCATTCAGTTCATTCCAGAAACTGGAGATGGACGGAGCGGCTCTGTCCGCAGTCCAACCCAAGGATTGCCCCGCTGTGGTGCTGCGGATCTCAGCCTGAGATTTGCTTTTTCTACTTCATTTATTTATTATGTTGATTGGATTGTTTGATTCGATTCGATTTGATTTGGTTATTCATTGGTTTTCTTATTTGTTTTTGTTAATATGCATGTCGATGACCAGCTGCGCCAATCCATATCCTATCTTATGATTTCAGCTGTATCCCGAGTTCCATGGTTCATTTACAACACTGCATGTACAGAGTAGTGTCTTGTATATGGTACATCTCAATGTAGAAATACAGTCATGTACGGAGTACGGAGTACACTGGCCTACACTGTAGTATTATACCGTCCGTGTCCATCTAGTCATGTCGATCTTCTCCAGTATATTCTCATAGGTGCACCATCTTCCAGTGACTCCCGTGCCAAACGGACTACTGCATCTTGGCGTCTCAAGCCAAGCGACCCCTCTTCCCTCTCGTTCGATTCGTTGAGACCAGGTTCAAGAGGGATAGACAGGATGGATGTCCGCGTTATCCGACCGTCCAGGGAATCAAGTCGGTTGTGTTTTTGTAGGGACTGATTGACTCGACTATGAGGGTTCGGTATTAGGTAGGAATGCTGGATGGGATATGGTTGTAATGTTGTTTGTTTACAGTATTCTTTCTATCTGATAAATCTAGTATATACTAACCCCACTATCCGAGATCCAATCACACTGGTGGCGCCGCCATCCGTCTCTCCTCATCTCTCACTCTTCTTCCTTCCCTCCTTCTCCTCTTCATCCATCCATCATCCATCATCCACTCCCCTTCTTTCCTTTCCTCCATCATCTTATCCCTCCTACATCCATCTTCATCCATCTTCATCCCCCTCTTTCCTCCCGTTTGTATTGTATTATTTATTCCTGGTCATTCATCTCTCTTACCCCCCTTCATCCTTCCCCAGTGACTCCAACCTTGGTCTCCACCCCCACCACTTGTCCCCATTTCTTGACTATTATCTTATTTGATTTATTATTTTCTGATTATTCCAACTATTCCTGATTTAATCTGTCTTATCTGACCTTGATCCTCCGACCTTCACTTCCAACCAATAAATCCCTTGCACTACATCCAGACACTGTTGGTGACACCCCGTTCTCCTCCCGTCCCCACTGATCGGTTCCCTCAGCGGCACCGCGTGAATCATCGTCAGTCTTTTTTTTTTCTTGCTAGTTCCTGACCTATTTGCTTTTTCTTCTTTATTATTTCCAACCTTTCTATTGATTAATTTTTTACTACTTCTGTATCCTCATTGTCTGGTTCTTGCGGCACCGGGAATCGTAGGCCTCCTACGACCCCAGTCACGCCCCTCTCCAGCCTCAATGTGGCGGTGCCATTACTTTCCCTGATCTCACCAGCCACATTCACCTCTCTCTTTCTCTCTTTCTTTTTTCCTTTTATCTTTCTTGTTTCTTGTTGATCCCTTTTTTTTTTTTTTTTTCTTTTTTCTTTCTATTTGTCTGTTGAATTTCCTCCCTTTCCCATTGTCTTTCTCTGGTCTTCATATTTCCCTCTCTTGTTGATCGTCTGACCTGCCCTGTTTTGACCCTGGTTCCGTCCCTTCTCACCGCCTACGTGATCCGTCCACCATCTTGTTCTCTCTTTTTTTCCCTTTTACTTTTCCCATCCTAATTCAATCTCCGACCGGCGATTTGCTCCAAAAACCCGCCCGCTGATCTGCTTCCTCCCTCCTCACAGTCCGCCTAGTCCTCCCCCGTCTGTCCCATCCATCCACTCTTCTTCTTATCCATCCGTCAATCAGTCTCTGCATCACTTGCATCGTCACCGCACTTCCCTCCCCGAGCCGCCACACCCCCCCTCCCCCCCCTTCTCCCCCCCCCTTTCGTGCCGCGCTGTTGTGGCCCACGCGAGTCGCCCTCCCTTCCGGTCTGACGGGATTGACACCTGTCGCGTTGCTTGACGCGCCCGCGGCCCCTGCGACGGCTCCCTCAGCCATCTCGCGTCTGTCCTCCTGTCCGCTATGTATGGCACCTCCCACTCGTCCGTTCCCGCCTCGATGAATGGCATCGGAGGGGAGCTGGTCGATGGGTCCGGCACCATCAATCCTGCCGCGTTGAACAATAATGGTATGTCCTTTTTCATCTCTCTGTATCTTTGTCCCTTGCACCATTCCCTTCCTTGATCGTGGTATATCTTCTCCATCCACCATTCTCATGTCTTGCGTCTGTTGTCATTTCTTGATCTGCTCTTCCTGATCGTCCCCTGTCCCAACCATCCTGCAACGCGGTGACGGCTCGTGGAGGTCTCCTTCATATCTAATTTCCTATGTCGTTCGCGACAACCTCCCAACTGATGGCCTTTGTTAGTCGCCGTGGTCCTTCCTGCCCCGACATATGGGACCCCAAACCCAAGTGCCATCCCTCGGGGTGTCAAACGGAGTCGCACTCCCGATCTGCGCGTTCGTGCGGACGGAGATCATGACGACGGTATGTGCGCGTCGGGTCTCGCATGAACCGTGCTTCGCCTCGCGTGGGACGTTCGGGACTCGGGACCCGGGCCGCTTTCGTCTTGCACTCCTCTCCATCACCATGGCTCTATCTCTCGTTGTTTATCTCGTGGTCGCTTGCTTTTTGTTTCTTTCTCTCAGACGCGTACACTCATGGAATCTCGGGTGGTAACTAACAATGCAACTATCAGATGATCATGGCCGTCGGAAGCGCGGTCGTCCCCCAAAGACGCCCCGGCCATCAACCGCCACCGCCGACCCGTCCGCGTCGAATGCCTCCATCCAGACCCCTCGAATGCAAGCCCAACCGCTCCCCCAGGCGAGCAGCGTGGTGTCCCCGACTCAGGGTTCCCCGCCTGACAAGGTCACCCCCACCAAGTCTACCCTGGTCAAGGCCCTCCCGACCGTGCGCGACCACACCACCGACCAACTGAACGAGGAGAAAGACGAATACATCCCCAAGGAGTTCGACGAAGGCGGCGAGAGGAAGGTCGATGCCATGGGTTACCCCCAAGGCGACCGCGAGTACAAGTGTCGCACGTTCCGCGTGCCCCATCGGGGGGCCAAGCTATTCATGCTGGCGACCGAATGTGCGCGCGTCCTCGGATACCGCGACTCCTACCTCCTGTTCAACAAGAACCGGTCGCTGCACAAGATCATCGCCTCGCAGGTGGAGAAGGACGATCTCATCCAGCAGGATATCCTGCCGTACTCGTACCGCTCCCGCCAGATCGCCATCGTGACCGCCAAGTCCATGTTCCGCCAGTTTGGCAGCCGCGTCATCGTCAACGGCCGCCGCGTGCGCGACGATTACTGGGAGAGCAAGGCCCGCAAGCAGGGGTTCACCGAGGACGACCTGGCCGGCGAAAAACGGCCCGGCGGCTCCAAGGCCCGCGATGCCGCCGCCGCCGACGCCGCCAGCGCCGCCAGCCTGTTGCCCGCCCTGGCGCACGGCGACGTCATCTACTCGAACGCGCTCGAGGGGATGCCCAACAGCCTGCCCGTGGGCGGTCCGTCCGCCGTGTCCCTCGCGCCGCTGCCCATGATCCAGGCCACCACGACGGATGATCCCCGGTTACGCGAGTACAACAGCATGCCGCGCGCCCGCCAGGAGATGACCGGGCCGGCCTACCAGGATCGGACCCAGCCGAGCTCGGCGGCGGAGATCCTCAACCAGGCGTCACACACGGCGGATTTCAACAAAGCCCTGAGCTCGCAGCGCAGCTACCGTCACAAGGGCCTGGAAGACTTTTACGCCAAGCAGCGCGAGATGTCGGCGTCGGCCGCGCAGCCCCAATCTGGACTGGATGCTGCCGTCTCCCAGCCGATGCCGTCGCCGCCCATGTCGCAGTCCGGCCTGGTGAACCCGCAGCCGCAGGCGATGATGTCGCAACATCAGGCCCCCCTGATGCCCGGGCCGGGGTTCCCACCGCCCACGGCGCATCAACCGCCCGTGGCCACGCAGTCGCCGGTTCGGGCCATGCCGCCCTCGCGGCCGGACCTGATGCATCAGCGGTCAAATCCTGCCCTGTCGGCCGGCACCCCGCAGCCTCCCGGTCCGTACGGATATCCCTCGCAACCGCAGCCCATGTGGGGGCAACCGCCACCGCAGCCGCAGCCGTCGCCGTTGTCCGCGGGCCCGCAGGGCGTGGGCATGCCCCAGTACCCGTCGCAGCTGCACGGGCAGCCGCAGCAGTCACCGTCCCCGCTCCACACCATGCCCCAGCAGCCGCACCCGTCGCAGTCGCCGCGCAACCAACCGCGACCGGCGGCGCCGCAGATGCCCCAGTACCAGATGCCGCACCCGTCCGCGCAGCAGCAACAGCCCATGACCTCCATGGGGTACCCCGGGGGGACACCTGCGCCCTATCCCGCCATGGCCGCCCGCGGCATGTACCCATCCACGCAGGGGCCCGGAGGTCAACCATTCATCGCCGGGACGCCTCAGCCGCCGGGCATGGCCATGGGAATGACCGCCGGCGGGGGCATGCCGGGCTGGGCGCCCGCCCCAGGTGGACCGATGCAGCCAGGGCATCCCCCGCCCGGGCAGTCCGGGTCGCCACTAGGGTGGACCGGGTACTGATCGGGACTCGTCCGCGCTATATATACATTGCCATGACTCCCTGAAAAAATGTCTCCTTCAGAAAATATTCCACATCCACGGCCGGCGTTTATCCCATTTGGCGTTCCGAGAGGTGTCGATCGGTGGACGGCAGAAATGAACGGCCTTGCTCCTGCATGATTCAATCCCCTCTCTTTCTATGTTCTTATCCTGCCTTTTTCCTTGTTCAACTTCTTGAACCATTGTTGTTCTGTTTTTTGATCCTTGCACAAGGACCCGTTAATGATAATCTGCGCATTTTACTTCTATACCCTCTGTTATACCCGCTGTTGTTCGTTTGGTTTTGTTTGGGTCCAGGCTGGGGACGAAAGGTCGAGTTGGTCGATTCGAGTGGACGGGTCACGAGTACGAAGCTGTGCATGTCTATGTCTCATGTCTCATGGGTAGAAGGCCGGCGGGTCTGACCGATCTGGCGGCGAAGTTTTCGTCTGGGCGAGGCGACCGCCGTTGCTTGCTGTTTGTTTGCACGTACTTACGTTGTTGCCGCCGTTGTTATGGTCTGATGATGCATTTGTGTGTATAGTCTTTATTGCACGCCGGTTCTGGGGCCCTTAATTTGATATCCCCTTGCTGTAGTGTACATTATGATATGGACATCGTACTTGCCCTTTAGTTCTGGTTGTATGGTCTGAAGTATACTATCTAGTAAGCCCGAGCAAGAGAATCAATATGGAAATAGGTGAAGAAGTAGCTAACCACCAAGGTAAGAAGGCAAAGTAGATGCTACCTAGTCTAGGTAGAATCAGTAGTCAGTTATATGGTAGTAAGTGAGCGGATAAGGGTGACTGGTTACAGGAATATCAACGAGATAGTAAGTAAATGTATTTATTATGATGATGATGATTATTATGATTATTATGATATCTTGACCCTGTTATCTTGACGAACTCTATCGCTATCTCTAACACTGACACTGATACTAATATTGACACTGATACTGATACTGATACTAATATCGTGTAGTAAAAGTTCATGGCTACCACCACTATTACTACTATTACCACCACCACCACCACCACCACTAAACATGTACAGAAACCGCACCCATCCAAATCGTATAAAATCCACAACTAACCGTCCACACCAGCACGGGATTGGAACTAATCTACATGTAGTCCGGGGGTTCGGTCTTTCACACGTCTGTGCTCAGATTCTGGTTTGTTCTGTTCTGTTGTTCCTGTCTAGGGAAGGAAGGAAGGAAGGAAGTAGGGAAGGAGATGGGTGGATATTTACTGGTTGGTTGATTGGTGGAGGGGTGGGTAGGCTGATGGATGGATAGAGAGGTAGATGGATAGGTAGAGAGGTAGATAGGTAGAGAGGTAGATAGGCAGATCGGTAGAGAGACAGAAAGAGACAGCGAGACAGGAGTAGATAGATAATAGATAAGATAATCAATATCTAAAAAGTAAATGAATGAATGCAAGTGTAAAAGCTAGTGTGGATAGCCTATACTTCAATGCTTCTGGGATAGAACCAGGCCTGGCCCAACATTGATAAACAGTATGGTACTACTTACTTACTTGGCTCTCGGTATATACTGGCTTGATCTCAGTCAAAGGCAGCAGACTAACTACCCAACCAATGAGCAGGTCAATCTACAGGACAATTATTCCACAAATATAGATGCAGTATGAGATGAATATTACAAGTGGGTAGTAGACACTTAGCACCACTGATAGAAATGTAGGTACAGTAGATGAGAAGGTAGATATGTATAGGCTGTAAGCCCCGCTTCCAAATTCACATGCAATCGACCGATCAATAATCAATCCATAAGAGATAATAAGGTAGGTAGATAACGATCCTGGCAGACGCCCAATTTAATCAACACAGATACTCCTCAATACACAAGAATAAGAAGAAAAGAAAAAAGTCTAGTCCACAAGAATGTAGTAGTAATAATCACAGTGGGATATAATCGCGTATAATACCGTGGTGGTTGGCACGTCCACCCAGTTGAAAACAGAAAGGAGGGCAAAGAAATGGAAAAGAAAGCTCAGGTGGTTCCCTCGAGGAAGGTGTTCGGTGTTGTGTTGTTAAAGGAGTATTGTTTCGGCTTGTGGCAGGGTAGTTGCTGCGCCACGTACCGGTGGGCTTCGTGCTGTTTTGGGAACTCCTCGAAGCGGAACTCGGTCTTGACGTCCCCCGACATGTCTACGTCTGCTGAGTAGACGAGGGACGGGGAGCTCGACACGGGGATGTTCTCGACCGCCTCTGGGTCGAGGCTCTGTTCGTAGGACAGACACGACAGGTCGCCGTGGGGCGGTACCGGACACCGGCTGTGGAAGGAGGCCTCCGGAGACGGCATCGACGTGGCGTCGGTCCAGCTCCGCGGTGCATCGCAGCTGGCATAGTCGGGGAACGACGTGTAATGCGCCGGGGCCGACATGGGCGGGGCTACCCCCGGGTACGCGTACGAGGACATCATGTCCATCATGGGCGTGGCCGGCGGCGAGGCGACGTTGATCTGCATCGGCTGCGTCGTGGGGAACAGCTGACTCGTGGGGTGGGCCGACAGGCAGTAGCCGCCGTCGCTTGGGGATGTGGGGAGCAGGTGTTGGAAATCTTCGGGGGTCAGGGGCGTGGGCGGGGCCAGAGCGCCTGTGGTGATGGGATGGAGCATCTCCGCCTTGGCCGACGCCAGGGCGGCGCCGGCTTCAGCGAAGGTCGACATGTTGAGGGGCGATCGCTGGGCGGCGGACGCCTTGCGGACCCCGGCGTAGCGGGCGTTCAGGTTCTGCGCCGACTTGGACTGTCGGACGGCACCATAGCTAGGCGCCCGCGCGGTGGGGGACATGGACGCGGCGGCTCCCAGCAAGGACGACGACGACCGGGAGGTGCCGATGGCCGCGGGCCTGGGGCGCTTGCGGCGGGCCGCCAGGTCCAGCTCCTTGGCGTTCTCCTTCCACGAGGACGTCTCCGCGCTATGGGCCATCTGGGAGTCGATCTCGATGCCCTCGAGGGAGTCGGCGAGCTCGTCCGAGGATTTGCTGTGCGACAGGGTCTGCTGGGGCAGGGGATACGGCCCAGCGTGGTAGGTGTCCGCCTGCGAGGCGGCCGTGTAGGCGGGGACGGACGCGGACGTCTGCGCCTGGCTGGTCCATTCCTCGGGCTGCGGGGCGTGAAACTCCGGGACGCTGAGCGAGTCCGCCGAGGCCAACGAGACGGCGTCCAGGTTGCCGTAGGCCAGCGACTCCGGGCTGTGGGAGGGGCCCCAGGCGGTCGAGTCCTTGACGCTCTCCCAGTCGGCAAAAGCCGGGGTGGTTTCGTTGGGACCTCCGAGTTCGGGGGTGGACTTGGTAGCGGACGCGGGGATCGGCGACGCCGAGCCCTCGGGCACGGTGTCGTTCTCCCCGTAGCACTCGCGGGCGGCGACGGCGGCGTTCAGGGCCCGTTGCAACGAGGCGAAGGTGGCCTCGCGCGCGGACTCGCTCCGGGTCTTCTGATGCTTGGATCGGGAGGACTTGGGCTTGGGTCGCTCCACCGACGGTTCGGAGGGTTTGGGGGTCTCTTTGGGGGTCTCCTCTTTGACGGTGGTGGTGTCCCGGGGGGCGTCGGAGTTCTCGGCATCCTCGGGCTTGCCGCGGACGGCCTCTTCGGCCTCGGCCTTTGCTTTTTGCATCCGCTCGAACTCCTCCTGGCGTTTCTGCTGCTTTGCCTTGGCACGACGATTCTGGAACCAATTCTGGGGGGGTCAATCTACATCCATCTAAGCAATCAGAGGGAAAAGAAACTCACAGCCACTCGGGGGAGACTCAGGTTCGTCTGGGCGGCTAATTGGCGCTTAACATTGCTGCTGGGCTTGGGGTGGGCCTGGAACTGGGCCTCGAGGGTCTCGACTTGCTCCTTGGTCAATCGGGGTCGGGAGAGGTTCTCCGCGTATTCTTCGTAGTCCATAATGGGCTGGTGGTAGTAGTCGACCATGTCAAAGGGGGGATGCGGGTAGAGGTAACCGTCCATGGGGTGAATCATGGCGGGGTGTGTCATGGCGGGATCAAAGGAGACGGGCTGATCCATGGGGATAGCCGGATGGCCGGTGTAGGCGTATGGGTGGTGTAGGTAGTTCATGATTGCGAGGGGAGGGGGGAGGTTATTTCGGGAGACGAAGATAGGGGAGGAGATGAGATGCTGCGAGGAGCCACGGGGTTATAAGGAGCCCGGGCGGGGGGGCATTGATTGTGGTGTTGACAGGAAGATCACCAGGGAGAAAACACCAGGGAGAGATTAACTGGTAGAGAGAGAGAGAGAGAGAGAGAGAGAGAGAGAGAAGGTGAAGAAGAGGTAAAGGAGGGAGGAAGTGGTGGAGTGACGTGGTGGTGAGGCTGCGAATGAGGGTGGAGGCGGGTATATACAGGTATATACAGCGGTCAGAGATGGAGGGAAGGAAATTCGAGACAAGAAAGAGAGAGAGAGAGAAAGTAATATAATGATATAGACAGGAAGGAAAGGGAATATGAATGAATGGATGACTGGGTAGAACGTCAGAAAGCAGAAGAAAATAAAATAAAATAGAATAATAATATTAAAATGATAAAAGAGAATAAAATAAAAGATAAAGATAAATGATAAATAATAAATGCAAATTATAAAATAAAATAAGATCACAGAGGAAAGAAAAGAATCCAGAGAGAGAGAGAGAGAGAGAAAGACTAAAGAGGAAAAGGAGAGATGGAGTGAGAGAAATGATAAAAAGGATAACAGAAAAAGTCAGGAAAGAAATTCGAAATTCAGAAAAAACCAAGACAAAATAATTCCAAAAAATAAAATGGAAAAAGAACAAAACAGAAAGGATTGACAGTCCGACATCCGGAGACAAAAGATGGAGAGAGAGAAGAAAGTGAGGTGAAAGTGAGGTGGAAATGTAGGGAAAACTCACTCCGGCAACTCTCACTTGGCTCTCGTTCCCGGGTGGGGGTGGCCCGGCGGCTGCCTGAGTGCCATCGCCCACCCTGACTGGTCGGGACTGCGTCGGGTCCAGGATCAGCGTCTGTATTGTGGTTTTGGTATTTATGGTATTCTCGGTATGGTTCTCTCCTGATGGTCATTCTTTTTTCTGGGATCGGATTGACGATCAGATCTATTATACCGACGTCATTGAATTTGGTACATCATTTACTATTTCAACATAAGGTAAAGAGAGAGAGAGAGAGAGAGAGAGAGAGATAGTAATTGATCGATTATCAACAGTGAACTCCATGTTCCATCCCCAAGATATGGACGAACCATGGACGGAACTCGGGAAAGTGCCGTACCGAGCCATTACCAGGTACCGTATTCAAGGGGGTGGCGGTTGTACGGAGGACAAAGAACTATGAATAACTCGAGGGTTTTCGATCTATTTCTATCTATCGAGAGAGAAAGCCATTCTCTTAGGGATCAATACGAGTTTCCTGAGTTTCTTCTCTCTTCTCCAACTGTTCCCCGAGGATGTTGAGTTCTGGGCAGGACTGGACAGGACTGTGGCGGTGACCGTGCAACCCATGCGGTTTGGTTCGGAGAGGGTCCCGCTGCATCTCCATCGGTACGAGAATCAGCCATCTCTCTTTCTCTTTTTTCTCTTTTGCTTTTCTCTATTTTATCCAATTTATTCTATCTATCCTATTTATTCTATTTCCTTCTATATATTTACTATTTTCAAACATGGTGGCAACAGTTTAACAGTTCTGCTATTTTTACACTTCTGAACAAAATCAAAATGTCCATGTTTACCTGCATCCATCCGAACTAACTCTGATTTGGCGATCCCGATCACTGGGAAACACGATATCCATCCAGACGGTTTGACCATCTGATTCAACCCGGGACTGGACTGGATTGGGTGTGGTTCCAGTCCAATCCTTTCCTCCCCTCCAGACTCTCGTCGAGTTCCTGCATTAGCGTCGTGGTCAGAGTCCCCGAACTCCCTGTTTAGGCCCTTTAGGGTTGGGATTTCCAGGGGAGATTCCATGGTTCCATGGTTCCGAACCATGGCGGAGGACTCGAGATCTAGCAGGGTTGTTGGTTTTACTGAGTATCACCCCGCCAAACATGAACATGATCAAACTCGGTCCGATTGCAATCCGGTTCAATAATCTGGGAAGAAGATTCATCTTCCGTCTGACATTCTCCAAAATAAAACGATCAAATACAGAGTATACAGGCAAAGAAGAAGAGGTCGTGTTGACCGTCCGAGGTCTAGGCAAAGTGGGTCCGTTCTGAGGTAGAATCATCCAACCCTGGGTTGGTTGGAGATCACGCCCTCCATGTCTCACAGCAGCGGGACTGCGGATGGAACCATCATGACGGGGTATCTCTCTCTCTGATTCTATATTTCTTAGATTACTCTCTCTACTCCGTACTGCGTACGGAGACAGTTGGTTATGTTTACTCAATGGATCCTTCATCCCGGATCCATATCCATACCCATGATTCGTCGTGCATATTCTGCTTTGGGTTTAGTCCGGCGGTTCGCCTCCAACTCCCAAGGTCCCCGGAGATCATGGCGTGGGACTGGGAACTCAGCTGCATCGCCCGGTTTCATCCCTGAGTTTGGCCTGGTTTGGGTTTGGATGCGAGTCTGTATGGATCTAGTATCACCATTTTGTCAGTCCTATACCCTTAATTCTCATACCCTTGATTCATCTATCCTATTATTCCTACTACTCCATCCTATTCCTCCATCCTACTTGTACAATCACGCAAGTTTCAATTTTTCCAGTGATAAAGTTTTCCCCCGAGAAAGGGATCATTCATCTCAAAAAGGAGACAGACAGGAGATGCCAAAAAAGCGTGGCAGCGTTCAGCCAGGACCCACTCCAAACCAATAGTCGACAGATCCCCCGTCGATCCACCTCAAGGATCTAGCCAATCTGACCGTCTTGTCTGCCTACAATCATCCTAGTCTTACTCCTACATCCCGACCAGGAGACTCGATAGGATAACAGAAACCATCTCACTAACTACCTAACTAATCGTATCTACCAAGGGTCAAGTCAAGTAAACGCTCAGTCCTCGTCAATCTTCCCAGCTTCCCGGTTCACTCGGTCAATCTGTCACGGCGCTAAGCAAGAAATCCTACCAGCTAATCCATGCTAATGCAGGCCGTAAAGCGCCCACCCCCAAATCACGAGGTTACGCAACAACTTACCTGCCCATGCAGCTGGGAAGCCCGCCAAGCCATGTTAGGGGGAGTGGAAACGGGAACCTCTCGGCGATCAGAAGTGCATTGTCTGCGGGAGGAGGAGTTATCATAATGAATTGGAGATTAATACGGAGTACCAACGGGGTAATTCGTGTTGAATATGATTGTTGTTTATCCGTATTTCATCTCCCTATGCGGGTTTACTGTATTACTAACACGTTGACCGGCATTGAATGCAGGCAGTGGCTACTGTAGGTCAACCTGCGTAATACTAGGTAACTGATCCTCCCCGTAAGCAGATTGACAAGCCGTTTTCCCTACTAGAGGTATGGGAAATCACCCGGAAAATCATACCATCCACATCATGTGAACAGAGGGTTGGTTCCAACATGGCGGATCCGCGGCCGAATTTCGTTCGATTTCATCCTCTCCCCTACCCACTGGGGGTCCGACCTCAACCTCAACCTAACCTCATCCTCAAACCCGAGATAAGCACGTAGTTGATGATCATCTCGGAATACAGAGTACGGAGACACACCGAGTCAATTTGCCCAGGACAGCACTAGCGTCGCTCCTCCAGGTTCAGCAAAATGAGGTTGACTGATGGGATTGACATTTGACTGGTGGGACCGCTGGGTTCAGTGAGGGGTAAGATCATAATCTGGACTACACTACGGTGTGGACTACGGGACGGACTACGGAAGATGAACTGGACTGAACTGAACTGGACTTACAGGAGTTAAGGGCTTGGTTCAGGGGAGATACGAGGCCCTACTAAGCCCCGACCGGGCCAGTTCTTGACTGACTCGTGATGGATGCAGGGATCTCCCGGTGTTTACAGGATTTTGTTGATGCAGATTTGCTACGAACTGTGGCTCACGTGTTGACCTGTATACTAACATCCAGGGCACAGGAAGTACGTACGTCTTGGAAACCTTTGGAGGTATTGTCTAAAAGAGTACCCGTAATGAGAACAGTGAACTCAGTTCAATCACACCAATCAACACCCCCGGGGAGATCACCCGATGGATATGCCTAACCCATCCGGTAAGGATCGCCTCCAGGCCGGTTCCACTCAAGAACGAACCTACAGCAGAGTCAGACCCAGCAAGCTTGAGGCAGGCACTGTTCCTGAATAATGATGATCAGGATCAGGATCACCTTCCCCTCTTTTCCACGGTAATTACTTCATCGACGATCTCTTGCTGTCGTGAGTGCTAGGGAGTTAGTAGCAGTACTAAGGAACCCCTGGACCGACCCGCACGGATACGGATCATCTCAGGATGGGTCTGATGATTTCACCGTTGTCTCGTCGCCGGCGCTGTCAGAGGGGTTTCTCCTATCTTATCCATACTGTAGCCAACTAACCCTGCGTGATCCTCGACTATTGGACTGGAACGGAGTTGGGAAATTCGCCGAGGGATTGTCCCTGATGGACGGAGTCAATGCTCCTCTTTTCCCCTCCCCTCCCTCTCCCCTTCTTCCCCTCTCTCATCTCCCTAGTTCTCAGACTCGAGTCAACACTAACCGGGAGGAGTAATACTATCGCAGGTCCAGTATTACAAGGTCGATCAGTGAACTGAACTGATGACATGGTAGGTACGATACGCTATGCTATCCTATCCAGGTATAAGGTTAATTTGGCATGACGATCCTTTCCTCCTCCTCCTCCTCCTCCTCCTCCACCACCTCCTCTAATGTAATACTCAAGCTCCAGTGTAATACCCAAGACGAAAGTAAAATGCAGGGAACATACGGAGAACAAATGACCATCTCCGAACGCCGTACATAAACTGTAGTAAATGATCTGCCACTAAACCCCACCACCACCACCACCCCTTGGTTCGGTCTTCCCCCGTCACCTCGTCACATCAATCACATCATCTACCGTGAGGATCAATCCTATACGTCAAGCGGGGATCATCAGGCAATCATATTTCACCCATTGGTGATGTCAACCATCTTGTCAAGGGATAGGGCCTCCTTCGAGGTTATCCTATCACGCGTGATGAAAGCAGTAATGATATACACAGCCAGCCCTAACCTGCATCCTCTACCCTACTCGTACTTCAGTTCTCTGACCCTCCCTAGAAAGGCAAGATAGACACTCAGCAACGCCACAAGATCATCCTATGTGGCGGTGCATACGTACCTGAGCCTTTCAGCCGTTCAGCTTGATCTCTCATCCATTCATCCAGCCTTACTTGTTTACGTACGGAGAGCTACGCATGTATATAGGTCGATTCAACTACCAACCCTACCCTAACCAAGCTAGGACTAACTCTACTCTACCAACTCCTATCTTGATCTGATCCTGAGACAAACATTCGGGCTCTAATCTAAAGCCCTGGCTAGGCTGAGCATAGACACTAGACAGAAAAGCCGGTCCAGAAGATGCGCGGTGGTGGTGGATGTGGATGTGGATGGAGGCCCCGGTATTTGTCATGCGGGCAATAGTACTAAATGCAATAGTTCCGATTGGGACGGGGTTCATTTTTCTTTTCTTTTATTTTTTTTTCTCCCATAAAATAAATATGATAATCTAGTTTTTATTATATTATATTATTCTTTTATTATTATAATATAAAAAATATAATATTATGCTGATAAAACGCTCAGACCAAATCAGCTCCTGTATGTATGTATGTATGTATGTATGTACTGACTGGTGGATAGTGGACCAATGGGTCCGTGTGTGGTGGGATAGGTACCTACCTGTATGGATGATGATGATGATGATGATGATGGCTGGCTGTACTTGCAGCTGTCCAGCTCATTCTACTGCTTACTTCCCTCTTTTTACTCCGGTACTTGGAATGTTTCGGCTGGTCTGTGATTATCTCTTTTTGGTCTTGATTGGGTGGAGAGATAGTCTTTGTTATTACTTCTACATCTTCTCTTCTAATGGAGAGCTTAGAAGAATTCGTGGCATACACGCATTACAAGCTGGAATTAGAACAAAAAAGAATAAACAAAACAATCAACGAGAGAAAGAAAGAAAGGAAGAGAAACTTCCATCGGAAGGCTTTCCATCCCTTGCATACGTTAGGGTTAGGTCGACGTAAACTGTCAGGCCGTCACATCTCTACTACCTCTACGTACCTGCCCAAGGTATCAAGGGAGAAGTAAGTAACTCCAGACCCAACAGCCACTCCAAAGCTAACTCGCATTGACCAGGCCAGAAATATACGTACGATGTCCTCATGCTAGATGCAGATGCAGCCAAAACGGACGGTTCTCGACATGTCATTCTTCCAGAAGTGATCGCCCTTCTGCGGGTTTACCGGTGGGTTTACTCTATGGCCTTCTATTATTGTGTTCTTTTCTTCGCTGTTCCTATTATGGTATTCCCGGTGACTTTTTATGGGCTGGAAAGTAACTCCACTGAGATGCGGAGGAGAGCTCTGCTCGTGTGGCGTAACGGTGAGGATGCTTTTCCATATGATGTTTGGATAGTTTAGTTGGATGTTTTAGTTGGATGTCTTCCATTCTGGGGTTGATCGGTGGTGTTCTTTCCATTCGGTGCTATGTTATCTTGATTCTTTTCTTCGTTGATTCTAAGCTAACATGATATAGTCAAGCCAAACAGAAGAATGCCAACATACACCATTCTACATGCATCGCAGAAATACCCCAGCCACTCTGCAATAAACCTGCTGTTTTCTCCATCTATCTCCATCTCAACGCATTGGGGACGGACAAACAGACAGACAGACGACAGACAGATGAGATAACACAAAAGACACCCATTAGGGCAAACCAGCGTCAGACTTTGCCGCTTACCTACTTCCCAAGTAAAGCAGTCGATCATACCCACCGCTAAAAGAAGGTTCCAATCTGTCGGTGAAGGACATCCCCACAGAAAGGAAGGTAGTAACGAGCGATGGAGTCTCTTTTTAGAAGTTTAACTGCCGGCTTTGTGATATGTCTCCCTATGTCTTAGGAGGGAGGAGAGATGTCACATCTCCATTCTCCATCTAACTATATCTCGCTCAACGCTTCTTGCGGTGCGGTAAGACGATATATGCTGTACATATAATGTATATTATCTTCCTGGAGTAGTCTAGACTAGGGGTCTATACTTTTACAGAGTACGGAGTACAGGGAGTCAAATAAAGTCTATACGGAGAGTACAGACAGACACCGATCTGGATCGAACGAACCATCGAACCAGATCGAAGGAGCAACGAGCAGACTCTGGCTATAGGTGCATACACACCGCTAACCTCCTGCACAACGTGACGGGTCTGAGACCCTGTTTATTTTTCCAGATACAGACAGGTTGATAATGTCCGTGTTTGGGCCGTCGTCACTGTGGATGGATAGACAGAGGGAAGGCTGGACTACCTGGGAGAAAACACTCACTTCTTTACTACTACTTTAGATACATGGCCCAGGCAGAAGCATTATCCATTTAATAGAGCCAAAGTCTTGCTACTGCCCTGGTATAAGATACATACTACATTAGATCTTAGGTATTATACTCCAACAAACTTAACTTGAATGGCTACATCATAATCTACCACACCTAGTACTCCGTCCTCCGTCCTCCGTACAACAACCTCGAACTCCCTTCCTCTCTATCCGTACTCGGTAAAAACTACTCAGTACTACTCCGTACTCCAAACCAAGTACACGCCTTGCGCGCCCCACGACGGAGCATTAGCGCCATGCAAGGCCGCTCGGGTCCTGCGGTGTACAATGTAGATCTGCTGGTGGATGTGTCATATCTTGATTTTGCTCTGGGTGGATGATGGAGTTGGCGCCTGTTGTCAGAGTGGCTAGCTGGTCATGGTCTGATTTGGGTGTGGCCGATGCGTTGGTTTGGTTTGGTTTGGTTCTTGCTTTGTGGTGTGTACCTTCGTTGTGTGTTATAGTTATGAGAGGGAGAAGTGGTAGAATGTAGTGTATATTCAGCTGTAAAGTTTCCATGGCTACAAGCGTAGCCCTAGTCTAATCTATCTATCCCAGCGATAGTAAGCCTGGCCAGCCAGACCTCACCATAAGAAAGAAATCTACTGATAGGCATTCCTCACCTCCAACAACAATTTCCCCCCCTCCACTCCCCTCACAGAAACACTCCTCAAATCCTCGACCACCAAATCCGCCCCCGCCTCCAAACACTGCTCCAGCGAATGCGTCGACGTCAGCGCCAACACCTTAAACCCGGCCGCCTTGCCCGCGCGGATCCCCGACGGCGCATCCTCCAACACAACCACCTCATTCTCACTCTCGGATAGACCCAGCCGCTCGCGCCCAAGCAGATAGCACCCAGGGTCGGGCTTCCCCTGCTCCACATCCTCCGCCACGATCAACATCCGCGGATGCGTCAGGCCCAGCACGTCCAGCCAGCCGTCGACGAGCGCGCGTGTGCCCGACGTCACGACGCCCCAGCGCGCGCCGGCCTCGTCGAGACTGCTCAGTAAGGCCCGCGCGCCGGGGATTTCCACCGCGTCGGAGCCGTATTCTTTCGGGATGCGGCCTTCGACTTCGCTGACCCCTGTTTCCATAAAACACATTAGCTTTCGAAGTGCTTTTTCCCGTTATAGGGCCACGGTGTATGACGGGTAACGTACACTCCCAATTCGCCTTGGACTTGTCGTACAACTGCATCGTGTCGATGCTGCGGCGGCCGTGCGACGTAGCCAGGATCGTCTGGGGGTCGACGCCTAGCTCCTTGCCGATTCTGCGGGTGTTAGTCGGATGGCGGGGAAGAGGAGGGTGGGGTCGCACTTGTGCCAGTGTTTGACGATTGCTGGTCTCCTGTTAGCAGTATATTCTATAGATGTTTATATAGGATGTAAAGAAAGAACGCACCATCTGTCGAGTCGATAATCGTGCCGTCAAAGTCGGAGAGGAGGCCATGGAGGGAGAGGACCTGCGGCGGGGCAGAGAACGAGCCTTTGGACATGATTACAGAGTATGGGGGGGTGCTTTCAAAGTAAACAAAGAAGAGAAAGAAAAACAGAAGTATAGATCTAACGCTCTATCAATCGAGAATGCAATAGACAAAATGAGTCAATAGTCAACAGTACAGAGTACTCCGTTCAAATCAATCGTCTACTCCGATGGAGCGATCGGCTCGGCAGAACAGTAATCCCGTTATCATATCTTAGCGCGGGTCTTGGCGCCGACGACTTTGCACAAAATGTTTTTTTATCAGTTCGATCTGCGACCACTTCATACCCTGCCATTTTCTCCGTTTGACTTGATCTCGGAGATTGATTCATCATGGTTAATATCGGTATGTTTTACACTGGGAGGATAAATACGGAAAACAGAAAAAGGGAGAAATTTTACTGACCTCGTCTAGGCAAAAAGTCCAAGCGGACGCCCGTCCGTCTGCGCCACAAGATCGAGAAGGCCTCGGCGGAGAAGCAGCGGAAGCAGAGAAAGAATGAGAAGAAGGTATGCATACTATTATTCATCTCGTGGCTTTGATCTCTTTCTAACACTATATAGAACCCCGAGTGGCGCTCCCGGGTCAAGAAAGACCCCGGCATCCCGAACCTGTTCCCCTTCAAAGACAAGCTCCTGCAAGAGATCGAAGAGAAGAAGCGCCTGAAGCAAGAAGAGCAGGACCGTATACGGGAAGACGCCCGCACCCGTCGCAAGGAAGAGAAACAGCGCTCGAAGCAGCAGGACGCCAACCCCAACGAGATGATCACCGACGTCGACGTGGACTCGATGGACGACGACAGCATGGACGAGGACGGCGACTCGTCGAACCCCATGGCGGCGCTGCTTGCGTCGGCACGCGCCCGCGCGGTGGAGTACGGTGACGAGGGTGACGATATGGAAGACGACGACGAGGACATGGATGAGATGGACGAGGATGACGGAGAGGGCGAGTCCGAGATTCCCCAACTCGTGTCCCAATCCCAGAGCAAAGAGTCCTCGCGACGGGCCTTCGACAAGGTCTTCAAGCAGGTGGTCGAGGCCGCCGACGTCGTGCTCTACGTGCTGGACGCGCGTGACCCCGAGGGCACGCGGTCCAAGGAGGTCGAGCGCGAGGTGGTGGCCGCCGCGGGCGGCAACAAACGACTGATCCTCATCCTCAACAAGATCGACCTGGTGCCGCCGCCCGTGCTGAAGGCCTGGCTGGTGCACCTCCGCCGGTACTTCCCGACGCTGCCGCTCAAGGCGTCCAACGGCACGGCCAACGCGCACAGCTTCGACCACAAGCAGCTGACCGTCAAGGGCACGTCGGAGACGCTGTTCCGCGCGCTCAAGTCCTACGCCCAGCACAAGCAGCTCAAGCGCGCCGTCTCCGTCGGCGTCATCGGCTACCCCAACGTGGGCAAGTCGTCCGTGATCAACGCGCTGACCGCCCGTCTGAACAAGGGCTCCAGCAACGCGTGCCCGACGGGCGCCGAAGCCGGTGTGACCACCAGCCTGCGCGACGTCAAGCTCGACAGCAAGCTGAAGCTGATCGACTCTCCGGGGATCGTGTTCCCGAGCGCCGGCGACAAGACCGCCGCGGGCAAGAAGAACAAGAAGAAGGTGGACGAGCACGCGCGACTGGTGCTGCTGAACGCCATCCCGCCGAAGCAGATCGAGGACCCGGTTCCCGCCGTGGACCTGCTGGTGCGCCGGCTGTCCAAGTCGGGGGATCTGCTGGACAAGATGCTGCAGCTGTACGGCGTGCCTGCGCTGTTCACGGTCGGCAACCAGACGACGGACTTCCTGGTGCACGTGGCGCGCAAGCGCGGCCGCCTGGGCAAGGGCGGCGTGCCGAACATCGAGGCCGCCGCGATGACGGTCATCAACGACTGGAGAGACGGACGCATCCAGGGCTGGGTGCCGGCGCCGGTGCTGCCGGTTGTGACGGCGGAGGCGTCGGCGACCGCTGGGCCGGGCGTGGACACGAAACAGATTGTGACGGAGTGGGCGCAGGAGTTCAAGATTGAGGGGTTGTGGGGGAATGGGGAGGATGAGATGGCGGAATAGAAGGATAGATTAGGATACCAGGCGCTGGAAAAGTTTACTTTCTATATTCATTCATATTTGGTAGCATTTGGGTATATTAGTAGAATACATATCTTTATATGAACCTGACGCGATATATATATATCTACGGAGTACAGAGCAGATCACCAATATCGAACAACGAATACATTAATTCCCAGTCTCTCCATATAGACAGATATAATCATATAGAAATCTACATTATCTACTCTATAGACAGTACAAAGTATATATATATACACCCCAAGTACTCCAACCAAATGAAGCCCCCACTCACACGCGCTCTCGGCTCAACCGCGTCGCGCCAAAATCCTCAATCATTCCTTTCCCTTCCAATACCAACAAAAACCCACCAAGCCAGTACAGAAAACACATTGAATATTCCATAAGTTCCTTTGTTAGAAGGAATTGAATTAATCAATCACCGGCGGATGACAAATTGTGGAGCCGCTTCCATTGATTGATCATTGATTGACAGACGGAGCGGTGTCTATCTTTCTTTATTCATTTCTTCTCGACCTCATATTTCATTTTATTACCTTACTCTGCTGCCCGCACTCAGTCAACAGGCAGATAACCTCGATATACCCACCTACCCAGAGACAATCAATCACCAGATACCTACCAGACACCACCACTCAACAACCAAGAAGACAGAAAGAAGACACAGAAAAGATGGGTCGAAAACCACCCTCAACAACAAAAGCAGCATCCAGCACCCCCGACGCAGCTCCCCTCCCTTCTTCTTCCTCGTCGCCGCAAACACATACCCAGCATGGACATGGACATGGACAGTCGCAGACAAATATCCAAGCAACAGAGCAACAACTCAAAGCGAGAGCTGAAGGGGGTGTGAGTATTGAAGTATGCTAGCCCTTTTCTCCTTCCACACTACCCAATATCCCAAACGAATCCCAGAGAAGAACACGCTAAGTTCAATATAAAGAAGAAAGAAGCTAATATATAATGAACAATAAAGGACTACCTCCTCCCCCGATCCCTCACCCTGCGACTCGCAAAAGCCGTCCTCCCCCCGAATACAACCGTGCAGAAAGATGCCGTGCTCGCTATACAGAAGGCCGCGACGGTGTTTGTCTCGTATCTTTCTTCGCAGTATGCTTCCTCCCCTTCTTCTTGTTTTTATCATCCCCATGAACCATGCCAGTGTGTGTATGCACACTACACTACACTACACCACACCCTCCCCACCACTCACTCCCCTTACGAAAACACACCTATAAAAAAAAAAAAAAAAAAAAGGTATCCCCTGTTAGAAAAAGAGAGCGAAACTAAGAAGAACAGTGCAAACGAAGCAACCCTAAAACGAACCGTCACGCCCGCAGACGTCTTCGCCGCGCTAACAGAGCTCGAATTGGACTCTTTCCGACCCCGTCTCGAGAAAGAGTTGGAGATGTTTACTGAGATGAAGGCTGGGAAGAGGCGGGGACATCAATCGCAACCACAGCAGCAGCAAGCTGGGGAGAATGCCGGTGAGAAGGGGGATAAGGGTAAAGATAAGAATGGGGAAGATGAAGATGAGGAGATGGATGGGGTGCGAGGGTCGAAGAGGGTTAAGGTTGGTGGTAACACTACCACTACTACTACTGGTGGTGGTGGTGCTGCTGCTGCGCGAGAGAGCAGAAAAGAAAGCGGTGGCGACGACGACGGGGACGAAACGCAGGATGACCCCGGTATGATGCGCGATGAGAACGAGACGGAGGTGGATGATGATGTTGAAGATGAGGACGAAGATGATGAAGAAGATGACGAGGACGAGGAAGAGGAGGAGGAACGAGAAGAAGAAGGGGAAGGGGACATCGACCGAGTAGAGGATCTCGATCGAGAACCTGGTCACCGCGCGATGGATCCTGACGCCGGGGATGAAACGGAGAGTGATAATGATGATTCTGGGCCTGGGGGGCAGTTGAGGGGGGATTTGGGGTTGGGGTGAGATATCGGTAGGATACTGTTATACTACATTTGTTACGATCATTCATATCATCTAATTCATGATTATGCCATATAATTCATGCCATGTATAGCGACTCCGTCGCAACCTAATGGTTGTTTGATCCAATCGATTACAATAAACAAAGATAACCACCAGCAAACGCCTAATGCATACCATACATGCATCCGTGAAAGAAATACAACCCTCCACCCGAACGCGACTCGGACGTACTACCCAAACGCCAGACACGCCGGTCTATCATGGTATCTCAACAAGACAAACACAAATAACATAGACATAGACAGACGGAAATGATCACCAGAAGACAAGGAAAGGATGCTACGCAACCGGCTTGCTCAACAGATCGCCCATCCCGTTTGGGACCGATTTTGGGGAGATCGTCTCCGGCTGGCGCCACCGATCTGGTGTCGGCGTGGTCTCTCCTTTGGATGCTAAGTGCGGAAACATGGGCCCGTTGTTGCGCGCCGCGCCGGGCGGCAGCGGGTGCATGGCTGTCGTATCGTCCTTCTCCAGCTTGACGGACTTGTCTGCCGCGACTGGGGCCCCCTTGGTGACCTTGCTGAAGGTCGTGATGCGCGCATTCTTGGCGGGCTCCTCCTTCTTGGTGCGTTTCCGCGGGGCGGCCTTCTTTGGAGCGGCCTTCTTTGGGGCTGCCTTTGGGGCTGCCTTTGGGGCTGCTTTCGGAGCGGCCTTCTTCGGAGCCGCCTTCTGCAGGACTTGCTCGATGCTGCGGCCTCGACTGGCCGGGTTCGCCCGGGTCCCGTCGGCGACCATCGACTGGAGTTGGCCGTCCTCGTCGTGGCTGGACGACGGGGTCAAAAACCCCGTCGACGTCTTCTGCGCCTTCCGCGGCGTCCCGATCACGACGGACAGCTCGTTCTCGCGCTTGGCCCGCTCCATCTCCTCGGAGTTGCACTCCTGGAACATGGTCTCCGACGAATCATCCCAGCGTTTCAGGGCGGCGAGCTCGGCGACCTTGTCGCAGTCGCCCTTGATCATCAGGTCCCAGCAGCTCTCAAACTCCTTGCCGACGGGGGGTTCGTTGTTGATCCACATGGTCATGCCGTTCCGGCGGCCCCGGATAACATGGCAGAGGCTCTTGACGAGGCGACGGACGCCGGGGATCTTCAGGCTGGTGCCGACGACGATGAGGGCGTCCGGGCGCGACCGGACGTCGGCGTTCATGACGGAGGTGATGGCTTCCTCGTCGGGGTTGTGTTCGTTGTAGAGGACGATGCGCGGGCGCATCTTGCCGATGCCGTGGCTGCGCTGGCCGGTCTCGACGCGCAGCTGGTTGTTGAGGGTGCATTCGGGACACTCCGGGGCATCCGGGCGGTCGAACATGACGGGGTCGAAGTCCTTGAGATGGCGACACTTTTGGCAGACCATCTTCTCGAGGCTACCGTGCAACTGGATGGTGCGGGGCCAAGGAGCCTTGACATTGAGCGGGATCTGCGAGGCCAAGGGCTCCATAGAAGACTCGATGGCGTCGATATTCTGGGTGTAGAGACGAGTGAGGCGGTTCTCTTGGGCCAAGCGGGCGAGCATGTGATGGAAGGCGGTGGGTTCGGTCTTGGTGGCCTCTACGGACAGCGACCGCACCATATCTTGGAAGGAGGCGGTGAGGTTCTCATCCTGGTAGACGGCGGCATCGAAGAGCAGCTTGCCGGAAGCTTTGAGGTTGTGCTTCTTCTGGAGGGATTTGAAGAGACCATCCGTGGAGCGGAAATCGGGGACTATACGGAACAACGTTAATGCGACCCTAGGGCTGGAGAGGGGAGAGGGAAAGGGAGGTGGAGAAGGGGGAAGGGGAAGCGTACTGCCAGCCGCAGTGGAGATACCCGCCCCTGCGATGACGACGATCTTTCGGTGCGTACGGAGAGCCTTGGTGAGGAGATCGATTTGATCTTGCTGTTCGGAGGCGGAGAGACCGGAGTCGGCGGAAAGATCAAGATGTTGTGTGCAGCGTTCTTTGGGGAGGGCGACCCGACGCCTCTTCCTGGCGGGCGGTTGTTCGTCTTGGCGGCCACGCCCGGTGCTGGAGGCGTCTGTGTCCTGGGATGGGGGCGGCGAGGGATAGAAACCCGGGGGAGGAGAAGGGGAGGCGGGTGGTGAGCTCAGCTCTGAGATATCCGACAGATCATCGTCCATGACGAGTTCGTTTCAGGGAAAAATTTGGAGATGTGGTGGAAAAGAAGAGGTGGACAGAGGTGGAGTCGCGGGTTGAAGGGGAAACGGGCGAAAAGGGAAAAAAAAAGTGGTGAGAAAAAAGGAGTCGTTGATGACACGGGTGGTAACGACGTGGATAATCTCGAAGGACTAGCTGTGGGATGGACAGGGAAGAGGAAAGACGTGAGAGTGAGAGATCATGGGGATCGCGAGAAGGACGGGATCAATTGAGGTGGAAGGATCGGATTTTGACAGAGTTCGGGATTGAGGGAAGAGATCAGAGTGGTTTGATTGAATTTCGAGGAGAAAGAGGAGGAGTCAAGAGGAGAGGTAGAAAAGAAGAAGAGGAGGAGTAGAGAAGAGAGGAGTAGAGAAGAAAAGAGGAAGGAGGAAGATTGGGGAAGAAAGGTTGAATGAAGGACTCTGAGCGTCCGGATAATCCTCCTTCCTCAGTGAGCGCGTAGTAGAAAGAAGAGAGAGAGAGAGAGAGTTACTAAGGAGAGAGAGAATCATAGAATTCATCCACATAAAAGAAGGTTGCAGTATGGAGAAAGTCTGGAAATCTCGCTTGCAGCCGTCGTGGTGTTTATTTTGACCCACGGGAGGATTAACTTAATATGAGGACTCGATATGGTCCTGGTGAGGGATAAGATCAATGGTATGTGGCTGGAATGGAGGGTTATAGTAGACTATAGATATACATGATATTCTCATGGTAAGTCTTATTCTTTCTTACAGCTATCTCGGTATAGAACAACTGGCAGGCAATCTGATGTTCTGCATCCCTCCGATTGGTCTTTTCTGGCCGTGCCTGATCATTCATCGGTCTGACTGTCTATCGGAGTCTTCTTTATGTGATCTTTCAACGTTCCTTTTATTTATTGTGTTTTATGAATTTATGTCTTTTTACATTCTATCTATTCTCGCTTAATTGAATCTATTTTCTATTCTTTTCGATATCCCTCAATACTGCGTATAACAATCTCGACGCGTCCGTTGGCCCGGATACCGGCACGTGATGCACCCCATATGCTGACTCAGCCGTGCGACTCCACCGAGAGCCGCAACTCTCGAGAGGATCTTATTCCAAGTTCAATCCATGATCTATATATTTATATATTTATTACTTCTTTCTTTCTTATTTGTTGACCTCTTTGATTTGTTGGACACTCTTCATAGTCTGGTGTGGGAATGTTGGTGGCTCCAATCGAGTCCCGTCGATCCATATCCATCCATCCCGCATGGTTCACTCCGATATCCCCACCGTTGCTCTGTAACCTCATAGATATAACCACCCAATCCACTGCCATTGCAGAGAATTACCAAATACCATCCTTTGTCTGGGTAAATCCGAGATGCCCCTCATGATGGAGGACGACGGTATCAACATGGAGGACCTCTTCGGTCAGACCGGCTCCTTCGACATGCCTCCCCCGTCACATCCCCCAAACAAGGCTCTCTCCCATCGTGTGGATGAAATGCGACTGTCCGGTTGCTGCCAGTACGTCTCCCCTCAATCTCCCTGACGGATTACAATCTGATCTCTCCTAGAAAACTCGCCTGGTCCCGGCAAGGCTGCGTCGCATATGTCTCCGCTGACGCCACCAAAGTCAACCTGCGCTACCTGCATTGCCAACCTGTCGACGGCAAGTGGGATCTCAGCGATGACAATCCATCCACTCTCCCCATGGAGACCTCTCCCGGTCACGTCGTCGTTCATCTGTCCTGGAATGAACTCGGCTCCGACCTGGCCGTCGTCGAGTCGTCTGGTCGTGTGTCCATCTTCAGCATCGGAATCGCTCTGAATTCCGTCAATGCCTATCGTCCTGCTGTCGATCCAGATGATGACAGTGCTCAAGTCGTGGGGATGATGTGGTTGAATTCCCAACGTTCAGTACGTTCCCCCACTAACAAAACTATGGTCGCTTGGATGACCTAACAAGACAGGTCCATGCATTCAATCAAGCCGCCAAAGTACAAGGCCGTTGGGCTTACTCCCCCTTCCGTCGGCGCCCCATCGGCCCCTTTAGCCCCGTTCACAAGTCCGCCCTGGTCTGTGTGACTAAATCCGGCATCATCAGACTCATCTATCAGAGCCCTGATAGCCGCTGGGGCGAGATCTCCGCCGAGCTGAAGAACACCAGTTACTCGGATCGGCTACTGACCCACGCCGCCCTATCCTCCACCCAGGGCGGCGTGCTCCTGGTCACCCACTCCGTCTGCCAGAAGATCGGTTTCTACCGTGTTCACATCAACTGGACCCCACCCCAATACGACCCGGCGCAGTTGAAGCAAGCCCCCGTCCAGTTCCCCGCCCCGACCTTTCGCTTCAGTCATGTCAAGGTCGAGACCCCGGGCGGCGTGCCGGGGCCCCTCCACGGGGACCACGACCGTTCCGACCACCTCTGCCCCATCCCGAGCGCCCTCTATTGCCTCACCCGCTTGGACATCATCCTCGCCGCGCAGGACAACGCTGCGGGCTCCACCACCAACCCGTGGATCGTCGCCATCTACTCCATCCCCCCGCATGCCGCCTCGGGACTCCCGCAGCAATCCCGCCCCTCCACCGTCATCGTCCGATGGCAGCTCGACCAGGCCCCTCATGGCCTGCACCCTAAATTCGATGAGGTCGCCTCGAAGAAGGGGCCCGTCCAGAGTAAAGTAGGTCCCCACCCTTCCCGAACCTGAGGCACATCAGCTAACGATCCCTAGCCCAAGTCTATATTACGACGATTGGAAGACATCCAGACAGACCGGTATCCCATCTCGGTAGACCCCACGGAGTATGGAAACGTCGTGACCGTGACCTTTGACGATGGCTCCGTCGCCTTCTACGACCCGAAGACGATGAGTCCTTTTAGCGGGGTCGACGATGCCAACACAGTGACCAGTTTGGCGCAAGCCGGGTTCCACTATCCTCTCGAGCCGGCTTGCGGTCTCCATATTGACTTTTCACCGAGCGGATGTCTGGCGGCTACGCTCAATGGGGACGGACAGGTCCAGCTAAGAGGAATGCAGCACTCGTATGGGGTTGAAAATGAGGGGTACGATGAGAGTATGCTCCCCTTTATCCTATCGAGCCATGCACCTGTAGCTGACAGTCTAGACAAATTCTCAGCGGCCGTGGCGGCGCTGACATTGGCGTTCAGCCGTGGATGTGGCAGCGAGGTCAACACAGATGATATAATAATGCTCGCTCGACGGCAGCTTTCCCCTGGTCAGTTGAACCTCATATCTAATTTCCCGTCTGAACATCACTCTAACATACGCAGACGCCCAAGTCGCCCTCGTCAACGAAGTCTACCGCGCCCTACCAATCAACTGCGACTACACGCAAGAACACGAGAAACAGGAGAAACTAATGAGCAATACATACATCCCCCGGTGTCTCAGCCTACAAGCGGCATTAGGGTTCAAAGATCAGTTCACGTCGCGTAGCTTGGCATCAGCCATCCCGTGGGCCATTCTCCAGATTCGACACGCAGCCATCCTCTACCCGTTTCTCTTCCAGTATAGCAAAGGCGTCCAAGGCGAACCACACGATCCAGGTACGTTTCTCCCTATATCCCACAAACCCACCCACTAACAACCCCAGACGTCCTGCGAACCGTCCTCGGAAACACCAGATGGGCCCTCGACTTCTCGCACTACCTCCTCAACGAACTCTTCGAGCTCGCCGACGAGCTAGAAGGCGTAGCCTCCGACCCAGAAACCCTCTCCCAAAAGCGTTCGTCCTCCCTCCCCTCCCCACCCTTCCCCTACAACCCCACTAACACACAACAGTAAAATCCACCGCCTCCCTCCCCCTCATAATCCTCCTCTCAAGCATGTCCCGCGCCTACCTCCGCATCATCTGCCGCGGTCTCCGCGGCATCTACACCGGCTACGCGAACGCCGCCTTCACAGGCGACTCCCGCATCTACTACACGGAGATCCGGCAAACCCTCGACGCATCCCCCGTACGCGTCGACGTGTACGAGAAATTCGTCGCGGGGATCGACTCCGCCGTGCGCCACGCCTACCACGGCGCCGGGTTCGGCGACGCAGAGCGACCCGGCCCGGAGAAAGAACTTCTCGTCAACGCGCGCATCCCGCCTGTGCTTGTCACTGCCGTCGGGACGATCGTCCGGCAGACGCTGGGTGTGATCAAGCCCGAGGTGGACCGGTTGGCGATCTATATGGCGGATTATAGTTGGTTGGGGGTTGGGGGGATAGGCGGGGGATGGGTGGAGGAGGGAGAGGGAGAGGGAGGTGGATGTTGTTAGGAAGATGCCGTTGAGGATTACTTCTTCTACTGCTGCTGCTTCTACTGCTGCTTCTTCTGGCTCTCAAGGAAATAATGGTGGTGGTGTTGGGGCGACTCAGCAGCAGAACCAGCAACAACAACAGCAACAGCAACAACCCCCCCGCCGGCGCAGATGCGTCCGCTGCTGTGGCCTCTCAGACGGGTCGACTCCGCTGCGGACGGGTCCGATCGGGTACAGATTGATTCATCGGCTGGGGTATGTGCGGCAGTGTGTGTGTGGGGGGTTGTGGGCATTGGAGGCTGAGCCTGTTGTTGGGTAGATAGGTAGCTGGGTAGTGGGCAGAGGCCTGGGAGTGGCTTAGGGGAGAGAAAGAGGGGAGTGCAGCCCTGGTGGCTTTGGTTGATTGGGACGAGCTTCGTGGTTGTTAATATATATACATTGTGAATAGATGAATCAAATGATGATGGTATGTTGCTTGTTACGTAGGTAGGTAGTAGATGGATATCTCATGTAACCTGACCTGTTGCAGTGGGCCGCGTAGGGATTTTGGTGCGCTCTGATATGTGTACCAGCTCACCATAGCATACTATACTTATGCAGATAAGACTGGAAGGTGGTAAATAAGTAGGTAGGCAGACGGTAGATAGATAGATAAATCTAGACAGATCAGATACTCCCTACAAAACCTACAATCCTAAACAGCCTAGAATATAATAAGGAGAATCATGTAAAGCCTTCATTTCAACAGTCGACCAGCATCTTGCACTAAGATACATAACCCGATTTGCCTCATTTTATTCATTTTCAAGAAAAAACAACGTCTGAAGGCCTCTCTGGCTGGTATCTATAAAAAGCCAAGGCGGTCCCCCAAGCCGTGTGTATTCTCAAGTTTGAGGTTTTCCCGTAACTCCATGCAGAAGATTCAGACTCTATTTTATTTAAGCCTGTTTATCGTTAGTTAGTTCGTTCGTTGCAAGTTGGGTGAGTATTTTGGTGTTGTAGATAATTGATGACGGGTTCAATGGGTGGTAATGGTAGTGGTTGAGTTATGGGATCGCACCTTAACAGCGTACTTCCGCTGGGGGAAGTGGATCTGCTTCTTCTTCTGCTTGTCGGTCTTCGCGGTAGCCTCGTGCTTGGTGAGCCGGCGGCGGAGGGCGCGAGTGAGCTTGGGGCGGAGGTCAAGAGGGAGGAACTTCTTGTTCTTGTAGAAGAGGCGGAGCTGCGAGCGCTGGTTGGCGTTGATGACGGTGAGGACACGAGCGATCGACTTGCGGACGTCGTGGCTGTATCATATTAGTTTCTTGTCAAATTCGTCTGGTAAATTTTGCGCCCATATCGTCGAATCTGCGGTTGAGATATCCTTCTCTTCTCTTTCTCTCTCTCTCTGGTTTGTCGTATATTGTTTCTCCCTTTCCATCCAATCCACTCGCGAATGCTCCTCCCGCAGATTCGTAGATATCGGCCTTGTAGACGGGGGGAGAAGATTGTCGTTTCACATACATCCTCTGGGTCTTCGCCGAAGCACCACCAGCAATCTTCTGGACACGGAGCTGGTTCAGGTCGAACTTGAGCTCCTCGAGCTGCTTGGTGAGATCATCCTTGCTCTTTCCCCAGAGCTGACCAGCCTTGACCTTGGACGACTAGAAAAAAACCGCCGTCAGTATCGATAATTCCATTCCGTTTTCCTTCTCAATCAGCGCAAAGATATAGACTCTGAACATACCATGGTGGGCGGCTTTGTCGTATCGTACGGTTGTCGACGAGAGGATTGAAGACGGACCGGGTCGAATTTGGGATGCTCGTTGTGGGACTAGGGTTTCATTTTTTCTTTCCTGTGCGGGTGCGACTACTAAGCGGGCACGTGATGCTGGCTTTTCCTCTGGGACGGCATCCCTGGTTGGAGGCTGTGATTGGTGGGTTGGGTGGTTATGCAGCGGATGAGTAATTATGCTAGTGCCGTGGCGTGGCAGTCTGGATCGGGTTAGGCTGGTTTCGGACCCCCCAGTTCTATCAGGCTACTTGATTCCGCAGTTGGTCTGGACAAGGAGGTGATTCTAATAGTAGTATAGCTTGCGTCTTATGTTTCCGCTGGTCGGCTGTCTGTTGTTGTTATCTATTACCTTGTCTAATTATTGATTGTCTACCATCTCCGTCTAATACCATGGCTGCAACTGGTACGGGGTGGGCGCAGCTGCGACAGCAGGCCCGCTCCCTCGAGACTCAGGTACGCTGTATATCCAACACCACGCTGTATGTCCAACACCACACTGAAGTGGTCTAACAGTTGGTACAGACAGAGACCCTCTTCCACTCTTACGCCCAATATGCCTCAATGACCAAGCTACCGCCGAAACCCTCCGAAGAAGAGCTGCGACTCGAATCGGAACTGAAAGAGCTTCTCGGAAAGGTACTACCCCATATATCGCAATCCAAGATCACCAAGATCTAACAACAGTCCAGCGAGAATCCCTCATCTCCCAACTCGCCCGCCTCCTCGACTCCGAAGCGACCCTCACCTCCTCCGCCCTGAAACAAAGCAACCTCGCCCGCCACCGCGAAATCCTCACCGACCACCGCCGCGAACTCCAGCGTCTCAACGCCGCCATCTCCGAGTCTCGCGACCGCGCCAACCTGCTCTCCAACGTGCGCTCCGACATCGACGCCTACCGCGCGTCGAACCCCGCCGCCGCCGAGGCGGAATACATGCTCGAGGAGCGCGGACACCTCGACGAGAGCCACAACATGATGGACGGCGTGCTGAGCCAGGCCTACGCCATCAATGAGAACTTTGGCATCCAGCGCGAGACCCTGGCTAGTATCAACCGGCGGATTGTGGGCGCTGCGAGCAAAGTCCCTGGTATGAATGCGCTGATTGGGAAGATCGGCTCCAAGAGGCGGCGGGATGCTTTCATCCTGGGTGGTTTCATTGGGGTCTGTTGCCTGATGCTGCTGCTGTTTCGATAGTGTTCTTGCTCCTTGGTGCTGCTATCTGTCGTGGCTATTGCTGCGTGTTTCTCTATAATCTTTTTTTCCTTTTTCACCTCAAGCCTGTGTGCCGGAGTTGGTCGGGCGTTTCAGCGGATCTTATTCTTTCCCCTTTCTTTGTCTGTTTCTTTATTTCTTTGCTCTACGGATCGTAATTTGACGGGTCCATATTTGCGCTGCAGATTTGTTTGATTGTCCTCGTCTGAGGTGTACATACACGAGCTTACGGCTATAATTCATGGTCTACAACTTGACTGTCTTCGATGTCGCAAGCAGTTGCAAGTCCACGGCTTGCGACATGGGAGACATCAGGCAGGAGTGACAAGTAGCAGTTTCAGATCCACATCTCCAGAGAATATAGAATCATCGCATCAGCCGATCTGATCGGATCTGTCTAGCAACGACAAACTACCGCTGGATATTTTTAGAGAGCCACGTAGGGCAAGCTCTGCGTGACAGATAACATCTGACTGCCTGACCGACTTGTTGATGCATGCACGAGCGTGTTGGACAATACCATTGTCCCAGCTGGCGGGACAAGGTGAGGAGATGATGCATCATGTTAGGAATGGCGTTGGGGCTGAAATAAGGTAGCTGTACTTCTCTCTGGAGTCATGGAAAGGGCGGTCACATGTATTGCCTCAGGCAGAAACAGCATAAAGAACATTACCTGACTCAGCCACGCATAAGGCCATAGATCAACTCGACAATTATGATTTATGATTATTCGTATTATGATTCTTATTATTAAGGTAGCACAAAAAACCCTGGGCGACTGACATACCAAAGACGACTCCCTCTGCCAGCGACGAATTCCGTCCTCCATTTCCCTTTCGAACCCCCCAAACCCTGGTATTCTGTGTCGGTTGGGTTGTTACTGATCTCCAACTCGGTTCCTCTTCCCTGGTCACCGATCTCATCACCGCCTTTCATGCGGTGAAGCGCCATCCCAGCAGCCGCCAGACCGCCCGTGCAAAAAGTCGCCGTTTTGCCGTTGCTTGCTTCACATCTCTCCATCCCACTTCTTGTCTTCTTGCCCATCACTTCTTTCCCTACTGCTCATACTCTTTGATCTGCTGTCTTGTGGCTCAAGGCTGTCGCAGATTGACACTTCCTCCGTGTGTCGTGCCTCGTCCGCTCCTACGTGAGTGGCTGTCTCGTGGCGGTGTTGGTGGCCTTGCCATTTTGCCATCCCGATCATCACCGCCCCTCGTCCCCGTCGCTTTGTGTGCGTCACGTCTGTCGTGTTTATCCAGCTGTGCTCACTTCTGGGTTTAAATAATCCGGATCGAAGTTCGAGGATCATTCTGATATTGTGATACTCGATCATCAATCTCGACAGTATCTGTGAGGGACGTCGAGGTTCCTGACTCCCTGTCGAGTCTGTCCCTTTTTCTGCCACCCGCGCGCGCGCACAACACACACGATCCCGCAATCATTCCTCACAATGGGTCGCAAACCCAACCAACTCATCCTTGAGTTCTTCATCCGAGGCCAGAAACTCGAGGATGCCAGCAACCGCTACCAGCATACCTGCAAGGCCTGCGGCGAAAAATTCCCCAAGGGCCGCATTGACAGCTTGACCAACCATCTTGTCAAGAAATGTCAGGCCATCCCGCTGCGTGACCGCCAACGCGTCCTGCTGCGACTGCACGAGCTCCCCGATCTGGCCGATGGCGATCAGAATAAAGATCCCAACGCCGCGGGGCAAGGTAAAGGCAAGGGGTCCGATGTGTCCTTTACGACGCGCCAGAATTTTGACGGCCTCAATGTGTTGGCCGAGGCGTCGAGACAGGTCGGCGCGTCCGACCAGACGAAACGGGGTCCTGCCTACACGCAGGGTGTCACCGTTGGAGGGAAGACTGTCGTCGTTGATCCGGCACTCGAGGCAGAGGGTTTTCAGGGCTCTCCTGTTCAGCAGGAGAATATCGACGAGGATGTGAAACCGCCTCGTAAGTTGTTATTTCCTTTCGCAAGTGACCTCCGTCGCGATCGACGTCATGCTAATGGAGTTTTCTACGCAGTATCTCCTCAAGCTTCGAACTCCTCTGTCGTTCCCCCCTCTCTCAACACCGCTCAGGATCCGCAATCGTCGCAGCCGCAGCCACCACCGTCGGCATCGCCTACCTTGGGCGAAGCTTCGCTGACCCCCGACGCGGCTTCCAATGCGCGCCAGCAATCGCAGCTGTCCATGATTGCAGCTTCCGCGAGTGAGATGGTTCCTCAGGGCATCTCGATGGATCAGGATTCGGACGGTCTTCCGAAGCTGCCATGGAACCAGCAGCTCACAACCCATGAGCAGCTCCTCTTCGACAGCCTTCAGGAACACGACCCCACCCTGACTGCCGCGACGCAACGCGCCGCTACATTCCCTCGTCCCATTGCAATGAATCCCAACTCCCAGGCTAAGGGGTTCGTAAATGAATTTGGAAACTCGACCAAACCTACAAAACCCAAGGTGCGCGGCCGCTTCTCCGCCGCCAGACGTAGAGAAGTGCAGGAGGTCCGGAAACGCGGCGCGTGCATTCGCTGCCGTATGCTGAAGAAACCGGTATGTTTTGTAGCTATCATATCCCTGTGATATCAACTAACGCTGTCTAGTGCTCCGGCGACAGCCCTTGTACTACCTGCGCGAGTGTTGAAAGCGCCCGTCTTTGGAAACACCCGTGCATTCGCACGCGCATTGCAGAAGAATTCGAGCTGTATAGTGCCAGTGCGTATTGTCTTACCACCTGTTTAGGCTCTACTAACTGATATAGATCTACATGCCACTCTCGCGTACCACGATGTGAGCAGTATCCGCAATCAGGTGACGTTCGAGCACTATGCGGGTCGCATCGAAGTCACGCACTTTGAAGAAAGCATGGTCTACGTCACGTTCAGTGGTCTCCAGGGCCACAAGCCGCCGTCGTCGACGCTGGATCCGCAGCTCCAGGGACTGGGAGACGACACGCAATTCCAGGGGCCTCTCTCCGAGCTTTACCTGCTCGACAGTGACGCGGACGATCTGCCCGGTAATCTGGAGACATACATCAAGAAGACTGCGCCATTTTTCTACGAGCGCGAAACTTCGGAGTTCATGCGGCCTACTCTTCTGCTGGCGGCCGAGCTGAGCACGCAGAAAAAGGTACACCCTTTGAAGATTTGTGTACGACCAAAGCTAATGTTTGCAGGATACCCTGCTGGAACGGGTGCTGGAATTGTGGGTTGCAACCCACATCCTGGTCGACTCCGAGTTACGCTGGAAGACGTTCTACAACCCGACCCTCCCCCCTACCTCGATGCACTCTCTTGCGCAGCCCTCCGACGACGGGCGTATGCCGATCGACGAAGTCAGCAACCCCGAATCCTACGCGCTCTTATGCTGCCAGCTGCGCGCCGCGACGGAGAAGCGCGCGTCGCAGTTGAGCAAGTCAGTGATGAACGACCTCGAGCGCCGTCTACTCCAGCGCCAGCAGAGCGGCTGGTTCGAGACGTTCCTAGTCTCCATCGTCTTGCTGAACTGCGTGGAGCGAACCTGCTGGCTGTTCCGGTCGTGGGAAGGCGAAGCGTTCGCGCAACGGGTGAGCACCTAGTCATTATCAAACCGTCAAAAGACAAACTTACTAACACACCCCAGTGGCCATTGGACAAGCGTCCCCCCTACTACGCCAGCCAAGGCGACCGCTTCTCAGACATCCTCCACATGCTTCTGAAGATGCGCAGTCTGCCGCCCAAGGCCACCCCTCGCCCCGACACGGGCGTCTTAAAGGCGGTGGACCTCAGCGACGAAAACGCCGCTCGGTGGTTCGACATGATCAAAGTGACGCGTGAGTTTTTTTTTTCCCCCCATATAACAAAATGACAACAGCTAATGGTAGCAGCCCAATACCTCGAACAGCGCCAAAACGCCGACTTCGACCCCAACGACTCCCGCTCCCTGGACCTCCGCTACGGCGCCAAACTGCTCCCGCCTGCCAACTCCTACACGTGATGACAGACATATATTCATTGCAGCTATGGAAGCAAGTTGAAAGCGAAGCGAAGCCAGAAGGTGGAATAAAGCAGGGTGCAAAACAAAGCAAACGACTAGCGATGATGAAATTTGTATTCAGCGGGTTCTTCGATTGTATTTGAATGGGCTATTACATTATTACCTGTTCTTTTTGTTATTTGTCACTTTGTTTATCATATTTTTCTTTGATGATTGATTGATCGATATCAAACTGGAAGCTGAAGATGAAGCTGGGCTGATAGGTGGTCATGGATGACAGTGATAGTGATAGCGATGGATGGGTGATGAGTGTATTCTGAGAGTGAGATCGAGAGTGAGAGTGTAGTCTCTTTCTCTCATGGGAGTGTCGGTAATGGATGTAATTTAGGTTTTATGTTCTTTTTCTTTTACTTCTTCTCGTTCTTTTTATTTTATGTGTATTGTTTAGCTGGTTGGCGGTCTGTCGTTACTTTCCCTATCTACCTACCTACCTCCTACCTATCAGGCGTCTGGGATATACTCGTTAGTTATTCACTTCATACTAGTTTACTTGTGCTGTTGCTGAAATTAAAGTAGTGTAGTATGTATAATGTAGTAGGCATGGCTTTGGTTATATCTGGGAAGGAAGAAGTACAAGCGTAGTGGACTTCCTAGACCGTAGATGATACGACTCTGACTACCTAGATACTACAGTATAAGTATATTTAAAAGACATGCAGGTAGATATCTTGCGTTATAATATAAGATAATACATAAAAGAATACCCACAGAGCTCAGAAGTGTCTAGATATCTTTTGTAGCCGAGTAGTATTCTTTGCCACAATAGATAGACCGATACCTTAGAGGAAAACCAACAACCAGTAACAACATCATAAAAAAGAGTACACTCTAAGCCGAATAGTATGAATTATCCCAGTACCCATCTAACAGTATCTAGAACGCCAACATTGATACCTATCTGACACCAGCCCCACGCACGCACACACAACCTAATACCCAGCCCTATATCAGTCCTACACTCACATGGCAGGACTTTCCTATCCATCTTATCCTATCCACTGTGTAGTATAGTGAGTAGAGTAAGGTAGATAGACAGGTAGATAACCTCACGACAACACCACACCTCACAATATCATATTTCAACCATAAATCATCCATCTACCCAACCAGCCAACCCAATCAATCCATCTATCCATCCAACCAAACCTTCCTCTTTCTGAATTCAGGCTAAGTCCTTCCCTGATCCGTTCGTCTGGAACGGTCGAACAAGCAGCCTGAAAACAAGCAAGCATCCACTCCATAGAGCACAGCCTATGTATGTAAAAAAACCACCACCAGCCACAACACAACCCCCCAATCCGTGATCCATCCACCACTATTCGACACACACCTCAAGCAAGCAGCCTGCAAACAAGCAAGCAATCAACGAAACAAGTCGGCTAACGGTACTAACCTCCCTTTATCAACGAGAGGGGGCCTAAGGCTAACTGATAACTGCTCCAGTCTTGCCAGGAGCTTGTCCTCATCATAGTTGACAACCTCCCATCCGTGGAGATGGCTGGGGATTAGAACTGGGCGGGAGTCTATTGACCCTTCACTAGCAAAATCTGAAAGCGCGGGGACTAGGGCTGGGAGGGAGTCTATTGACCCTTCGCTAGCAGACTCTAGAATTGGGGAAACTAGAGCTGGGAGGGAGCCCATCGACCCTTCACTGGCAGAGTCAAAGTCCAGGTCCGATTCGGTATCGGCATCCAGGGCAGTCCCGTCCAACGCGTAAGTGTACCACCGAGCGGAGGGATTCGTGCCGGTGGTGTGGTTGGTGGTGGGGTCCCATACGAGGGTGCTGGATAGCCCATTGACTTGTTCTTCTTCTTCTTCTTCTTCTTCTTCTTCTTCTTCTTCTTCTTCTTCTTCTTCTTCTTCTTCTTCTTCTTCGAAGTTCTGAAAGTGGGACTCTTCGCCCGTGTACCATTCGGTGGGCTGTTCGGTGTGATTGGTGTCGTCGCTGTTGATTATGATAGAGGGGGTAGTAGAGGAGGATGAAGATGATGCCGTAGAGGAGGAGGAAAAGCTGGTAAATGGAGTGGTAGGTCGCTCCTCCGGGGTATCATCTCTAGTGAGGATAACATGGTAATATCCCTCGGGGTCGATCCAGGCAGTTTGAAAAGAACTATTTCCATTGAATTTCTAAAACAAACAATGATAAAGAGAATAGACAAAACTTACTATCCATCAAATGCCTCATCTCTCAAGATATCAGTAAGCGCGATAAGAAAGTCCACCGAGATGAGGCCCGTCATGCCGTTGTTGATGATGGCGGATGTGGAGGAGATGGGCAAGCCGGGTAGATTCTCTGGGATGAAGATGCCATCTTTGTGGGAGATTATCAGGAGGAGGTTTTGCTGTGATGCTTTGTTAGTTTATCTTTGTAGAAGGGGGGGGGGAGAAAATAACATACAGTGGTCATCGTGGATGTGGTTGACATGATCGAGGACGAGGTCGACATGAAAGGCATGTTGCTTGAGAGATGTGAGATTGGTATTTGCTTATTTGAAGATGATGCACTGTGAGTCTCGAGATAAGAAGGATGAGTATGGGGAAGAGAAAGAGTTCAAGGAGAATTGCAAGAGCAAGACTTTATACTCGTGGATTTGGGTAGGCACGTGGCTTTGGACGTCATAATGCGGGATTCATGATATGTTGTGATGACAGTTATGGTAAGGTTTGATGATAGGAACCAGTGATGATAGTAGCGATAGTACTCAGTGATGGATGTTTGCACGTAGTACTGAATATTGAATAAGTGAGAGATAGTATATCTATGGATATCTCTCAGGTGCCAGACAAGAACCTATATCTACCCACAAGTAACATAACAACATACCTATGATATCAACAGCATGATTAAAGAACAACAATTCCACCCAAGATACAGTAACAGTATCAACAGCATGATATCATCATGACCAGACCAGTAAGTAGCAACCTAAAAACAACATGTACAAAGAAAACACACATCAAAAGGAAAAGAAGAAGAACAGTGCATCCACATCATAATCATTACAGCAATCAGTCTTCGGTCCTCAGCCTCCAGCTAAGGCCCAGCCTGCTCCTGCATCACACCCAAGACATCCCGCGTCTGCTCCAGCACGACGGCGTAGAATTTGCCTTCTTCGGAGCTATCGTGGTATGAGCCTGCTGCGACGATGGCCCTGGTTTAGTTAGCATATATTATTATATCTCGAGCATATCCATATCTCTCCCTTCCAAAGACGATGATCCAAAAGATGATAACCCAGATGACGATCCAAAAACAGCCCACGAAGAAAGAAAAAAGAGAGAACATACCACCCCTTATACTTCGGCTGATTAAAAATCTCCGTAAACGCCTTCAACGTCTTCAACGGCAGCTCCAAAAGAGACGGCAGCTCCGGTCCACGTCCGCAGATAGGCAGTCCCAGCTTGTTGACGGGGAGGAAGACGGTCTCTGCGGCGTTGTGGGGATTGCGGGCTTCTTGGAAGATGAGGAGGCGGCGGGAGGTGCTCATTTTTCCGATCCCTTCCTGTCTCTATTTCTTTTCTTCTCTGTTTTATTAGTTTGATTTGTTGCTTTGTGTTGCGTGTTGATAGGGTTGTTGATTTGATATTGATGTCCGAGTAGATGGGATGCGATTGAATGTTGATATATTGTTTTTTTTTTTCCTTCCTTTAATTTTATTTTTTCTATGGCGGGGTGGATGGATAGACGGTTGATGGATGAATGTAAACCACTCTGCAGCGCGTATTGTAAAGCCTTGTTGACGTTCAATTCGTGAGATGGTATTCGATAGATAAGTAGAACTTCGTAGTTCACTAGATATATCCGAGTGTATCTAATCCCATCTGCATGACAGATGAGTGTAGTTATGCTTAGGGGATGTTCAGCATCAAAGATGGTGATTGGTGGGCTGGTCGCGTCCCGCGTGTCTACACGTGCTCGGGCGGTTTGTGGGGCTTTTATTTACATTTATTTACTCACTGGACTACTACTAGGAAAATAGGTATTATATCGAAGGGATTATCACGGTCGATAGACTATAATGACTATAACGATTATTCAATATATACAAAACATAAATAACATCAAATCAGGGTATCATCAAAGCCACCACCACTAGCATCACTCCCTGCAACGCCAAAAAGCAAGTAGTACACCCACCCACCCATGGATATATTCCCTACGTATCCAACTCCCCGTCAAGAACCCGCCTCGCATTCTTCAACCGCTGCCGCAGCTGCCTCACATGTCTCGGATCGGACTGCTCCGCACCCGCACCCGTCAGCGCCTGCAATTCCATACAGACATCGCCGAGGCTCTGGAATAGCTGCTCCAGGAGCCGCTCGTCGTCGTTGGTGATGCCCGCGGTGGGAGAGTTCGGGTGCTGGCTGGATGCAGCGCGCACGGTGGACACGAGCGACGAGACGAGCGAGGTGGGCGTTGCGGAGCCTGTTGTGGCGGAGTCGGATCGCTGGGGTGGTTCTTCTGGGATTTTGTCGTCTAGCTTTGTGCTGCTGCTTTTGGAGCTTGGGTGGCTGGGGCGCTTGCGGACTGCGCGGGGGGTGCCTTGGTCGTCGAGGTTGGGGTCTTCTGGGTCGGAGTCGGAGAATCGGTCGTGGTTGCGCATTTCTGTTGGTGTTAGTTATTGTATTATACCATGAGGATGAGGGTCAGGCTTACCATCGTTGAATCTCCGGTCCCAGTAGAGCACGCCCTCGAAGTCTGCGTCGGCTCCCTCGGTGGCTGTCGCGAAGGTGGCGACGGTCGACAGGGATGTGGCACTGTTTGCGCGCGAGTGGCCCATGGAACGGCGGCCTTGGAGCGGCCGCGTGGTCTCCACAGACGAGTAAGACGCATTGCTCTGCTGCCGCCGGCGCGCCTGCGTGTAATTGCCCAACGCACTGTGCAGAATAAAGTGCTCGTAGTCAAAGGCGTCCTCGCGGTCTTCGTGGGACAGGAAGTCGGGATGTTGAGGCACTGCAGGGAACGCCTCCAGGGGGTCGGCCAGGTCGTCGTCCAACGGCTCGTTCAGGATCTCGTTCAACTCGTCCCGGTCGATCTCGGTGTCTGATAAGCCGTCCGAATTGTAGTCTTCGGCGTCTTCGTAGAGGCTCTCGATGACGGACTGCGCGTCGTCGTTGTCTGCCGGCTCGTACGCTGGCGGTTCGGGATGGGTCGCCGCGCGTGGCGGAGATGGTTCCTTTGTCTTGCGACGACTGTCTGTCTCGTGTTTTCGAGCGGCCACGTCCAGCTCGTCGCTGCTACGATCCCCTGACACGCCCGCCGCCATGTGCATGTACTCCGCATCGGGCTGGGCCTCACCAGAGCCGCTTTTGTACTCCACGTCATTGGACTGCCATTGGTTGGCGTGGTTGGCGGCGGTGAGAGGACTCGGAGTGCGCAGGAGCTGCAGACTACGTCGGCGGAGATTATCCCCCTGCGCTTTCACCTTCAGACTGGAGATCTTGATGTGCAGGCCCTTCATCTGGTCTTGGAGGTCGCGCACCTGGAGCTGCGATTGAGAGCGCGAAGGAGGATCCTGCGACGGGTAGATCGAGTTGAAGTCTTCCAGGCTGGAGATCTGCTGCCCATCCTGATCAACGCCGAGGTCCTGCCCTGTACCGGTGGACGAGTGCTCATCCGAGGAGCGGGATATAATCGGGGGTCGGATGGACGACACCGATGCCCGGTGGGTGAGGTAGGATCGAGTGGGTGCGTAATGGAAGGATCGGTCGTCGTGGTTATAATCCGACGACCTGCTCGAGCCCATGGCGCTCATGGACCGGGACGGGTCCGGCTCCGCGGTAGAAATGCTGGGATGTGCCGCGGACGGCACATACGTTTCGCTGTACACGCGGGAATGTCGGTTGCTCGGCTGGTCCTGCGACGAGGAGTACGTTGCGCGCGGCCGCATCGTCGACGACCGGCGGTCTGTGCGAGATATCGACCGGTATAGCCCACCAACCGGCTGACCTAGGCCCATAGACGGGCCGCTTCCGGATGGACTGGGCGAGGGCGAGGGGGACACTCGCACCGATGTACGAGCCCGGGTGAGGTTACCCTCCATAAGCTATCAAACGCGTCAGCGATCTGTGTCTCGGGACTTGGAATGTGAACCCACCGTAAGTCTTTTCTTCGCGTTTTCGAGGATCCTCTCGGCTTCACTGCTCAATATCACCGACGACAGCTCGTCGGCCCCGCCGCCTTCTTGCGTGGTAGAGACGGCCTTTGGATCCGACACGCCTCCTCCCTTAGCCCCCTCTTTGATGGCACGGACAGCCTCATGGATCTGGCGATGTTCCAGGCTCCGATTTTCCTGCGGAGCCGCCTGTCCGTTCTGGCGAGACCGGCTCCCCTCATGGGAAGAGGTCTCACTAGCAGCGCTGACCGTCGAGCTAGACGAGCTACTCCACGAGCCGGCATCCTTGTTCTCGCTCTCCTCCGCACCAGGCCGCGACAGAGGCGAGACCGCAAGCCAGCGCCCTTGCGACCCGCCTTGCACGTTTCCGCCGAAACCCCCGACCCGCGTGGGAGACGAGGAGTCCTCCTCGCCGATGGCCGACAAGCGGCGATTGGTAGGGTCGTGGCCCTCATGCACCCACGTATGACGCGGGAACCCCTTTGTCTGCGCCCTGGTGACTGTGTAGGGGCCGGCTGCGGCTGAAGCGGCACTGCCAGCGTCTGCGCCGTAGTCGATTGGGGCGGCTCGGTTCTCGTAGAAGGCCTGGAGGTGGGACAGGGAGGGAAGGTTGAAGGGCGGAGAGGGGGTCTGCGACTCGCGCTCGGTTTGGTCAAAGGGGAGGATCATGTCCGGGTTCGATAAGGTTGGGGACGGCGGGATTATTATCGGGAGTTGTTGGCGATGTCGACCCTCGTCGGCCGACGGCGTGCGGGTATGCGCGCGACTGTGCAACATGGTGGTCTAGATTTGGCGCGTTGCCAGTAATGACGGAGCGAGGAAGTGTGTCAAAGGTCAATTCACAACCAACTGGGAAGAAGATATCCTTCCACCCAGGGCCATCCGTTGTCGGGAGAAAGGAGGGAGAAGATCCTGCGCTTGCACGGTAGGACTGGCAAATTAGATATTCAAGGGGTAGAAATTAGGTTATTAAAGTGATGCGGCTGCAAATGAGGTCTGCGCCCACACCATCGAGAAATTGGGGGCGTATCAACCAAAGATTAAGTAGTTTGAAGGTGACACTTCAGAGAGAGTAAGACAGGTAAGAAGGCAAAAAAGAAAGAAGAAGAAGAGGAAGTCAGGGAGGCAAAAGACCAGACAACGTGACAAGATAGGACAAGAAAAATCGAGCGAATGAGAGATATCACTGAAAGGACCAGCAAGGCGGGGGCGAAGAAAAATAAACACCAAAGAGATCAAAGGAGTGGCGATGAAGGAGAGGGCCAATCCAGCATCCAATTAATTCAACAGAGTAGGAAAGAAAAGAATGACTCTGAATTAAGCTTGTCGCGATCACAGACAGTGGAGAGACATCCGTGAAGCACGAACGGTGGGTAGAAAATAAGAATAGAGATAAAAATAAGATAAACCCTAAAAAAGGATCAAAATAGGGTGACTGGAAGCCCAGACTAGATATGTACGGAGTCAATCTCTCTCTTACTCTTTCTCCTTCTCACTTTCTCCTTCTCTCGCTTCTCCCTGGAGTGTTGAGTGTTGTCCCTGAGTTCCAAAAACCCGACTAAACCAACTCCAATTACGGAGTCGGGCCCAAATGGGTAGGGATCGGACAGTCGTCACCAGAGATCGTCGACCGTTGTATTCCTTGGGTTAGATTGGTGGGATCATTCAGGAACGGTGATAATTCCAGAGGGGGAACAAAGAGAAGCACAATATAGTTATATCAAATCCAAAGGAAAGAGAAGGAGAGCAAACTTTGTTTATATCTCGAGGGTGAATGCCGTCTGTATGAAACCCAACCGAGGTCCCCCAACTAATGCCGCCAACTGGTGTAGTGTGCCCCGATGCCCGATGGGGAGATCATCGTCCAGGTAATTTTATCTCGATTAATGGGCCTTTCCCACATCGGTTCCAAATGATTCATAGATAGTTTGACCATTTAGTATAAAGCGGTTGTTGATGCTCAATAACCCCTGATTCGTTCCATGGGTCAGTCGGCTCTGGTTCCGCTGTGGGTGCCTGGTTTGAGGGGTGTCTATCAGACTTTTCGTTCATGGAATGTATCAATATACTCTAATAAAAAAGACTAATGAACAAGACAGTATGGAAATTTAATGCTTTTGGCTCACTGGTCTAAAACTATAGCAGACCCTGTACAGATTGTTATAACACCCCCAAACACGGATCAAATATAAACCAAACACTGCGAGAGCGAGAAGCTCTTCTCGTGGACCCAGTATTATAGACATCTTTCTAGTAGTCTACACCAGACTATACCACAGAAAACAAGAAAGAAGAGGAAAAGGATTAGATCTTCTCCAGCAGCAGCTTCGCGCCCTTACCTGCGGGCCCCTTCCCAGTCTCAGCAGACGCCTTCTCCAGCGCCTTGCGTCCCTTCTTCAGCGTCTTCAGCAGCTCGCTCTTCTTCTCGAAGTCGTCAGACTCGGCAAGGGCAACAATCACAAACACGTTGGACCCGGTCGCCCATGTCATGATCTCGTCCTTGATCTGATCGTACAGCAGCTCGTGGAAGTTGAGCGCCGGCTGCACCTTCTCCACCTTCTTCTCGGCGCTGTTGAATCGGCCGCCCTGCACGAGCGACTTCAGCAGTCGCCCCACGAAGGCCGCGTCTTTGGTGTCCGACTGGGTCTTGGCCGCTTCGGCCACGGCCGTCAGCGCGGCCGTCTTGTCTCCGTCGGCCTCGAAGAGGACCTCCGCCAGGAACTGGCAGCCGAAGCTCGTCTCCAGGAGGCTCTCGGCGCGCGCCGCGATAAGCTCCAGCACCGTCGCAGACGCCGCCTTGACGAGCTCCTGTCGGCGCACCTCCGGCTCCTTCTTGGAGGTCTCCTTGCGGATCTCGCGGATCTCCTTCAGCATCTCGTAGTCGCCTTCGGGCATGAGCCACTTGGCGCGGTCGCCGGCGAAGGGGAACAGGATGGGGATGCGCGCGGTCAGGTCGTTCACCTGGAACATGAGCTCCTCGTTGCGGGTCTCTGCGTCGCTGCCTTGGTTCAGGAGCTCGGTGAAGACCATCTTCGCGGTCAGCTTCGTGTCGTCGATCACTTCGTAGGCCGCCAGGATGACCATGTGTCCGTGGAGATCGCCAGCCATCAGCTTGATCGTGTCGCGGTAGAATCGAGTCAGCAGTTTGCGGTCCTTGGCATTGGCGTATGCCAGACTCCGGCACATTACGCGGCTGCCGGACTTGGTGAACGCCAAGTTCTTGACCAGGTCGCCTTCTTCGTCGCCCTTGAGCAGCTCGATGAACTCCGTGGCCTCGTTGCTTCCGGGCTTAGTGTTGAGGGAGTACTGCAGCATGGCATCGTGTAGCATCGTAAATCCGGTCATCTTCTTCTGCACCAGCTGGTTGATGAGCTCGTGGAGGAAATGCATGATCGGCGTCCGCTTCTCCGGGTTCTTCTCGAGGATCTTGCTGAGATCCGCCGACACATCACTCGCAGTATCTCTGAAGATCGAGAACTCCGGGCCATACCACTCCCGGAGGAGGTTGGCCTGCTGCTCCTTCGTGGCAACCGTGCGGTAGATATCGTCGAGAATCCACGATCCCTCCGGGTGCCGGATCAATCGCTTGGCGTGGCCGTAAAACTCTGGGATGATCATATCGCGAATCTCGGCGTCCCCGTGCACAAGAATCTTGCCAATCAAGAACTTGGCATATCGGCTCTGCGCCAACTCTTTGTAGCTGCCCTTCAACTCGGTGGCGATCAGCTTCCGCTGCTCGAGGTTGGCGTACTTCAGGCCCGTCTGGACGACACGGACGGAGTCGTGCTTGAACACGAAATCTTTGACTCGTCCGGTAAGGATGCCGAAAAGCTCGGCAATGAGCTTCTTCCGCTCCTCCAGGGGAACGTGCGACTTGCGGCGCAAGCGCTCCCACAGCTTCTTCGAGCGCTGGATCACGTCGGCGTTGGGCTTCGCGTTTTTGCGTTCTAGTTGGAGGGCCTTCTGCTTGGCGTGCGACTCGCGGGATGCGTTCTTGTCTAGAGACAGCAATCAATCAGTACAGTTCAACTCAACTTCGCAAGGGAGTGGTCCATCAACATACTCTTCTCGTCCGACGAAGACTTAGCCGCCGCCTTATCACCAGACTCGCTGCTGTCGCTCTCGTCCTTCTCATCATCATCACCAGCGCTATCCATATCAACATCCTCATCCTCGTCAACATTCATACCGCCCTCGAGATCCGAGTCCGAAATATCATCCACGTCGAAATCATCATCGTCGTCGTCCGACTCCTCCTTCTTCGCCGGCTTCTTAGTTTTCGTGCTCTTCTTCTCAGACTTGGACTTGTCGCTCTTCTTCGACACCGACTTGGAAGCAGGCGCCGACTTCTTCATGGAAGTACTCTTCGACTTCTTCGCGGGGACACCAACAGGCGTCTTCGTCTTGCTCCGCTTTCCATTGCGCTCGTCGCCGGCGTCGACGGGACGCTTGACTCCAACCATGGTGAGTCTTGCTTTTTTCCTTGAAAATTTCCTTAATATGTTTCTCCCTTCTCTTTGACGGGTGATGAAATAAAAAGATTATAAATTGAAAAGGTCTAGCGGGAGAGTGAGATTGCGCTGCCTTTGTTAAGTTTCTGCTCAGCAATAATGATCTTCGGCGGCTTTCTTTTTTTTTTTTTTTTCGGCCGCGGGCGGTCGGGTCGTGTTTGTTTGGTTTGCACCTTGTTGATAAGAGCGCTGGGTTTCGCATAGGATGCGATCGCCCTGTCTACTTCATTCACAACAAGGAGGTAAATAGATAAAGAAGAAAAATCTATTGATACAACTGGAAAAAGTATAATACTATGTTCAGTGGAATATTTAGAAAATACAATAACGCATACCCATTACCCATGCCGATCCAAGGACTAGAAATAGCGCAGCTATCAAACATCCAGGCGGTCGCCGCCTCCTTATCAATTGACCCTCCTAAAACGCCAGCAATTAGTATCGTTACTCCATATATATTCCCCGGAGTCGACCATGTCCCGCGTCTCAAGCGCCTATGACCCTTCTCCGGACACTGGTGATTGAATGGCGCCCATCTCAGCACCAGCGCCGCTCTGTTCGCGCTTCCTACCTGGGAAGTAGAACGTCGAGGACTTGGAGGACTGGCTGTCGCTGTTAAAATCGCCAAAGCGCGAGAATATGCCCCTCTTCTTGGGCTTGGGGTCGTCGGCGCCGAGTTCTACTTCCTCGAACTGCTCTTCCTCCATTGTCTGGGGCTTCTTGGTTGAGCCGTGTTGTAGGGAGGGTGATGACATGCGTGAGAATCGCGAGTCGAGGGAGGTTCGGGAGGGGAGTGCGTCGGAGTGGCACACTGGGGAGCGGGCTGAGATGTCCTAAAGTACGGAGTAGAATGCGTTAGTTGGTGTGGAGGGGTTGGTTACTGGTTTGTTTGCTTGCGTTCTGGTACGTCGAGTGTTGTCAAGGGGGTGCTTACGAAGGAGCGACGGTACGAGTCGAATGACTCGCGGGATATCGAAAATGGCTCGTTTTCATTGACGAGGCTCCGGTGGTTCGAGTTATTTGACGACCCTGGTCGGCGCCAGATACTCTGTTTCTCCGGCGGCGACGGCTGCGAAAGAGGTCTTGTTTAGCAATCTCTCTAAGTGCAGTCGCCAGCGGAGGGGGTGTGGAGAGGTAGTCGACAGGGGAGAGGGCGTCTATACCGGAAGATAGGCGCCATTGTCGTCGACCACTAGATTTCACCAAGAAAATGACATTAGGCCGAGGCAACCCTACCGTCGCAGAGTGGGACGTATCGTACCACTCAACTTGTACTCTGGAGGCTGGTTCTCGCAACTTTTCCTGATGCTCAGGGGGCTCGTACTCGTAGGCGGGGCCCCCGTGGATAATCGACCGTCATTGTAGATATCCGATTCCCCGCTACTTGGCGGCGCGGACCTCTTTGCGAGGAAGTTTCGGAAGGGGGCCATCTTCGATCAAGGGACGAAATACTGCACCGTGGCGACACAATGAGGGTTGCTTGAGAGGTGTTGCGATGCGACGTGGCCGAGCGGAAAGAGTGACTGGAAACGGAAATAGGGAGCAAGATGGATGGATAAATAGTGGCCGTGGTGTTACAGTGGAGTAGCCCAAGATGCGCCCCTCCAACCCTCACATGATCGGCGCCTCGGTGTTGGTGGAATTCTGGAATGGAGGTGACGATCGAAATTGGGCTGGCTAATTATCAGGGATCATAACCAAAGGTTGATGTTACTTGTACACGAATGTTATGGGATTGGTTTGTGAGATTAAAGACCCCACCAAGGCACGGCGGGCTTTTGTCTGGCGCCACATTTACTCCTTCGTCATTTCTTGCCGTACCTTGTCATTCTTTGTTGTTAATACAATTTATTATACGTCTTGCGTCTAGTTATCAGCTTGTAAAATCCATTGCCATGGGATTTATGTCATTGCAGCCGTTCTATATCGTAGCGCGTTGTTCTTTGGGAACATGCGGGGAAACAACGGGCGGGTCTGTTTCTGTCTAACACTCTACTTTATATACATCGAGCCTATCCACACTATGTTCCTCTGGCTGGACTACTGGTAGCTTTCTTTGGACGAATGCTAGATATAATATGGAAAGCAAGAGGATTCGGACCCCTTCTTTCAATGATATGGTCCTTCCTAGGTTGAATTTGGCTTGCCCTACCATATTAGAAGAGCTGTGTAGGACAGCACCTTCCTCATAGCATGTCAACAACGTCCTTGTGCCTGTTTCTGGTACTTGGGGGCTCGTTTTCTTGTCTCACTCAACCCATATTTACTACTCCCAGATATTCTATCTCCATTGCGTCTCTGTATTCTTCGGTGTACTCTCTGAGTCGGGCTTGTCAAACTTCCACTTTGGCCAGTGGACAGTGAACATCCCCTTCACTCTACACCACCAGGTATGGTACCATGTTGGACGCATCAGACTTGCGTATTCTGACGCCGGTAGGTGCAAACCAGCGCCATGCCTCGCCTCCTCGATATCATCTCGATCGGAATGATCGCCATCTTCTGGGCGACCCGACCAACCCTCGCATCCTCCATCCCCCGAGAAATGGCAACCAACGCCAGTCTCTCTGCCCTTGCCAGCGTCGATGACGACGAGCCTACATCTTACAAAAGATGTGACTGGAATTCGCAATGCGACTACGGCTATATCTGTGATCAGAAATGCACCCTCGGCTGTGCCAACACCACCGACTGCGTTGCAGGTCAGACTTGCAAGGATTTTCGATGCCACACGGAAGAGGATGTGCCTTGTGGTCCTTTTGGTTCGATTTGTGGGAAGAATGATGATTGTTGTTCTGGGCAATGCAAGAGGATCTGGTTTATCTGGATCAAGAAGTGTCAGCATGAGGTGCGGCGGGCTAAGAACTTGGGTGGCTGATTGAATGCGGTGTTAATCACCTGTTGTTGGTCTCTTCGATGCGCAGGGTATTCCAGGTGTTGTGTCTTGCCAGTCAGTGTGGTTGGGGGTTTATTCTTATAGTGTTAGCCAGTGGACTCATGGCTAAACAATATATATCCAAAACAAGCGGAGAATTATGGTCGATATTGTAGAGCGTATGCCTGCAGATCAGGTAACCCAGTAGTTTCAATCCAATTGATTAATAAGATTGTTGTAAAAAGAATTATGTTATACTAATTTACCAAGAGCTAAAATCCAAATATACTGTAGGTATAAACCCTAACTGGTGAGTAGCTAAAGGTAAAGTGAATAAAAATGAAGGATGAAAAATGAAGAGTGTATTATCTAACACAAAAGCTTAGTATTTCCTAAATCTGTCACGGATAACCTAGTGGAAGGTCAGCCGCCAAGTCCGCAACCTTGCTTCGGCTCACGCCAGCAAGAAAGGTGCCCGGTACGAATCCTGGGGTCGTCATTGTACTCGTGCGAGTAATCCACGATCGCTACAAGGCGCTAAGCAATGGAAGTGACCCTTGAGGGAAGCAATTCTGCAGAGACTCCTCCACCCTGGGGTGGCGTCGCCGGATTACACCATCTTGTTACAGGGGCGTTGACTACTTGGCTGAACAACTACATCTCTTCTTTTTTTTTGTTTGATTCTTTTTCTGTCTCTATTCACAACCCCTTCAGCGGCCACATTGACCATACGGACTGTAAAAAAAACTCGTCCCAGCTCTCTACATTTTGAATTTTTCTGATTCCTTTTTTTATTTTTTTATTCTATTTGATTGAGAATAACCACGACTTAGTAAATCTACTTCCATGTATGCACCCGTAGACACCGTACATCTCATCGCCTTGAATATATGACCACCAATAAATATTCTTGATCAAGCCCCAACTAAGCCAGTTTGATATTGTTGTTTTATCACGATATCTGTGCGGAAGGCAGAATTGGCAATGCTCGCGGCTTCCGGTTGTGTCCTTGTCACCAAACCATGGCCAGCTTGCTCCTGCCTTACTCCTCGAGTAGACAACCTGAAGTAGGTAAACACTGACTAGAGGGCAACCAAGAGCAGGATCTAACATACTACGCTCTCTCCGTTTATACCACCCGGTTTTAGACACTCTCTGGTGGCTTCAACAAGACAAGAACAAGATACACCACCTGCGTTTCCCAAATACAAAGAGTCACGCAATATCGAGTACAAGGCGACCCACTACCAAGATGCGGTTTTGGAGGGGATGGCCCCTGTGGCAGAAGCTGAGTTTTGTAAGTGCTAATGATTGTCTGACATAGCTTAAATAAGTATACTGACTACTACGCCCAGAGTCTGATGTGCCTTCTAGTATGCCTACTAGTAATAATCCCTCCATGGCCCTGCTGATAGGTATTGACATGGACAAGCTCCTCGTTGTCGCATATGGGGTCTGCGTTCTGCTGTACAATAGACGAGCCATCCGAAGACTCACCGCAGCGAAAAGAAGGTCAGCCACAACGCAGGATGCCGAAAGCTACCCGATGCTGGACGAGATAGACGAGATACCATTTGGCGCAAGAGCTCTGGAGAGAGGTGTCAAGGTAGAGGGCATATGGACCCCCAGCCAATCGTCGCTACGCAGGCCTGTGATGCGGGAAGACAAGGACAGCGTAGATCCGGCCCCACGAAGGATTCTGGTGAATCAACCGGGGGAGGTGCAGAGATCCTTCCAGACATTTGTTCCGGCACCTATCTTACAGATGCCCGACTCGCGACACTTGGAGACCCAGAGGGTGAACTTCGATGTGAGCGAAAGGGCCGGATACGCACATCCCGGCCTTTCCCCCCCAACCTGGCTTCATCCACCAGACATCAACGAGCCTTCTAAGCATCAAACCTTGAGCGAACGGGCAAAGGGTCACCGATCGAGATGGTGGTACATCAGAAGCTCATGGCTTAACGAATCCTCTGACGGGGGTGAACAAAAGCTAACGGATGATGGTAAGCCATGCAGAATATGCGTCTTTCTGTATATGAATATTGCGGCCAGAAAGGAACATCGTATACTGACTCCTCATGCCAGAACAAAATCGAGCTTCCGCTGAGGCCCGGCGGCGCAGACTAAGCAAGTTCATCGACGACAAGTTCCGGGCGACTCCGACTGAGATGTTCCAGCTCAAGAAGATGCCTGCCGCTAAAATATAAAGAAGACAGGAGAGTGGTCCAGAGACCTGGAGGCAGTATATATTTTTTGGCCCTTTTCCTTTCTTTATGAGATGGTGGCAGGGTCTCCTGGTTCATTCTCTGAAACGACCGAGATATTCAAGATCGTCGAGTGTGCAAGGTGCCACCAGAATAATTCACCCCATTCGCAGTCGCTTTTGTCTGTTGCTTTATCTGGGATATTATAATATTAGTGTGACGCTTTTCTATCCTTTCATGTCTCATCTAAGCTGTGGGTCTGTTGTTGTAATTAGTAGACCTGATAGTTGCCTGGTGCCAAGGTAAACCAAGGTAGAAAAACAAGGCACGTGACCTCGCGACATCCTCGACGCGTCCACAATCCATCATCGTCCAGGTGAACGGGATCACAGTGATTTGCCACTTTGACAAATAGCATTGCTTACAATAAGGTGTTTTTTTGAGACACTTCCCACACCTACTGGGGCACCTTTTGTACCTGTTCTAGGGAAGCAAGCAGTTGCTGTGCACAGAACACCCAGTGGCTTAGAACGCGTACCACGTCGAGTCAACTGGCCCCAGGATCGGCCTTCTGCGTTGTCCCGCAGACACGCCAAAAGAAAATTTCTACTATAAAGAGCCTGAACCGCTGAGTGAAAATGACAGCTGAAGCGGAGACTCAGAATGAGCTCGATGATGGACTGACGGGTCCTGGAGCGCCCACCCCTCTTTCGGCGTTGGAGGTAAGATCTGGGTCCGTTGGTGGTGATCAATTGCCACGGATGACTCCTATATTATCGATATTCGCTTTTTTATATGACAGGGACTGACATCGCTTACTAGGGTGTTGGTGGCTTGACTGCTCGAGATATTAAACTATTTCTTGATGCGGGTTATTACACTGTTGAATCTGTTGCGTATACGTATGTACCCCATATCGTCAACCCGTCGGAGACTCTATCATCTGAGGCAACTCGAATGAAGAAGCTAACACATGCGCTGTATGAATTAGGTCGAAACGTATGCTTGAACAGATCAAGGGTGTGTCGGAGCAGAAAGCCAATAAATTGCTAGTGGAGGGTGAGTCAACATGACGAAATCCCCATTTACGCTGGCGCCGCAATCATCTAATGCGTCTCTTTGATAGTCGCGAAGCTTGTGCCCCTAGGATTTACCACTGCCACCGAGATGCACCTGAGACGGAGTGAACTTATCTCGATCACCACCGGCTCCAAGCAATTGGACACACTTCTTGGAGGAGGCATCGAGACCGGGTCAATTACCGAGATATTCGGCGAATTCAGGACCGGTAAAAGTCAGATTTGCCATACGCTTGCGGTGACTTGCCAGCTGCCTTTCGATATGGGTGGCGGCGAAGGAAAGTGTCTTTACATCGATACAGAAGGGACATTCCGGCCCGTGCGATTGTTAGCAGTTGCCCAGCGCTATGGACTTGTTGGCGAGGAGGTGTTGGATAATGTGGCTTATGCGCGGGCCTACAATTCTGACCACCAACTTCAGCTCCTGACCCAGGCATCTCAAATGATGTGCGAGACCCGGTTTTCGCTCCTTATTGTCGACTCCGCCACGTCATTGTATCGAACGGATTTCAATGGTCGTGGGGAGCTCTCGACGCGCCAAAACCATCTCGCCAAATTCTTGCGCACGTTGCAGCGTCTCGCGGACGAGTTTGGTATCGCCGTCGTCATCACAAATCAGGTCGTCGCTCAGGTTGATGGTGGCCCGAGCGCGATGTTCAACCCGGATCCGAAGAAACCCATTGGAGGTAATATCATCGCCCACGCCAGTACGACCAGACTGAGCCTGAAGAAGGGACGAGGCGAGACTCGAGTATGCAAGATATACGATAGTCCGTGTCTGCCTGAGAGCGACTGTCTGTTTGCTATCAACGAGGATGGAATCGGAGACCCGAGCCCCAAGGACCTGGAGAATGATTGAGCAATGCGGTGTCTGTAGGTCCTGGCCACGTGATACGAAAAATGATGTTCTTGTTCAGTTGCGTTCATAGCTTGTGTTTTTCTTTGTTTTATTGTGATAGCATGGCATTCTCCATAAATAAACAGCTGAAATGGTATTAATTAGAGATTGTTAGAGTGAATGACTATAATCTTTTGATGTTGATAGTCGTCTATTAGTAAATATCCAGGTACCAGCAAGATTATAGTAATACATAAGTTCATGGTAATTCACTTGATGAGAGTAAAGATTTGGTCATTTAGTTATCTCGGTTGTTCAGGCGGCCGTTGTTAAGGCGGGTGCCAAGACCTTGTTTTTTCTGAGCAGCGGAAGAGCTTCAGCTTCTTTTGTCTTCCAGACTCCTCCGCGCTGCAAGGTTCCACCCACTGCGAACCAACTGATTATGGAGACTTGAGATGACCATTTCCATTATCGTGCAAGGTGGTTTCTTGCTTCTCTGACATGGCTAAAATCTACAACGACACCCGCGTCGATCTCCGGCCATACTCGCCGAGCGCCGTCGTCAACATCCCGATTGCAACGCAAGCGACCTCGCAGAGCCGCCCTCGTTTCTCCATAACCGCCCTGACAGGCCGCGATGACTTTGTCGCAAAAGACGAAGATGAGTTTTCTCGGCGCTATCTAGCAACCCAAGGATCGATCTATTTCCGCAAACGCAGCGTCTTTCCCCGAGCGTTCCTATGGAGGGTGGTCAATGACAACAGGGTGCTGGAGATCCAGTGTGTGGATCTGACAAAGGGAGGGATTGAACACAATGAATACAATCTCACGCTGCGCTTGGATTTCCAGGAAGAAATTCTGCCGTCGGGGGTGGATTTCGCAGACTTGGAGGACCACGAATTGCTGAGCGTGTTCGTGATTACTGCCTCGAAGCAACTGTACACCTTGTCCCTGCGCCCGGAGTTCTTTCGCAGAGCAGCGTCGATCGCTGAGAATGTATCCGATTGGTGCAAGTCTTGTATTCCCGCGCCGTTGTCGTTTTCGCACCCTCACCGGCTGCATGCTAGCAGCCCCCTGGAGCTGTTTGTCTCCCTCGACAACGGGGCGCTTTTGCGCTTGACTAGGAGGTCTGGTGACGATGGTAATTCCGCCCCCATATCCCTTCGTTGTCATCCTTATTATTTCTGCGCCTTTTGGAGATTTGGAGCTGATTGAGATAGGGTCGCACTGGAATCCTCTTACCTTTGACGAGCGAAGCTGGGGCGCATCGATTCGTGGGCTGGTTAGGTGGCACACGCAACCTTCGATCAAATACGACGGGCGCAACCTCGACACAAATGTCCCAAACGCGATCGCGACCACATCCGATCAGACCTATGTCTTCGCCGTCTGCTTGAACCACACCCTAAAGATATGGAACCTCGCCACAAACAAGTTGGCTGCCACGAAGGACCTATTGGATCGCGAAGTACAACATCCCGACGCAGCTTCTTACAGTCTGAACCCTTCTGAATCTTCCTTTATACGTGTGTTTAATGTGGAGAGGGCATTGGACGGGGCCTACCGATACTACGTCGTCACATACTCGCCCTTTGAGGAAGGGCGCTTTAAGTTCTGGGCTGTCAAAGGCGGTTTGACCTCGCCGCTTGTCATCGAAGATCTCTACCCAGGTTCTGCATTGAGACCTCTGGACCCCGACCCGTCAGGAAACATGTTCTGGAGCATCGCGGATTTCCAGGTTAAACCAGCCCAGGAAGGAAAAGGCATGGAACTCTGGGTCCTGTGGAGAAATAGCAACGTTTATCAGCTCTTCACGTTACACTTCAACCTTGAGACCCTGACAGCCGACTGGGACACCAATTGGGTATCAACGGCGATGGACTCTCGCTCTCGGGAGCCTGCTCCTGTGGTGGCATTTTCCGACGTTGTGGATCCTACAGACAAGTGGTTGAAGTTCCTGTTGCAACCAGATCGATTTTCCTCAGAAGTACTCGAGACTGCTCTGGCCATATACCAGGAAGCTGTCAAACCGCTGTCATCTTCGAGCCCGCAAAAGAAGAGCGGCTCTCTGCCAGAACGCCTTTGTTCAACAGTTACGACCAGCGTTGCGCTCCGGAAATTAGCCGATGACGAGATGGACTTCACGCGGTACCAAACAGACACGGATGCCAAGTGGCGTCAGTTCTGTCAGATTGCGGACGACATCAATAAACGAAGGTTCGAGCCAGTCTCAATCGCATACGACTCATACTACGAGCTTCCCTGGTTGCTCCTTTCGGACAGTTGCGCGGTGATTCGAGAATGCAGCTCAACAGAACTACTGCTGCATAACTCGGGCTCTGAGTTGAGGGAGGAAGGCCCCAAGATCGTGGACCGGTGGAGGCATAGGAACTTGGGCTCGGAGATTGGCGACTTGTTTGAGTCTGCATCCCATTTGATAAAGGTTGCGTCTGGATTCCGGAAAAGGTTTCCCGCAGATCTGGAGGTAGGATGCCGAAGAGCTCTTGAAGCCGAGATCTTCACCGAACCATCGACATCTGTCCCTGATAGAATGGATGCTTTCCGCGAGCGATGCGACTTCGGGGATCAAATTTCCGATAAGACATATACAGGGCTTATTGCCGCGATGAACGAGCATCTGAACATCTACGAACTTCCCAACGATGTTTTCTTCACGATCGTCGATTCGATTCCTCTTGGGTTCCCGGGCAAAGATTCCGACCTTTTGTCTACCCATTTTGGCGTCAAGGTCACGGTGAATGGTGCTCAAGAGACGATCTTGTTTACCCGCAAGCTTCTGACCGACCTTCTACTCCTTGTCGTCTTCGTGGATAGTGAGGTGGAGCAGCAGGATACTTCTACCTTTGATGCAGCGGAATTATTCGCCTCGCTAGTGTCGCTGCTGAGAGAGTATGAGATGATGCATTGGCTCTGCTCGAATTCTCGGTTGTCGCATGATAACTCCACCGGTCTCGCTGAAGAAAATTCCACGCCTAACCTCTCTGTGAAAGACTCATCCTCGAAGTCGAGACACACGCGGATGGTGACTATTTTCGAGGACCTGTTTGCTGTAGACATCAAGCCTCGTCAGAACGTCGGACTGCCCCAGAGTTATACACTGACTCTAGGTATTCGGGATGTTTTGTCATGGGTGACGCGTCAGGGCGAAGTGGCTTATCCGAACGCATTGGCCTACATACAATGTGACCTCATCGCGAAGAATAATATAGATCTCGCCTGGGATTTCCTTCGCTTCCAAGCAAGCACGTCTTGGGCGACCTATGTGAAGGGCCGTCTTTACGTCGCTATGTCAGAGTTCGACACCGCAGCTCTGTATTTCCGCAAGGCTGCATATCTCCTATGTAAGTTCGATTGCTCTCTTGATGCACAATATTTAGTGTCTAATTTGTTTCCAGCATGCGGGAAACCCCTTGGAAATCTACACGAGATGTCATCAACGCTTCTTGATATCGTCTCGGTGGATTGCTTCCATAACGGACTTCCAAAATACTTCCAACACGTTTTGTCTATATTTGAGCAAGCGCGTTCGTTTTCACACGTCGCCGACTTTGCCTCTCTTGCACTGCAGGCTCTTGCTAGCGAGAAACGGAACGAGAAAAACCCGGAGTACACCACTTTGCGAACGGATGTTCTCTCACGCCTGTTCTACGCTTCTATCCACAGCTGCCACTTCGACCAGGCGTACTCTGCGCTCTCTCGATACCAAGATCTGGCGCTGCAGAAGTCGGCGCTCAGCTCCCTCATCACAGCCATACTCGCCACGTCAGGACCAGGAACCGCGGGACTCGAGCAAATCCTCCACTTCCCCACGTTCCTCGTCCCCAACGTTGCTGCCTACGTAGACGAGATCCTCGTATCTCTCGCCCACAAACAGGATTCCCACAGCTCGTTCCTTGAGATCGGGAATAAGTGGTCTGACAGCACCCCAGACTATCTACGCATCCTGCAAGCATACCGCATCGCACGGAACGACTACCGCGGGGCGGCCGAAATCGCCTACCAGAACGTGCAGCGTCTCCGAAGCGCCCGAGATACCTCCTCAACGCAACTAGTGCTCGCCAAAAGCAGAGAAGCAGACAACTTCAGACCCACAGACGAGGAAGACCCCGAGAGCAAAGAAATCAGACACGAACTCCTCTCCCTGATCAACCTGCTCTGCTGCGTCGACAAAAGCGAAGCCTACATCCTCGTCGAAAAAGAAGACCCCTCACTGCCTGCAACCCGCCCCCGCAGCGCCCAACACGACGACGACGGGAACGTCTTCATGGACGACGCCGCCGGTAGTACCTCGTCTCCAACGCCCTCCACCCGACACGACAGCAAACTCACATCCACACCGAGCAGCAGCAGCAAGGGCCCCAGACGACGAGTGATCGTGACCCTGGACCACCTCCGTCGCGAATTCCAGTCCGAGCTAGACCGCACCAGCAGAATCGAGCGGGGTGACTGGGAATTCGGGATCTTGGACCCTGATGAAGCGGATAATGACGATACGATGGTATTCTAGTAGTATGGAGTTGTGTTGCGTTATGTGAATTGATATTGTCATTATCTATCTACTCGGATTTCTCCTCCTCAAGTTACTAGGGCCCACGCTTGTAATTTACGCTAGGATAGGTATGTGTGTGGTGGTCAGTCAACGGGGAGGAATCATATGATGCTTTCATTTCTTTATTTCTTGTCTTTGTTTTCATGTGCGTTAGCTTTGATTTGGGGTCTTAATGTGGAGCAATACAAATAGCATTCGGTGGGTTTTGGCTGTTTTTACATCTGTTGCTTCTTCTTTCTTTGCCTTTCGACTTTGGTTCTACACGTACGTACTTAGTGGCTGTATCCTCCAAGAGATGAGTGACTGGAATGCATCGTATCAAACTAGGAAAAAAGATGCATGCTAATTTACTTGTTACTCACTAACAAGGTAGCCTGGTATTACAAAGAATCATAAGCCAAAACCCGAGCAACGAACGTAAAAAACAAAGAGTAAGTATATAATTTATCAGAAAAGGAACCATAACTGAGATTAGATCATGACAAGACAAAAGAAAGATGACAACCCAAGGAAAAGCCCAGGAAGCGGAGACCGCAACAATTTCTACCCCTATAGACAGACAAAACAGATATATAAAGTCACAGACGCAACAAGTCAAGTTCAGTTAACCTAATTTAATCCAACTCATCCGCCACGGAGCTCGCATAAAGGCGAGCGAAGTACGACTCGTCTGAGGAGAGCAGATCGAAGGGGTTACCGGACTCGACGACGCGGCCGGCTTCGAGGACGACGACTGTGTCGTAGTCGAGGATGGTGTCGAGCTTGTGTGCGACGGCGAGGATGGTGTGGGCGGCGAATTTTCCGCGGATGACGCGCTGGAGGATCTCGTCTGTTTTGGCGTCCACGCTGTTTTGGGGGGTGGATGTTAGTATATAGATAGGGAGGATTGGCTGGGAGGGGAATGGGGGTTATATGCTCGGGGCGGAGGAAGGATAGTGATAGAGAAAGGAGGAGGGGAGATATGAACTTACTTGCTGGTGGCTTCGTCGAGGACAAGAATTTTCCCGGAACGGAGGATGGCGCGTGCTAGACAGAAGAGTTGCTTCTGTCCGTGCGACAGGAAGAGCTCGTCGATGTCGGCGTCGAGGCCGCCCTTTTCTTGGACGATGGAGTATAGCTGGACGCTTTTGAAGGCGTTCCAGATGTCTGTGTCTGTGATAGAGCCTGTTGGGTCTGCGTTGCGCCTTACTGTCCCCTTCATTAGGAGGGGACTCTGTGAGACTCCGTTGAGGCGTGAGCGCACGGTTTGGCGCGGGATTTTCGAGATGTCGGTGCCGTCGATTGATATGCTACCGGTGCTAAGGTCTAGCATGCGGAAGATGCTCATTACAAGAGAGGTTTTGCCGCTTGATGGAATGTTAGCTATCTGTTTGTGCTAGGATAGGGAATGGTGATTTGCTTACCTGCCGGTTCTGCCACAGATAGCGACCTTCTCGCCCTCCTTGATGGAAAGAGATACATCTTGAAGCACTGGCTCAGAGCTCCTGAGGGGATGTTAGCAATTTATCGTGACCTTAGCGGTATTGGTAGACTCACCTATACTGCGCAGATACGTTGGTGATCTCAATTTGACCTTGAGATGGCCACTCGTGGGGAACGTCGTCTGTTTCCTCTGGCAGATTTTCCGAGGACACTTTCTCCGTGAATGTCCTGACACGAAGAATTGACCCAATGTGCGTCTCCAGATTAGTCCAAAATGTGACCAAGAGCTTGATGCTCTGGCTGAACATGATGACGTTGAGCAATGCCACCCCGACATAGCCAGAGCTGATCGTCCCCCGCATTACCACAACGAGAACAGCTAACAACACTGCAATGGCTGCAACCACCATATCCAGAGTAATTGTGAGCCAGCGCTGAACAGCATATAGAAGATAAAACGGTCTCTGCGAGCGATCAAGCAATTCTTGATTCTTCTCCTGGAGAGGACGCTGCCACCCAAAGGCTCTTAGGGTGATGAGGCCGCCGAGGCAGTCACTGAAGTGGGAAAACAACGGCGTCTTCGCTTCAAGGTCTAGAAATCGTAGCTGTCGGGAAGTGCGTAGGTAAACCTTCTGCACGGCATAAAGAACACCGATCACCACTGGGAAGGAGGCGGCTGCATATTTTGATCCAATTCCGATAAAGACCATTTGTGAGATGCAGAGAACCAGCGCTGGAAAAGTCCACTTGGTTAGTGAAAATCCTTCCTACCCCCACAAGACAAGGGGACTAAGATCACTTACTAGTAAATGTATTGATAGCAGCAGCTGGAAGCTCCATATCAATGAGCTGGAGGTCCTGACTAAAACGGTTGAGGATAGCACCGCTGTCTATGGCTGAAAAGAAAGACATAGGAGCTCTGGAAGAATCATCAGCATGAGAGTGATACATTCTAACAGTGTGTCTTACCCAAGGACGGTGCTCAAAAGATTCCTGTGGAAAACCTCGCCCGATTTCGGGACCATATGAATGAACATCTGCCTGAATCGACCTGAGCATCAGTGTCTATCGCACATTATAGAAGGTTGGACTGGATATATGCTCACCAGCAACCAGCCATCAAGGATAGCATCGCCACGGCACCAAGCATTGCATAGATACCCAGATAGTAAGCTGTGTGCACTCCAGGCTCCCTTTCGTTTGCACTAGCCCACAACTTTACCCAGAGACCTAGGCGACAGTGTTAGGAATTTCCGGGCGCAGGTTGGCAGTTTAGGATACTCACTGGGAAAAGATATGCAGAAAACAAACCCACTAATGGCCACGATAAATGTAATTGTAGGGAGCCATCCAATCGACCTGGCATAGTACAGGTAAATGGATAAATCGCCGCTGCTCCCGTGCTCATCGATCACCATCTCCTTTGCTTCAACAGTGGTGGTTTTAACGTCGGACTTCTCTTTGATAGCGCGTGGTTTCCCCTCGAATTTCCATTCAGGAGAGGCTAGTGAGAAGCTGGATACGTAGCCTCCTGCCGAGTCGAGGGCTTTGAAGGTTCCTTGCTCTGTGATGAAGCCGTCTGTGTCAAGAACGACAATGTGATCGGCGTAAGGAACTCGTTTCACTACCGAGACGAGTGATTAGCTCCAGTTTCGAAGATATTATATCTATGCAAAAAGGCAACACACCAGACGATGAAGCTAAAATGACAGTCGAGCCAACCGAGCGTAGCAAGCCATGTACACCAATAAGATGGTGAAAAACGTGATCCTCGGTGGTTGCATCTAGACCGCTCAAGACATCGTCTAGAATGATGATCTCTCTTCGGGCATAGACAGCCCTGGCTAGTGCCTGCAAGTCAAATAGTCAGCGATATTCTCGGATGAAGAGGGCAGAAAGAACGTACAATCCGTTGGCTCTGACCGCCGCTGAGGGAAATGCCTTGACTCCCAATGATAGTTTGATCTCCGCGAGGTAGCTGGTCAAAGTCTTCCACCAAAGCACACGCGCGTATAACAGAAGTATACCACCCGCTGTCGAAACTCGACATGGCAGTAATACTATCCCGGATTGATGCGTTGATATGCCATGGTACTTGGTCACAGTACGCAATTCGCTCAGACGATACACTTATGTTTCCACTTAGACAAGGTACCTCGCCAAGGAGAGCCTTCACTAAGGTTGATTTTCCGCAGCCAGAGGGGCCGATCAGCATAACCAAGTTCCCCCGCCCAACTGTAACCGTCAGGTTCTTGAGCAGGGGGTCTTTGCTAACGTCCCAGCCAAACGCCGCATTTTGAATCGTTATCGAGTTATATAACGAGTGAGAAGATTGGATCTCTGACGACTTGCGCGAGTGAGAGCTGTTCGTAAGCGTCTCTGCGTCATCAACGAAAGCAAAACGCTTGGTCTTTTGCTCCTGGAAGAGATCAAGCTGGGGCGTCGACGCGTTTTTTCTGGAGTCAACATGACTTTCCTTGTCAAGGAATTCTTGAATACGCGCAAAGGACCCAACAGACCCCACGAATGACATCAAGGCCATAACAAGAGTCAAGAGGGGATCTGACAAAAGCGTGAAAAGGGATAATGATGTGTATACTACTGAAGTGTTCAGTGCAGCATCGTCGTGTGAGATACCGACGAACGCCCCGAAAGCGACAATCGGAGCAAAAATGCGGGTTAACCAGGCTGCAGGAATTCATTAGCAAAACATGTATTATGGTTCAAGGCGAGAAATGTAGTTGACTGACCGAAACCCATATTCCAAACCAAAAGTGTTCGGAATTTCTTCGAAATGTTCAATTCATCAATGCGTAAGTTGTGGACCAGGTGCATCATTGTTGGGGTAAGACCAAGCATTTTGACCCCTTTGATCGAAGAAAGCATCGAGGCAGTCGATGAAATACGCCTCTCAATGGCCTCGAGCCATTGTGCTTGTCTTGCCATAACGAACGTAAGTCCTATCATGGAGCCAACTAGGGCAACTGTTCTAAAGCGTCAGAGAGCACGAAAAGACAGAACCATTCAGATAAGATATCTTACCAACTGAGACCCCAACTGGAACCACGCAGGCCAGACCTAACTGCTGCTCAAGAAGGTATATAGCCAGCCCCATTTCAATGACGTTGGCCCACATGTCATGCATTGTTTGCCAACCTTGAACTATTCGTTCGACATCCGCACTCATCAGCGTGAGAGATGATGCAGGATCGGCTTCTTTGACATCAAGGCCGGTTGCCTTGTTGTAGACCATGGAGACAAGGGCCCCCCTTACCATCGCGATTGCGCGGTACGTTGAGTGTTGATATTGTCCCATTGTAATCTGTGGCGCTCATTAGACCGAGTCGAGAAAATCAAACACTTCGATACTCACAGCTAGCCCCGTATACACAAGTGCATAGGCACCAATCAAACCGTAGCCGACATTGTCGGTGTCTTGGTTCACCGGCTCGGTAGAAAATGAAAGCGAACGATGTAAAAGTAAAGGTTGGCACAGATTCAGCGCGACAAGACAAGCTCTCGGGGCAACACCCGATAAGATCTGCCACTTGAAAGCTTTCAAGGTCACGAAGAATAGTGAGTTTGGGGATTTTGTCTCCACTAGTCGAAATTAGCCCATAAAACGCTAGTTTCCTTGCTCACGGCACTGTATATACCTTTCTTCCAAGATGTTTCCAGAGTGTCGCTCAGTCGCTTCGAGTTCAACTTCTTCTCAAGCGTAAACAGATCATCAATTGCGAGGATCCTCGAGAATCCAGCACGGAATACAGGAATCAACCACCAGAAAAAGAACTTGTTGAAGACACCACTCGTGGCTTCTGGTGGATATTTCGAGTATTTACTTTTCAGAACAGACCTCTTTTCCACAGCCTCGAGAATGAAGAGCAGAAGCTTGACACCAAGTGCGGCAGAGGTGAGAATTGTGATCGTGTGGTTCATCCCCCCCAAGTTCCTCAGCCATAATGTTCTGACTTTTGCGCCATCGAAAAGAAGGCTGCAAAACAGATAAAGGTTGAGAAGAAGCGATGGCTTGACAGACAGGTTATGTTCTGCGTAGGAGAGAAAACCGAGGAGGAAGACTCCCGCCGTCGTTGCGGAGTTCGTCGCAATGGAAGCACGTGTTCGGATGCTAGAGGGGAGGGACCAAAGAGCCACCAACGCAGCCTGCGCAAAGGTGAGAGCAATCCATGTGGCCTGTTTTCCGTGAAGAAGTGAAAAGATTAGCTTGCTGACCTTGCTCAGGTAAGGCGCACAGAGAAGAGATGTGCATACCACTTTCGCCCATAGAAGCCAAGAAACTTCTACTTTGCGAGGTTTCCGGGCCAGATGCCATAGCCGAAATGGTACAATGATCAAGACGATGGCTAAAGGCACAATCCCCAAGATAATTTCCTCAAAGAGAAGAGAGAAGTCGAACCCCCCTCGGCAAGATGATGCGGGAACACGCAAGGCATTATCCACCTCCTGGCAGAATAGAGGGGAAGGTGACTGTACCACCATGACGCCGGATCTACTATGGAGTAGATTAGAATAGTTGCGATGCCAGTCACAGACCGAGTTTTAGCCAGCTTCGCATTGAAAGCGCACGAGGACAGTCGCGGGGTTGAAGTCAACCGGCTGGGGATTTTCTGTCTACCAGTGCCGAATCGCCCATAAACCTCTTACACGCATTTGCCTCCCCTCGTCGGCTTACCCACGATCCCACCTTCACAAATGAATAGAAGTGCAACTACAGTCGATAGGGTGGCAATGAAAGCACAACAATCGAATGGGAATTGTTTGACGGAAACAATATAGAAGGATAAATTCGCCTAGAGGGAAGTGAAAGAATGGTATAGTATAAGGTAGCATACAGTTCAACTAAACAGACCAGGCTTAGAGACAATGACAAATAATAGTAAGACGGAAAGAAAATAAATTAAAACAGAAAAAAGGAATGAATAGAAAATAAATTAGAAAAGAAACAAAGAATTCGAACAGTGAAGCTCACCATATGCTGTTTCGGCTCTGACGCGGGCTTCTTCCAAGCGATCTTTCCACTGTTTTTGCTTTATTGATTACTCAATATTGGAATTTCTTTCTGATTATTGCCATTATTGTGACTATGATTATTGTTGGCTTTCCCACCTGTAGGGTGTTTCAACCGATCCAAAGGCCATTATTATTCCTCTATCACCTCGCATTAGCCTGGGAGAACCGAGCATCATTCGTCGGAAGGTAAAAAAAATAAGATAGAAAGTGTTCAACAACACGAGGAACATAGGTACTACAGAATATGCTGTACCATCTCACTCACCTAATCCTCAATGGCCGCAATGTCCCCTGACGAGGCAGAGTTTGTTTTTTCGTGGTGTTGTGGTTTGTTGTCCCCCCCGTTTCTTCAGCTGAAAACCCCCGTCCGATTGTCTTTCCCGTTACCATATCGTGGTTGACCTGGTCTGGACCTTTCGCAAAATCTTTGACACGAACCCCTGTCCTGTTGCCCCCACTTCGCAAGGGATACAGAGTGGCAATAGGTACACGTAGAATCCTGGTAGCCTCGCCCTGGCAGGGAAAAGCCAGTAGGAGATGAACCGATGTCTGAGAAGGCGGGAAGCCGGCATCTTCGTTCCACCCAAATCCCGATTCTGACAGGAAGGCCGGGCGGTGTTTTAAATATCCCGCTCCACCCATGCGGATTTTGATCCCGACGAGCTCCTAAAAACGGACTTGGAAGGAATCCTTCACGCATACACGAAGCGATGTGGTGATAGGGCCACGACATGACTGACTCAGTGAGGTGAAGTATACTCCGAAGTGGAATTGTCAGGACCCCCATGGCCGGTTATGACCTATGGTGGATGTCATCTGGACTCCACAGGAAGAGTCAGCTTTAATTTTTTTAAACGAGATCTCTGTGCTACTAGTCCGTGAACTATGTGACGAAAGTTATGTAAGTGGGACCTGGTTGATGGCGAAATACCCCATCATTGGCTTAGTGGAGGTACTTTGTCGGTGGTTTATGGTAAAATCGATCCCACTAGTCGATCCGGGTGATCTGTCAATTGGCAAACCGGTGCCGGGGTGGGATGGGAAAAAGTGGGCACGTATCAGCTGTCATGATGATTGACATTAGTTGACATCGATCGCGATCGACCATGGTATCATGCCATAATCCTCATTTGTCCCTAGGGACGACGAGAGTTTTTGGTACCTGAATTAGCCAGGTGGTTGACTCCTTCACTGCTGCATTGTTGAGGAATTGGCGATGGTGGATCGAGTATTCGCGGAGTTGGCTTGGTGTTGTTCAAGCGACCAAACCTTAAGGATGGTAACAATCGTGTTCGTGGCTTGGTGGTTGTGACTGCACACGCCATAACCGAAAACGACCAACGCCAAGGGTGCGAGATCCCTGACGGTAATAGGTTGGTCTGGCCATCGTGAAGATAGACCTTACTGAGATTGGTTACTGCTCCCGGCCACCTTAGTACTCGAGGTGGAGCTGTGGAGTTCGATGCCTAACTTAACCCACCTCGTCTCCCGGCTACACTAAGTCTCGAACAGAATCTGTCTCCACCGGGAAATCCGATGATCTCTCTCCTAGGACGTCTTACCTCACCCAAGCCCCCCTCCAAAACAAGGATAATGCTCCGAAGCAAACGGAACGACAAGACTCCATTCTTCATGGAGCCACAGAGTGGATCGTCACCTTTTCAGATGGACTGATGGCTGAAGAGTGAAACTGAAGACCTTTAGGCGGAGATCATGACAGATCAATATGGTTCAGCTGAGGATTTTCCTGGAGTTTCCTTTATTCAATGAAATAGTGAGCCTTACTTGGCCAGTTGTATTTTGTTGATTTATCTCAAGAATGATGATTTTTTGTATGACCCGATGGAACCTAAATGTGGATCATACGAAACCCAAACGATGAAAAGAAACGAAAACTGGGAAACGAATAGAAAGATGAAAAGGAGGAGAAAAGCACTGGGATCTGACCCCAGGGCTAAATCCCCACCTATACGACTATCAATGCCCGATGGGCCACGGCAACCAAACGGGGATCAACTCGGGTTTGATAGCCGAAGGGAGCGAAGAAACTGGTCAGTGGGCCTGGCAGTTTTTGTTCATGCTCGAAGATCTACGGAGTACATTTTCTCCTGGTTTTTTCCCCCGAGATTATCCGGGGCAGGAGAATTATGAGGAATTATGAGGAATTATGATTTTTTGCTATTTTGATTATTGATCTATTTTTTTCTTCTTCTTTGTTTGCTCATGTCTAGTTGAAATTACAAAGTCTCTCGCTTGGAAAGAGGATCTTCACGCCAAAAGCAAATCCCCCTGGGCTGATAGAGCCTGACTTGCAGACAAGCCACTAGTGTCAATTAAACGCCCTAGCCTTCCCACCGCCATTGCTTACCCCCTTGCATCCTTTGTAGCCCTGATTGACTGATTTGTTCGATCGTATGAGCTCTGAAATGCAGTCCGTTCTGACGCTTAGTTCCGGAAATTTGATTTCGGCTGGGATGCGTGGAACCACGTCCGATCCACTGGCCTGCGGAATCTTCCGACGAGAATGTGACAGGGCCAATTGCAGGTCTGTGTTTCTGGGGTTGCTTCCTGTGGGTACCTAAATATAGCAATATAAAAAGTACCTCCGTTTTCTTTGAAGACCCCACGATTAACCGGGTATCACAGAGTAGCGTCTATAGTACGTAGGTAGTTCGCAGTACATCTATTTCCTAATTAGCGTTAGTAGAGGTAGGATCGGTAGTAGGTAAATTTGATCTACTTCCTCTCCAAGTTGACCAATCCATATGAGGCTCACGAGAATATAAGTTTCCTTGATTGGATGAGTATGGATCGGATCGATACATACTTCATGAGGTTAACATTCAGCTATCCACACAAACAAGGCAGAAGGGGCAAAACAGACGACTGGATCTTGCCGAGCACAGTGGCTGGAAATCACCTACCACTCTAGGACTTGCGGGTACCTGCGAGAGATACTCGATTGTCAACCATGAGATCAATCGCCAGGCCTCCGGTCTTACAAAACGGAATGTACGGAGTAGTGCGGATTGGAAAAACTAGCTCCGTCTGTAGAAGAAGTTGTTGTCAGGTAACAGTTACTCCTATGGATTCAACCCTGCCACGCACCGTACGGGCTCTTTGGTCGCTTGGGAAGAAACGGTGACATTCATCTCTGATCGTCCGAGTGACTATCCTCAAGAGGTTTCAGCCTCGGAGAATTGACCACTGTAGTAATGTGTTGGCATTGTACCATAGGTTGCTAAACAAGCTTACCACGATTTGGGTGACCGTGGCGCCGATGACCATTGAGACAAAGGGTCCTGTTCTCACCTAGATGCAGACTTTGTCTACACAATTGAAAGTTCTCTTTCAGATAAGGCTGACAGGATCTCTTCTAGACAAGGCTGACACATGAGTAGCCAAAGTATGAACATGTGGTTGCTTTACAGCCTTCAAGGTGCTTCTCACAAAGGAGGATCATAGTTCAACTTGTTATCAGGCGTCTGTTGTATATCGTTAAGGCTGCCCGAAATACGAAAAATCCCTATAGCGTTCGTAGAATAGACGTACGAGTTCACACCGATTCAATATGGGTTCAAGGAGGGACCACTAGAAGAACAAGTCTAGAATGAGCCTCTCTGATGATAGCCCGAGTCATCACACCTTTCCTTGTGAATCAGCCGGGATGCAGTCAAACAGTAGATGCAGGGATAGAAATTGTTAGAAACCCACCCACTCCGTAAGCCCATACGGAGTACGGGAGTATTTGGTCCATCATTGTGTCTCTGACAGAAGCAGGTTTCTTCACACCAACGATCCATCAGAACCCTGTACCTCTTCTGCATTTTGACTTTTTTTTTGTCATGTTTCTTACTTTTACTTTTTTCCTCATTTTTTATTTTTCTACTTTTGATTTCCTTTTTCTGACTCTGTTTTTTCGCTTTATCTTATTTATTATTATCATTTACTATTCCTGTTAATGACCCACTCATTCCAGAGCCACCCAAGCTAAGCACCTCACGCCGTCAACACATGGGCCCAGGCCGGTGATGGATCCTCAATGCCACTGTGCCTAAGCTGCACTCTGTCAGCCATGAATCGAGGCAAGGAACCTCTGAGCTTTTGACCCGATTCAGTACCTTATATTGAAATCATCATTTCCCGAGCCTGACCTGCATTATTGGCTCTCAGATCTCTTTTTCATTGCCCCCGAACTCTAGTTCGTCCACCAGTTTTCAGTGGGCCATAGGATGAAGCTCTACTGTTAGCCACTCTGGTTATCTATTTTAGGCTGAAAATTCGAGCCCCGAGCTAATTGTCTATGTCTTCAATTTAAGGATAGAAAGCCGTCGAGCCGAGAGTCGCTATCACAACCTTTTTTTCCCCCTACGTCGAAAAGACTCGTCCCTACCCCAAAGATCACCCCACCAACGAAAATAATACGGTAATACTCACGAATAACTATGGCTCCTTCTTCTGTGCCATGTTGTCTACCGGGCTTCAGCCCCGAATCAAAGGGACCAAAACGGGTTGTGTCCATGAGGTTGAGAACGACACCAGAGCGTAACAGCCAGCTGGTGTCCGCATGGGATGGAGGAAACCTCGAAGCCATTTTCAAGACTGCATGGACTGCCCTTCTTCATCGCTACACAGAATCCGAGGATATCTGTTTCGGTTACCAGCGCATCGACGCAGAGGACTCGTTATCGGGTTCACTGCAGTCGACAGGAATTGCCGATATACCGGAGTTCAGGCTTGCTGTAAACGAGGATGACTCTCTCATGGCGACTCTGAAGAAAGTGGAGGCTATGGGAAAGCCTACTACGGTCCGCAGCCTGTGCCGTGACACGAGCGCATGTTCTACCGGCTATCTTCTCTTCAATACCGTTCTGATGGTGCGGGAAGCGTCCTCTACAGGACGGGCCCAGGCAATCACTCTTCCCGAAGACGTATGTTCCAATATAACACTTACCTCATTGCAAAAAGCTTACTTGTTTTCTCAGTGTCGCGTCCGGGTCCAAGTGAAAGTGCTTTCGCATGATATTGGCATCGTTCTGGAGTGGTGGAACGATGACATGTCTACTGAACAAATGAGAAGCATTGCAAAATACTTTGAGCAACTACTGGACACTTTGATCTCCGCACAAGATGCCACCATGAACGGCGCGCTGGGTCATATCTCCGAGCAAGATTGGGCGCGGTTGTGCGCGCTCAATGCGAGCCCACCGCGACGTCTCGATCAGTGTGTCCATGAAGTTATCGAAGCACAAGCCGCTCTTAGACCCCACGAACAGGCCGTGTGCGCCTGGGACGGGGACCTGACGTATCGAGAGTTGGATGATCTAGCCTCTCGGGTGGCATCTCTCCTCCAAGCACGAGGCGTTGGGCCGGAAGTTCGTGTGGGCCTTTGCTTCGATAAATCTGTGAGATCCCTTTTATTTCTTTGTTTCCCCTCCATAATGTTTTACTGATTATCTACCCTAGAAATGGAACGTGGTTGCAATGCTAGCTGTGATGAAGGCCGGGGGCGCCTTTGTCTCACTCGACCCAACGCACCCAATTTCACGTACACAATCCTTAGTACAATCTGCGGAAGCAAAACTCGTACTATGTTCCAGAAACCATGTTGAGAATCTGGAAAATGTTGCAGAGATGTTGATGCCGTTGGACGACAGTGTCCTGGACGCGTCACAGGAATCGTGCGGAAGAAATGTCCGATTGGCAAAAGTCCAGAGTAGCAACGCGGCCTATATAATCTTCACTTCGGGATCTACAGGACAGCCAAAGGTAAGTTAGAAAGTGGACTCATATGTTGAAGCTGGACATTAGTTCTGACAGACCTAGGGTACATTGCTCGAGCACGGAGCGTTTGTTTCGAGCGCTATGGCCTGGGCTCCAAAGCTGCACATCGACTCGCATTCCCGAAGCCTGCAATTTGCGGCACATACGTTTGATGCATGCCTAGTCGAAATCTTAACTACGTTAATGCAAGGTGGATGCGTCTGTGTGCCGAGTGAAGAGGATCGTTTGAATGACATTGTGGAGGTCATTAACGGCATGGGAGTGAATTTCGCTCTTTTGACCCCTTCTTTTGTTGAATTCCTCGACCCGTCCGAGGTGCCAACCTTGGAGACGCTTGTGCTGGGTGGGGAGGCAATGTCTCCATCACAACTGAATACATGGTCAGTGTTGAACCTCGTCAATGCGTACGGGCCTACGGAAGGTGCCGTTGTGTCTGTGGTCAATTCAAGCGTCACGCCATCTTCAGACTGCAAGGATATTGGTCTCCCTGTTGGCGTCCGCGCCTGGATAGTGCATCCCGACGACCATAACAAACTCGTTCCTCTTGGCTGCCCCGGCGAGTTACTACTCGAGGGACCCACACTCGCTCGCTGTTACATCAACAATGCGCAAAAGACGAATGAAGCATTCATTCATAGCCCAGATTGGGCGACAAGAGACGGCGCTCGTCCGTCTAGCTGGAGATTCTACAAGACTGGCGATTTGGTAAGGTATAACTCCGATGCTGGCTCATTAACGTATATAGGAAGAAAGGACACGCAAGTGAAGTTCCATGGCCAACGCATCGAGCTGGGAGAGATCGAGAATCAACTGAGCACAGAGGTAACGGTCAAGCACTGCCTCGTGCTGTTCCCTAAGTCAGGGTTTGCGCAAGGCAAGCTGGTGGCGGTATTTACATTGTCCGCGGAGTCCGATGATCCAGACAAGAGGAAAGTACCACTGAAGCTTATCGAT